TTGTAACAGATTACATGGCATCATCTCTTCATCTGAGAACTAGCCTTTTTTCACTGTATGGGAATTTGTTTATACACTCAATTTTCGAATGTCATGTTAAGCGACAACAAACCTTTAATTTTCTAGTCAACGAGAACTCAAGCCCATTGGGCTATCAACTCCCATCAGGGAATTCAATTCAATTCAGTTCAATTCAATTCAACATATTTTTCTTATCATGTAAAACCTGTAACTTCTAGTGAAGAAATTGTAATCTTCCAGTAAATTATAAAATAAGTCCCAAGAGAAACAACAAACTGCTTATACCATGCAATTACTTGTCACCTGACTCAAAATAACTTTGATTTCAAGGTGTCTCTTGCATTATCCATCACACAATTGCTTTAGCAACTGCCACCTACTTCCTGAATTCCTACTCCAAATTAACTTATAGGTTCAGAGCTACCGCAAAAATGACCTCTATACACCTAAAGTCAAAAGCCTATTCTGTGTGCGTTTGTATGATCTAGTTTTCCCACAAACGGTTAGCGGGGTGAAGTTATCTTCGCAAATACTATACCCGATCCCCTGCATGAAAGTTTTAAGTAAGTTTACTGGTGGATCATTGTCCTTAGCTTCGTGCAACTAGCTTATCTGGGAATTGCGAAATATGATTGAGTTTTGAACCCGACATTTCGTTGTGTCTGAACAAAAAGGCATACATTGTATTTCAAAGAGACATAGCCTATACATAGTATAGGTAAGCACTGTGTAACTGCCGTCTTCTTTAACCAATACCGATATTCGTTAACTGCTGCAAGAAATCGGATGTTATATCTGGAGGTTTGTATACGAATATTTTGGTATTAGGCAGAAAAATGTTGGACTACCGGTGAATCTACGGGTTTTTTCCCCGCTAAATTCATTAATTAATGAATACATCCAATAATAGCCGCAGCTGCGGTGACGACTATCACTTGTTCCAGTTTATTTGAAATTGACATATTGCTACACATTAGTTCTTATTTGGAATGAGGTGGGCGTAATCATTTGAATCTAACCAGTCAAATATATGGCGACATTTATAGAAATACGAGAACAGAATACCCTCTGACCTGCTCATAATTATAGTTGATTTCTGTATCACCCGTAAGCGGTGCCGGAGGTTTTTCGCCCCCAAAAAGGTTGGTTGAAGATATTCCCATCAGCGAACTTGTCCTTACTTTATATCGGTGTTGGCGAAAGAGGGCAACAAAGGTAGGCCTATGTGTGGATTAAAATGTGACGTAGGAGGATGGAGAGCTTCCTCCGGCGAAGCCAAAGCTGTTAAAAGTCGGCAAGCCTGTAGGATGTAAATAAGGGAAGAAAACCTTTACTTCGTTCTCAAATATAATTATAAACACACTGATTGGGCGGGGGGGGGGGGATGCCAGTTATACTGTAGTTGATGGACGGCGCTAATATAGCGTGGACATATGTGAGTGCCAGAACCTGAAGTGACTATTCTATCACAATGATGACTTAAATACACCGCGGCTAGAATCCACAAATTAAACGAGAGAATGAATGTCCCTGCCCCCTCTAAAACTGATAAATCGAGAATGTGTTGAGAAATACAAGCCTTTTTTTTTGCCCCCTCTAGAAAAAATCCTGGCGACGCCCATGAATGTGAAGTGCAATTAACCATATGTCATGTTCTATACACCAAAGCCATATTCTCTTGGTTAGCTGATTAAGTTCCAATGAATGGCATCCACCCATATAATTTATATATGATACTCCAGTGGTATTATGCATTGATACGGATATGGTTTTACCTTCGACGTGCGATACAAACGAACAAAGGCCATAGAAAACAGCCAACAGCTCAAGGTAATTAATATGAAATTAAGTTTCATTAGCAGTCCATCTTCCATTAGCTTTAATATTAACTGTGGGGCAATAGGCCCCCATCCACTATTGGATGCATCTGTCTCTATTTGCAAGTTGCTCACTTTAGGCAAAATAGAACGTGACGCAGTGTGCAAATTTGAAATCCACCACTGCAACTCACTTTTTGCTTCTTTCGTCAAAGACATTTTTGCTTGAAAATTTCCTCCGTTTTCCTTAAGTGATGCATCTTTCCTAATTTCAAGATTCCTGTAAAACAGGGGACCCAATGGTACTCCTGGAAAGCAAGAAACCAGTTTCCCAATTACTTGAGCGGCAAACTGGACAGTCGGCCATGTCTGGCTGACTAAGGAACGACATAACTTCACAATAAGCCATTTGCGAGTAACCTATACCCTTTGGGATTTACATTTGAAAAACGTCTGGTACAATGACTTGCTCAGAATGCTTGGCACATTTTAACTTTGAATTCTCCAGACCAAAGACACTGTTGCTAATCACATGATTCGGGGCAAGCTCTTGCATAGTTACGTAAGAGACGCTCAGCACCAATACATCGCTCACAATGGGTGAGAATGGCACAAAGACACAAGACCATGCCGGAGCTGGGGGTTGCTAGCGTAAGGCTTGCCCCGAATCACGTGATATAGTAACAGTCTCTTTGGTTGGGAGAATGCTAGGTTTAAACGTGCAAAGCATTGTATTAAGTCAGCGTTCCAGATTTTATTCAAATTTAACTTGCAAATGGCTTATTGGTTCAATTTTATCAGCAGGAAGTCGGGCTTTCATTTCTTTTGAATTTATGACGAAGCCTAGAAACTGCAATTCATTTGTAGGGTGTAAGCAGGATTTTTTGTCATTGATGACGAAACCCAAATCATTCATAAGATTACATCGGGCGATGTAATGATTGTTCGCATTGACCCATATGGCGTTCTCTGCTGACGACCACGATACATGTATCTGTGATCGGAAGTTGGCCGGGTGAATCCGCCACGCCCACCTGGTTTGCGACCACCAAGTGCAAAGTCAGAGCCTTATACCTTGGAAATGATTTTGTTTGTTTCTTGCATTGCCTTGCATGATTGTACCAGGTCATTTCCAAAGAGCAAGACAGTAACTGGAACCTGCGAGGGGCATAGTGGTGCATATCGAGCACTCAGATCTGGTCCAATAAAATCGCGTCTACGAATGTTAAGAAGCGAGTTCCCATGACCCATTATTGCTACCGCGTCAATCAGGGTTTTAATAAGCCCCGCGATATCCAAGGTATTGTTTGCTGCGGTCTTTGCATTCCGCACTTGCAACAATTGGTCTACTGCCTTAGTGGTTGCAATTGATGCACATACAAATGCCTCTTGTATTTTTTTTGGAATTTCACATCCCTTGTATTTTAGGGCGGTCATACGTCTTCATTTTTTCGTTCAACTTTTCTTGTTGAATTTTACCATGTGCCAACGAGTTTATAGTTTTTGCCAACTGTTCATTGATAGCAGGGCCTTTTCATCGTCCTCTTGGTCAGTACCCGTAGGTTGAACTGAGTCAGTTTGCAACAGGTTAGTTACCTCATCTTCAGAGTAATAATCGCCCCTTTCGGGTACGGCTGTATCAGCACAGGATTGCTCGCCCTCTTCAGGTGCGAACTGAACTGAAGGCGCTGCGCTGCCATGTTCGCAATTTCGCTGCTGAGCTTATTAGCGCCAGTGCAAGATTTGACAATGAGAGAAGCCGGCGCGTTTTGCTTGGCATAAGCCTCGGTGAGACTTGTGACCGTCTGCTGCAGATTATACACCATATCGCGCAAATCAGGCTCATCGTCATTGGCGCTCTTAGGCGCTGATTTAGCTGAGTGCTTGCGTTTTTGCTTTGGCGCGGGTGTGGCAGGCTGCAGTGCTACCTGTGTCAGTTCAGACATCTCTGCGTTCAGTTGTGCAGTAACTAATGCTTCGTCCTCGGACGGATTGGCATGAATTTCAATGGAACATAAGTCCGTCATAATAAAAGTGGCCACAGCGTGGTCCTATGCGCGCTAAGTGGCGATACTTCCGCGTGTAACACGAAAAATACACTGACGGTTGAATGGGCATGGTGCCCCTTATATGCGCGCAGATAGCATTCTTTTCTTTGAAGAGTGGCATAGCTTTTAAATACCAAACAATACCATCTCACGTGATTCTGAATGGAGGTAATGGTGAGGTAGAACCTGTGGTATCAAGGAATGCAGGGTCTGGAACTACGTAGGCCTAATAAGCACAAATGGTTCTACCTCCATGGGCGTGACAAACGAAACTACATTTTCATGTTGCTTCGCTTCGCTCCGCTCATACGCGAAAAACAGTTTGGTTGTACAGAACGCCTTAACACTAAAGGGGCCGGGTTATTTTGACCATCTCTCAGCCGGGGGGCGCCCCCCTAAGATCTCGGCCATCGAGTGACGAAAAATTTTGAAACTCGGCACATGCATAGAGCAACTCTTCCTAAACATACCCAAGAAATTTCATGACTATAGGTCAAAGGGTTTTGGAATTATGGCTAATTAATTATTCATATGTCACTGTATGTACGAATGGCAATTCTGCTCTGTGTACACGACGTATATGCGAAAATTCAGTTTTCACGGCGCGTAGCGCCAGAAAATTTTTCGCTTCGCGGCAACCCGTGGTCCGATTTTTATGTTTTTGGTATCAAAAGATGCGCAAAGCTCGAGGCTAAAAAGTCATAACAGCTCGGGTCGCGAAAACAATTTTTTTAGAGGCTATCACGGTAAAATGTTGAGGGGGGGGGGCGGATTCCGCCCCCCCGGCCCCTTTAGGGTTAAGGAGGGACGGACACAGTATTTGTTTCAGAGTTTATTATAAATCATGGGGGGCTGGCCTGCGCACGGCCGGCACGCAGGTAGCCTTTCGCCCAGGCCATCGTGGCTTAATCAGAGCGGCGGAGTTGCGAAGACCCGAAGCGACTGGAGCAAAGATTTGATTGTAAACGCGGTCACGATCTCGTGGAAAACTAGACTCGCATTTTTTGTTTTTAAATTTTGTGCAAGCATCCGGGCGCGTCGACGCGTCCGGGTAGTAGCTACGCACACACAAAAAGGCTGATAATTGGTTGGAATTTTGCTACCCTTTTGAGGTAGCAAAAATCGAGATTATAAAGAAAAACATAAGAATTTCTCGACAAGTTATTAGAAAAGGCCCTCGTGCTTCGCCGCCCGCGTGTGTGGTCTCCATCTCCATTCGCTTCGCTGCTTCGCCGCTTTGAATGCGGGCAAGTTAAGCCACGGTGGCCTTGAAGCAAACCTGCTTCCTGGCAGCCGATGAGCGGCTGAAATACGTACGGCCGGTCACCGGGTGCACGGTCACGTCGACGTAGCTACATGTAGATCAACTGATCGTGTGGCGTGCACGATCACACCCGTACCAACGCACCCAGTACATATAGCGTTAACGCGTTTTGCCTTTGTACAGAGTCAGAGATAGCTAGCTAGCTACATTAGCTCAGCATAGCACAACATTAATCCAAACTTTGGCGCCGACAGAGCGGCAGTGCGGTATCGACGTAAGGTAAGTTTTCCGCCCGGATAGAAATTTGTAAACTTACTGTTTTATCTGTTAACGACACATTCAATTTGGAAATGTTTTTCGAAACGTTCTACAACTTTGTATTAAAGCAAATATAGGCCTAGCCCAGGTTGGACGACGTCTTCATCATGGTAGGGCCATGGAGCTTGCTCCATGGTAGGGCCTACACAACGGAGTCCAACCTGGGCTACAACTTGCAAGTTGGCCTAGGCCTACAATTAACATGTACATGTACAACTTTTACAACTGCGCCGATTATGATGACTCGAAGATACAAAAACTGTCACGCACGGAAGTAACTCATAACATTACCAATGGACTTGGAGGAATAGTCAACTAGAAGTAGAACAATATTAGAAGGGTAACTTCGGAGTTCGGGCCTCGACGTTACAAATTGCAATTTGTATGTAAGACCTTGGAATGTAACAGTATGAGTAGGCCTAGGCCTACATGTACATGTGACTTTTTTTAACATGTTGACAACAATCGCGTACTAAAAAAAGTAACTATTGTAATATGCGGGATATACTGGTACTGTACTCTGTAGTTTTCACAGAATTAATAGTCCGAAAATTTGGGACTCTCTCAATACTGTGTACAGTGTTACAGTGTAATACTTGGAGAAATGGTCAACTAGAACTTAGAAAATAGAATGGTAACTTCGGACTTTGACATTACAAATTGCAGTTTGGATGTAGGCCTACATGTATAATCTTGGAATCTAATGAATACAGGTCACATTTTTTGAGGTTTTACATTGGGGGAGATGCGACTACCAGCAAACATGGCAAACGCAGTGCACAAAGCGACCTCTGCTTGGCATCATTTCGCGATGTTTAAATTTGGAGTCACAAGCACAAGTTACAGCAAACAGCGTTTTAAACAAAAGTAAAAACAGGGAGATTTTTTTTAAAAATAATCTGACACATTTTTGATATTTTTGAAATTCCTGAATATTGAAAATTTTGATATTTCGATATGATAAAAAAATTGGAAATCGGCGATATCAAAATAATATCGAATAATCGAGTAATATTGATATATCGACCGTGCTCAATTGGGGTATCATTTCTATCTGAACTTAATTTACCTCTTCTTTCCTTTCCTTTTCTCGAATAGGTGATGTTGGGTGTAAGAATTGCTCTGGGGGGATGTCGAGGTCGGGAATCATTGCGTAGCTATGTAAAGGTAAGCATTTTTGAAAGAAATTCAATAAAGGTGATCTTTGTCAATTTTGAAAATGAGGTCGGCCAGTTGTCATTTTGTCGGATCTTTTAGTTTGAAGTAAAGTAGGAATCCAAAAGGGGCAGTTTTGTGCCATTAGATTCAAAGATGTGATTATGGAGGAGATTGAGAAAGAACAAAAACCCTGTATGTTAATACTTAAAAATGTATTCCTCTATATTTCTTTGTAAAGCAAAATCCTCCCATTTAATGTTACGTGTATAGCATTTCTTTCTTTTTAATTCTTCACACATCTCCATTAGCACACTTTGAAATGCACATAGAAAGTACCGGTACTACATTAATGATTGTAATCGATGACTGCTGTTAATTGTTATACATTTACAAATTCCCCTTTTCAAATTGATGTCTTGTCATTTGTTAAGGTTATTATAGTACTTCTTTGCAGCCGAGATGAGCATTGAAGGTGTACCCCTACAGACTTTTTTTTTTGCTGGGTTTTTATTTGCACTCTCTGACCACTCACTCATCTTGTCTTTTAGTTATTTGTTTAAATGTGCTTGTTTACTAGATGGTATATATCTGTGTATGTTTGTATACAGACATGCGTTATTCAGGTTTATACAACACCTGAATAAATCACCGTCATCTGATTGGTGAATTGTAGATCACGTGACATATTATTATTCGGTATAATGCACGGTGCGACCATGCGTTATACCCATGCGTTACACCGTTTCACTTTGCGCTTGTTCCATGACGCGGTATTTGCGTGCAAAATGCATGCTGGTGTGCGCGTTCAGCGTAGCGCGTATTGTTCCAAAGAGCCAGCGCTACAGCGTTGGGTTCAAACATTTTCGTGAAGGGGTAGTTCAACATCTTTAAAATCAAAATAAATTGTAGTTTACAATTTACCAATCAACTGACGAGAATTTATTCTGGTGTTGTATAAAACAAATAACGAATGTTTTACGTTCGTGCGATGGAAAGAATAATTTCATTCGGTGACAGATTGAATGTTCTATTCCACTCGGCTTCGCCTCGTGGAATAGAACATTCAATCTGTCACCTCATGAAATTATTCTTACCATCGCACTCACAAACATTCGTTATTTGTATAATGTGTACTCCCTGACCATTCATCCATGTGTCTTTTAGTTATTTGTTGATGTGTTTTTTTACTAGATGGTTTTTATAATATTAAGTACATTAACTACACTTACCGTCATCTTTTTATGCCCCGCGGCGAAGCCGAAGGGGCATACTGTTTCCGCCTTGTCCTTCCGTGGGTGGGTGGGTGTGTGGGGGGGGGGGGGGGTGTGGGTGTTCCTGCATGGCATTACGCCTGAGGACAGACAACAAAAGGAGCACAAAGGGGCCATTGATCCTCGAAGGAAGGTGCCTATTGTCCTCGAACGCAGGTTTGTGTGCTTAGTCTATGGGAGAGTGTTATGTAACAGGGACAAAGGAAAACACAAAGCCAATCCTCGGAAGCATAGCAAAAAACGACTGTGTGTGTGTGTCCGGACAAATCTTGTCAGCGCGATAACTTGAGAAATACTTAACATATGAACTTGAAATTTGGTTTGTGTATTGTTCTTGGTAATCCTAAGAAGCCTATTGCATTTGGGGCCGAAAGGTCAATGGTCAAGGTCACAGTGACTTAAACAAAAGAAATTTTGTCAGCGCGATAACTTGAGAAATACTTTACATTTGAACTTCAAATTTGGTTTGTGTATTGTTCTTGGTAATCCTAAGAAGCCTATTGCATTTTGGGCCGAAAGGTCAAGGGTCAAGGTCACAGTGGCTAAAACAATAGAAATTTTGTCAGCGCAATAACTTGAGAAATACTTTACATGTGAACTTCAAATTTGGTTTGTGGATCGTTCTTGGTAATCCAAATAGGCCTATCGCATTGGGGGTCAAAAGGTCAAGGGTCAAGGTCACAGTGGCTAAAAAACAATAGAAATCTTGTATTTATTCTGAGATCATTGGGATTAGGGATTAAGTCATATAAAGCCTACAGAAGACACTAATGCTGTCAATGAACGTTCCATGTGACCAAGGTACATGTAAGTTGATGTTAAAAGAGTGGTGTTATGTCATGGGAACAGTCACGGTTGCGGGGCATTTGTGTTTGTAAACACACCTGACTTGTTTTATTTCTGTTGTTTTAAGAATACTTGACCACCATCTCATTCTTTTTCCTGGCTACAAAAAATTAGAGCCCCCCCCCCCCCAGGTATACTTTTTTATCCACCAACTGGCCCAATTTTGTTTTTACCCAATTTTAGTTTGTATTGAATTCAACATGAGGTGTAACTCGGTGTCCTAGTTGTCGTAGAATTTTGCAGAGCATTGGGATGTTTTTTCAGTAGGGTAATAGAATTTTTGTATGGAAAATAACATTGACGCCACACCAGTTTATTTTCTTAATATTTTACCAGTTTCCCCATAATAAGCTGAGAACATAGCAGACCATTCCTACAGGATGTAACTTGTGTTTTGGATTTTAATTGGAGCCTCAGTGCTTATATGTATGTTGAGAAAAAAAATACCTGTTAATTTCACAAATTTACAAAAGTATGACATTTAGTAACTATTGAAACAGAGAAAGACTGTGTACAGTTTTCAATAAAACAAAAAAAAACTAAAAAAATATAAAAAAACCCAGAGAAGTGGCTCATTTGTCTTCTAGTCATGTGGGGGAAACTGGTTTTTAAAAACCTAAAAAATGTACACTGAACATACAGTGTCCACAGTTTTTCTTTTACAAAAATGCAGAATCAAATCTCAACTCAATGCACTGAAACATTATCACACAACTACCGGGTAGGAGTCTCGCCAAACATTATATAATGCAATTACTCCCAGTCCCCCTGTTACATCTGATATAAGATTTTGTATATTCAAGACACATCTTTAAATCCCTTCTATCTCCAAGAGTGATTGTAAAGCAAAATACCTATAGATCAAGCAAATAAAAATCAAATGGAACTCAATTTAATGTTATTTGTATGGTAGATCACACAGGTGAGACGTAACATGGACACAAATATAAAAGCTAGGTCGCGCTTTTGGACCCCACATTTGTGGAGGGACCCACACACATGTATTGTAGGGTGTGATTGTATGAATCTGGGCACGCGATCACTGTACTCTCATGGGTCCCCTTCAAGGGAAAAAGCATTGTGCACACTGTTGTTCAAAGCAACGCCCCTATGATGAAGTATCTGAACAACAACTAGCACAATGATTTTGCCATTGACGGAGGCCTCCGTGATCTGAGAGAGGAGGAGTTGTCAACTTTCAAGCGTTCTTTAAAGAACTTCCTTTTCCCAGATCTCTCTTAAATTGCCTGTTCCCCCCCCCCCTTGAATTTTGTTATTGCTGCGTTTTCCCCCTTTTGTTACGCACTGTGATCTTGGTATAGCGCGGTATAAATACTATGTATTATCATTATTACTAGGCACGGAGTTGGCTGTCTAGCATGGCTGCTGTGCAGCCTCAAAGCACCGAAAGCAGCAGTAGACGCACCTGCAGCAGTTTTACCAACCCCGCCGTCAAACCTGTTGAGCAAAAGATGGGCCCCGTCTGCTCCTACAACGAGTGGGATCCTCTGGAGGAAATCATTGTGGGACGGGTAGAGGGGGCTGCAGTGCCTCCGTTCAGTATAGAAGTCAAGGTACCCCAACTAAAAAACTTAAAAGATCACCCATCACAAAAGTTTCCAAGATTCTTGCTTACATCATAAACTAACATCTGAATTTATTTTTTACAAAATTTGAAGCATAGTTACTTGCTTTTTCGTAATTCAAGGTCAAAGGTTATTTCATTACGCATTTTCTCTGCGCTTCATGCTGCGATTTTGGTTTGATTTTATGAAACGGAGGCCATTTAAAGAGCTTTAATATGATGTAGAACTTGGCTTTATAGGTGCTATAGTTTTGGCGATACAAGTATTTAAAGATCTGAGGTCATGCTAATTAGTCAAAAGTTTGTTGAGTCGTATCTCAAAAACTAATGAGCCAATTTACCACACAAAAAAAACCCAGTTCTGGGGGTTTCTCATATAGTCCAATCATCACACCAAATATCATTTCAATCTGTGCGGGTCGAGTGCATAATCGTGTTGAATCGGTGCAGAATGACCCAATTCCATACAAAGTTCTGATTATATTGATGTCATTATTTTGTTGTCATCATTTTGATCTCATTACCCGGCAAACTTTTAGAAATCTGAATTTTTTATCAAAGGTCCGGGTTTTCTTCAAAATGACCTTATGTCACACAGAATAACTTGACAGAAGTGTAGCGTACTGTCCACTGTCCTTTATTTTTTGAAGAAAGTTTGTTCATAACTTTTTTTGGTGATAGAATAGAAAGCTTTGATATAAACCGATAACAATTGTCCTTTTCTACCCACACAGGCCAACACCAACGAAAAGCACTGGGACTTTTTCAAGAGATCCGGTGGCTGTTCCTTTCCAGCTGAACATGTCGAGAGGGCCAAGGCCGAGATTGAAGAACTGTGTAACATACTCCGTCATGAGGGGGTCACAGTCCGACGTCCTGAGCCGGTCGACTTCCAGAAAGAGTACTCCACACCCGACTTCACTTCAAGCGGTGAGATTCTCTTCTTGTACATAAATGGATACCCTTTGTATTGTTACACACCTTTTCAACAGAGGGTGTTTAAGTATACCAATATAACATGGTTTGCGGGTGGATAGTCAATATTAGCTCCCCAAGGTCTTGAAAGTTGACAAAATACTTATTGTCTGGCCACCCAAAATAAAGCATGTTATACATGTATTTGTTTTACAATACCTCATATATTCACCAAAATTTTGTCTGAGTTACGCATCATCCCGGCAAAATGTTGCTGTGCCTTTGCGGCCATCTTTTCATATAGCTACATGTAGGGCGATGGTCATGGTTGTAACCCATGCGATAGGCAACCCATGCCATATGCAACCCATGCCATATGCAACCCATGCCATATGCAACCCATGCCATAGTCGACTGCGTGAATCCTCACGTGCCCGCTTGATAAAAAGAAAAACTAGCGGCTGACATGTGATCGTGAATGGACCAGGAAGAAGTTGGCTCTTGTTGATGAATATTTATGAGGTATAGTAATTATTCAAAGTTCAAAACAAAATGTGTGTGTTCAGATCAAATGTGCAGATATTGGTTTTAATTGGAGGGTAAAACTGAATATTTCACAGCTGGGTTCAGGTTTAAAATAAAATCAAGAAAATGTATTTACCCATAAGAAACTGTACTACATTGTACTAAATGTACATTGTGTTTTTTTCACTGATGAATCAGTTACCGTAAACCTTTAAGTGCTTGAGCGGTTTCGGGAACCACAGGGAGTGTAGGTTCATACATTTTCACATGAATTTCTGGGAAAAAAGTTTGGAAAGTTTCTGTAAATTGTAACATATCCTAAGGAAAATGTTGCAAACATGATGAAGACATGAGGAAAAGCAGCATTTGCTTATAACTCAGCAGATCCTTCCCCTAGCCCTAATGTGTAGTTGCCCTATTTTAACTTTACTCTGAACTATAGATACCCACATTCTGTTGAAGACAAAATAATTAACTTATAGTAACTAGAAGGACAGGACCATCACCAGAAAAAGATCATTTTATTAAAAAAACAGGATTGTATGCTGCTATGCCACGAGACATTCTCCTGGTAATTGGCGATGAGATCATAGAAAGTCCCATGGCCTGGCGTTCCCGATTTTTCGAGTATCGGGCCTACCGCCCACTGATGAAGGAATACTTCAGGGCGGGAGCGAAGTGGACCACTGCGCCCAAACCACAAATGAGTGATGAACTCTATGATATGGTACTTCACTGCTATTTGCTTGGGTTGGGTTGCTTTTTCTGGGCTTCTCTTGTTCTGCTTATTAACCCTTCAACTATTGACATAAGTATTATTGGCTTCACATTGAAAGGGATTTTGCATTTGAACGGAACAAACATGGACACTTTTGGGTGTTACAACCCTCCTACTATTTAAACAGTTACAGACAGTCAAAATTTCCATCTACTTCCCCTGCTATACTTCTACCACAGGCTAGTCACAAACAGTCAGATCATATGTCAAGCAAGCACTGTGACTAGTCGATTCAGTCGACAGACCACAAACAGACAAAGCGGGCAAGCTGTGGACACAGCTGGCTTGTCAAACACCCACAGTCATAGCAAAGCGGTACTCAAGTTACTTAAATAGTCACAGCCAGTCAGCCCTGCTTTATGTAGGCTGGCAATTCTTAACTGTAAAAAAACAGTCACTTGATTGATTTTGACTGAAAGGACAACTTGGCTAGAGTGTATGTTTGCATAGGAGGGTTAAGAAACTGTGCTTTTTGGAATTTTTTGGTAAACTAACGGAGACTGCTGTCAATTTTACAGAAACTTGTCAACTTAAACAAACTTAAACATGTACTTCACTGCACTGTGCATTGGTTGCGTTGGTTTTTCTGTGCTAATGTCTGGTTCTGGTTATTAATTCTTCCCCTGTGTTTCGGGAGGGCCACTGGTAATATGGTATACATATATCCGTACTCGCACAAAAAATTACTTACAACAGGGAAAAACCTTCTGATTAACAGTTTTGGATATTAAAATGTAAATCTGTTTTATGGCTGTGCATTTTTAATTGTTTTGGATTGAATAGTCAAATATTTGATTTTGAAATGCACTGATCAGCTTCAACATGCGCTAGGCTGGCAATCAGGATTTGCGAGCACGTGCCCTTGTAAGTCAGAAATATGTGTGGGCAGTTTCCCATATGGATTTGGAATATGCTAAGATGGGTATGGTTCCTAGTAAATCATGCTAGGGAGTTAAAATAATACTATAAACAGGTAGCAGTGGCTGATATTTATCCGATTTTAAAGACGAAACTTGAGATTATTGCATGCATAATTATGAATTTATTAGTAAAAAAGGTCCATAGTCCATTGGTTTTTTATGAACTCGGAGGCAAATGTCACCGGGCAACTTTGAAGTTGCTTTTTTAATTGATTTTAACACGTTTCTAGTTTCGACACTAACATGTTACTACTTGTAGCAATTTTCTCATTGGTGCTTATTTGTCTTATGACTTTATTTTCTCTCAGTTAACCATCTCATTTACAGCTGGTTCTACATGAACGCATTTTCTTTGTTTTAATCTCTTGTTGATTTGTTTTCGTTGAGGATTATTTAGGGTTTTTTGGTTTTGTTGTTTTTTTAAGTTCTGGCAATGTTTTTAATGCAATTAAAATGGAAACCACTCCAACTGCTTATTGGGAATTCAAAGTTCTGGCAGCACGTGGGTTCTTCAACTTTCCCAAGTTCCCCTTTTCATGGTTGATCCCTCGGTGAGACGAAGGTTTCCATTCACCACTTGTTGCAGAACTACCCTATGGACTCGGTGACGGAGCGCAACACACTGGCAGCCAGAGGCCGATTTGTGACCACCGAGTTTGAGCCCTGCTTTGACGCGGCCGATTTCATCCGGGCAGGCAGGGACATCTTCTGTCAGAGGAGCCAGGTGAGCTGTAGTTCACATCCTATGTCATTAGATTTACCCTGGCAAAGTAGTAAATATTTTGACTCAAGTCTTATCAATGACGTTCAAGAGCAAAGGTCCACATATTTGTCTCTTTTGTTTTCGTGTTTTTTCCTCCCACTTTGATGAAGCATACATGTAAAAATACAAGTTTTGCATGATCCCCTGCATGTACATGTACATATTGCACTTTTGTTAGATGCTCTCTAGGCCAAGCCTTTCTTCATGGGCAATTCCAAGCAAACAGGGACATGGCCCCAAAAAATCAAATTCATTCCTGAACTTCCTTTTCATTTTTAAGTTATTGCTAATAGATGCAAGGACCAGGATATAAACTTTTTTTAGTCAAATCGCCATTGTTTTCTATGAAATATGTTACGTTTCTTCCTTGTGATGTTTGGCTTATAAAATGTACTACTTTATGTGCATTCTCATTTGTTCGCATTTTTTCTTGGGAAAAGCAGAAGTCACAAACTTAATATGCAATTTAGCAGTATGACTTTATACCTTACAAACAAAATAAAATTATAATCTGCCCATGACTTTTCTTGAAGAAAATTAGGTGCACAGCTGCTTAGACATATGAAATGCGAGTTCACGAAAAAAAAAAAAAAAATTTTATTTTTTTTAAACTGGTAGTGATTATATTGCTGACAATTAATAATTTGCTTCTTCCACCAATACAAAGTATAAAAGCAACTAGTATTAAAACCAAAAACCCAGCACATTATAATAGAGAGCCCTTGGAATTTGAAATGCGAATGACAAATGAAATGCAAGTGACAAATGAAATGCGACTGACAATACCAATTTCTATTATAAGAATGCAGACAGAGAAGCTCTTAGATGGTAATATTGAGGGAAGTGCATGCACTATGTATGCTTACTGTCTTAAGACCTGTAGAAGGTACATGTAGGCAGGCATCATTTATGGTATCCATGATGCATTGCATCTCCATAGGAACAGTTCCAAGTTTTATTTCTATATGAACAGTCTGACCCTACACGTATAAAACTTGTAGGTTAACTGTTGAAAGTCAATTTTGGTGAAATAATCCATGCTCCTGCTGCTAAGGTTGTGAGTTCATTCAAATAGTACATGAATGGATGAAAACAATTCAGTTTTTAACAACTTAAGTATTGGACTGCATGCAGAATGTATTTCAGAAATTCCTTTTTTTTTCATTGAAATTAATATTTTGAGTATTTTCAAACAATTTTGCAAGTTGTTTAAAAAGACAAAGCCAAGATTTGGTAAGAATTGTGGAGGAAAAGCTTCATTTTGTTCAAAACTTAATTAATGGCTAACTGAAATGCGAGTGACAGCATTTTTCCCCTGTAACTTAAAATCCTTTTTTTTTTCATTGCAATTTGTATTTTGAGCACACTTAAAAGGTTTCTATTAAAGGTTGCTTGAAAAGACTTAGCTAAGACTTGATAAGAGTTTTGGAGTAAATGCTTCATTTTGTTCACAACTTAACGAACGGACAAACTGAAATGCGAGTGACGGAAATGCAAGTGACAGCACTTTTCCCCTCTAACTTAAATACAGTTACTTGTTGAAGATATTTGTTACCCTCATTTATACTTCAGTATGGTAGGTATCTAGTACATATAACCATTTGGTTGTGGTACATTTGGTTTGAGGAAACTTTTCAATTAAAACCAAGACAATTTTTGGCATGTCCTTTTCACAAAATGCAAGTGACAGTTTTGTCCAGCAGTGCCATGCTCATATTTAGTATCATTTCATTTTTATACCATACAGTTAATGCCTTATATACTGACGATTTCCAAACCAAAAATGAAAGAGTAATTCTCTCTTTTTTGTAAAAAGTACACCACTAAGATTGGAAAAGGATGCAAAAAAGTGAAATGCGAGTGATGCTGGAATCGCTCTTATGTATTATTCTGTTTTGTCTAGATACATATATCGGTATGTACTTCTGTCGATTAAATGCTGGGTTTTTTGAGGGTCAGTGTTCATACTTTTCTGTATACATTCATAGTTTTTCGTAAGTTACGGTACATGTCTTGCATTCTTGGCATTTCTTTTGTGCACTGGTTGCACTTTGCATTTGGTCGAGGTCACATTAATAACAATTATCATAAACCCTGGCTAGCAAGGATGCCTTAACAATGTATGGCCTCCGCCTGTCCCATGTATGACACCGGCTAGCTATACAACACATGAAATTTGAAGGATGTTTTACAGCTCCATGCTTTAAACAAAGCCTCTACCATTATGTGACCACATGTATAGCATGAGCCCCAAACCCCCTGCGGCCCTGGACTAGTGGTGGTAATTATTAGCACTAGCCTACGATTACCTACATGACTACATGTATAAGGGACCGGTGAAATAACTTTCAAACTTTCAAGGTTTTATGGGGAGCCTCCTTGCAATATTGCATTGTAGGGTTGAGCAAGTTTCACTGTATCGTTAAAACAAACAAACCACTTTAGAAGCTAAATTGGAATTTACAAAATAGATGATGTCAGGCCGGGTGCATATCAGACTGGATTTTTTTTTAATTTTAAATTTTTGGGGGGGGGGGGCAGGCAATCAATGGAACAGACTTGTGATTTAAACTTTGAACAAGTTGGATATTCTATCAAGTACAAGTTAGAACAATCGCATACTAAATATTAAAAACAAATGCACAGCACTAGAAGAAGAAATACGAATAAATATATTCTGTATGAAAACTGTGACCAGTGGCACTAATAAACTGACAGATAAATATCAGTAACTGATCACCGGTCACCAATATGTGATGGGCATTGAGTGGTATATTCAGTTTATATTTCGTTTGGTCAGGTTTCAGGTTTATTTCCATACTATAAGGTAATTAAGTTGAATAATATACATCTGACCAACCGTAAAGGCCACTCTCTAGGCCACTCGGGTTGGGACACACCATTTTGGGGAGCCTGCCCTAGGGGATTAAGATATTTATGAGCACTTAGGCCAAAAAAAAAAAGTCTCCGGTTTCTGGTATGCGCGCGCGTCGCCGTAGCCATGCGCGTCGGCAAAATGAAAAGGGTTTTTTTTTCAATAAAAGATGATGTCTCAAAACCACCAAACTCACTGGTTTGACTGGAATCCTGCTGCTGCACAATTTTAACGTGTTTTTAGATGGGGTTATGATCGAGAATAAGCTTTATGTGGCCTCTCTGGACTCCCATATATTTGCACTAAGTTTAGTCGGGCACCATTTGCAGTCATCAGCCGACAATTGAAGCAAAAAAAAAAAAGGTAAAAAAAAAAAAAAAGCCACGTCGCCGCACCACTTTTTGGGCAAGCTCCATACCAGAAACCGGAGACTTTTTTTTTTGGCCTTATCCTATAATTGGTTCCCATAAAGGAGCGAAGGTCACTCTGCCTGAGAGATTTGCATGCAGGGTTGAGCATTAGTTTCATGGCCTGATCAAAACAAGCAAACCACATTAGTGGTTTCATGACGTCACGCCCCATTCATAGTCGGGGTGGACATGTGTGCTTTAGACATGTCAGATCATTGAAACAGACTAGCGGTTTCATTGAAAATAACTTCGAATATTCGATCAAGTACAGGTTCAAACAATCGCATACTAAATGTTCATTCAAATATGTACAGTACTAATAAACTGACAGATTAATATCTGTAACTGATCACAGGTCACTAATCTGATGGGCATTGAGTGGATGCAGTTTATCTTGGCGATGAGTACACCGTCCACCAGATCTCCTTCAACGATCCCAACCCCATGCAACAAACCACTTTAGAAGCTAAATTGGAATTTACAAACTAAATGATGTCAGGCCGGATGCATACCAGATTGGATTTTTTTCTAATTGTTTTTTTGGGGGGGGGGGCCTCAGGCAATCAATGGAACAGACGTGTGGTTTAAACAACTTTGAACAAGTTGGATATTCTATCAAGTACAAGATAGAGCAATCGCATACTAAATATTAAAAACAAATGCACAGCACTAGAAGAAGAAATACGAATAAATATATTCTGTATGAAAACTGTGACCAGTGGCACTAATTAACTGACAGATAAATATCAGTAACTGATCACCGGTCACCAATATGTGATGGGCATTGAGTGGTATATTCAGTTTATATTTCGTTTGGTCAGGTTTCAGGTTTATTTCCATACTATAAGGTAATTAAGTTGAATAATATACATCTGACCAACCGTAAAGGCCACTCTCTAGGCCACTCGGGTTGGGACACACCATTTTGGGGAGCCTGCCCTAGGGGATTAAAATATTTATGAGCACTTAGGCCAAAAAAAAAAAGTCTCCGGTTTCTGGTATGCGCGCGCGTCGCCGTAGCCATGCGCGTCGGCAAAATGAAAAGGGTTTTTTTTTCAATAAAAGATGATGTCTCAAAACCACCAAACTCACTGGTTTGACTGGAATCCTGCTGCTGCACAATTTTAACGTGTTTTTAGATGGGGTTATGATCGAGAATAAGCTTTATGTGGCCTCTCTGGACTCCCATATAGTCGTGTCCCCTAACGTGGCGCACTTCGAAGCTTACCCAACTTTCCTCATGTAGTGTTGCCAAACCTCTTTGTTGATAAACCTCAAATTCATGCAGTGAAATACTGGTACTTTTACCTTTTTAATGCTTGCTATTTAACCTCTGTGAACAATTTCGGTTTCATAAAATTTAATCCGAAATGCAAAAACGGTCGCGTCCGGAAATTGGGCACAAATTGGCGGAGTGTTCCCTAACGTGGCGCACTTGAATAAATCTCAGAAAATTCCAAATTAACATTTAAGAATTTCTGTAAATTTGATAAATTCTGATAAATCATTATTATATTTACTTACAAACCCAGCCAGATGTTTGTCAGTAAATCATTTTCTTATTTTTCGGGGCATTTTCAAAGGGTTCACTTTGCACTTGAAAATAAAATCGGAAAACCACGCCAAAATATGTTTTTCTTTTAACTTTGTAACGGGTAAATAAATTCGTGATTTATAAACGGGAGTGTTTAAAACTTGATGAAATTTCACTTTCTGTGAAATTTCAGTTAAAACTTTTGCTCTAGCTAGGCGCTACCGGCGAAAAATCAAAGTGCGCCACGTTAGGGGCCGTGCCACGTTAGGGTACATCAACAATATATTTGCACTAAGTTTAGTCGGGCACCATTTGCAGTCATCAGCCGACAATTGAAGCAAAAAAAATGGGTTAAAAAAAAAAAAAAAAAGCCACGTCGCCGCACCACTTTTTGGGCAAGCTCCATACCAGAAACCGAAGACTTTTTTTTTTGGCCTTATCCTATAATTGGTTCCCATAAAGGAGCGAAGGTCACTCTGCCTGAGAGATTTGCATGCAGGGTTGAGCATTAGTTTCATGGCCTGATCAAAACAAGCAAACCACATTAGTGGTTTCATGACGTCACGCCCCATTCATAGTCGGGGTGGACATGTGTGCTTTAGACATGTCAGATCATTGAAACAGACTAGCGGTTTCATTGAAAATAACTTCGAATATTCGATCAAGTACAGGTTCAAACAATCGCATACTAAATGTTCATTCAAATATGTACAGTACTAATAAACTGACAGATTAATATCTGTAACTGATCACAGGTCACTAATCTGATGGGCATTGAGTGGATGCAGCGTCATCTTGGCGATGAGTACACCGTCCACCAGATCTCCTTCAACGATCCCAACCCCATGCACATTGACGCCACGTTCAACATCATCGGTCCAGGGTTGGTGATTGTCAATCCCGACCGGCCGTGCAATCAGCTCAGCATGTTCAAGAAGGCCAACTGGGATTTTGTGACCGCTCCTAAGCCCGTGTTTCCTGACGGTGAGGAGAAGTATCTGTACTGCAGTGATTTCACTAAACTTTGCGCAATTTCGTAACTTCACTTTTGGCACAATTATTGCGTAAGTGGGGCAACATTTCACGCTATGCAACATTTCACTTTTGACACATCCCGCGTAAGTTTCATCGTGCATAAGTCCGATACTTGTGCAACAAATTAGGAAGTAACTTGCACAATCATTTTAGGTGGTGTAAGTTGTGGCATGGCGACTGAAAATGAACTAGTTTACGATCATCAGGGAGCCTGTCATTGCACAACTTATCAAGGTTGATAAAAGACACTCATAGCCTTGTGTTTGAGGTAAATGAATTATTTTGCTTGTGACAATTTTTTTTTAGAGTTGCTGCATGAGCTGCCGAAGAAAGTTGGGCAAAAGTATTTTAAATATGGTGGGCAGAGGTGATTCAACAACTGTATCGTGATGAACAGTATCATACACAAACAACAGTAAAACATGTTGTTATCACAGAATTTAAATTATTTAAAACCTTTTGCACATACGCCAAGTTCAATTGTAATGCTATTGCGCAGCTGCGCAACAAATTTAAAGCGTAAGTCCTACGCATAACATAAGTTACGCACTGTTTCGTGAAATCGTCTGTAGGTCCCAAGGTGTCAAAGTTTCTCGAACCCATTCTCTCCAACATATTCGATTTTTGCCCCTTACAAATTTTAATTGGCATGTTTTATTCAAATGGAAAAATCAACCTTTTTCCTATTTTGGACATTTTCAGTCATCCTAAACTACAATATTATCAGATAATATTGGGATTCTTCTGTAACCTAAATGCACAAAAGAGATACACATGAATTATTGTTGGGCAACACAAAGAAATTTGTACAGTAAACGGTGGAACACCTTCATAACAAGGTCCTGGCTTGGGACTTTACAAATTACCTTTTATAACAGGTACCTTGTATTGAACAGTAATGGAAAACACAAAGACTTGGGACCTAATATTTTGCTTGCTACATGTATAAGCAGGATGCTGTATTAACAGTGCTCTTATCATGGTTCGACTGTATTCCAAATCTAAAGTGGGCAGATTTTTTTGTTTCAATTTCTCAGCAAAAAGTTAGTTACATTCGAATTGCTAGAAAAATAGCGATTGAAAATTGTAATCAATATTTAAAAGTGAAACTCAAATTACGAAGGGAGACTATTAATGGAACTATTAAAGGTGTACAATGTACTGTCTGTGTTTGTTCATAGTTGCACCCTTAAAAAAGGTTGTTTTTTTATGTTTTTTTTTTCAAAGTGCCCTTCACCAAAAGTTATTCACTTTTGAATGAGACATCAGATGACAAAATCTGCCCAAATTTAGCTTTGAATTTGTAATCAAAATACATATAATACATACATGTATAGAAATTAAAAGGTATAAAACAGTCCAGTATAACTTAAAATGCTTCAAAATCACATTACAGAATTAGGCCCAGGTAAGAACAGCAAAAAAGAGTATAATCAGAGAATAAACAAGAACGACCGATAGGCCCTAGATATAGTGAAACGCACATGAATTTGATGCTCCTTGTTAATGTTGTTAGTCCCCATTATCTGATACAACGTGCTCTCTGGAGACATGCACACAATAGGGAACAAAAGATTGGACACGTCTCCACAGGGTAATTTCTATAGATGAATACGTCTCCACAAGGTTATCACGAAATAGATATATGGACTTTACTAAAAAACTAGGAATTTCCAAGGCACCTCAGTAAGTTGATCTGTCGCAAATGGAAGAGTTTTAGAAAAGGGATATTAAATCCAAATTTCAGCCAAGGAAATTAATTCTGGTTAAAATAAGAGCCATTTGAAACTAGACTTTCAACTCGAAAACTTTACTACACGAGAACAAAGAAATGTCTCCACAAGGAAACAAATTCCAGTATGCGTGTTTGTGTACTTTACATCTATTCCTCCCTTTCTTTGTTCACAGACCATCCCCTATGGATGTCCTCCAAGTGGCTCTCCATGAATGTCTTGATGCTGGACCCTAAACGTGTCGTTGTGGACGAAATCGAGAAACCAACGCAGGAGATGTTCCGTCGCCTGGGCATCGAGTGCATCTGCGTTTCTATTCCCTTTGCTAACTCCTTCGGTGGCGGCTTCCACTGCTGGACCAGCGACATACGCCGCCGGGGCACCCTAGAGACCTATTTTTAAACTTTGAAACTTTTTCTTACGTAAATCAGATCGTTTTCTCACTCGCAGTATACATTTAATACAGTACCATGATAATATTCTTCCTTTTCAAAATTATATTTATAGACATAAAATGTATTTCATATATGCTATAATACATGTTTATGGTAGATCCATTTTAAAATAAACTGTTCTTTCTATGGCTTAGTCATTAGCCAAAATGTATTTTAGCTGCTTCAAGAAACAAAAAATCAATAAAATAAATCTGAAGCAGATTATTTAACAACTAATCTGTCAATCTTTCTGCTCAGTAGGCATACTTTTTGAGAAAAGTGCAAATGCACGTTTATTTTTCTCGACACAAAGCAAGGTTTCCATTGATAGCCCTCACTTCCAAAATGTTCATATGTTTTGAATTGCACCCTCTTGTGGTATGATCCCCAATGTGTGTCTCGAAAAAAAAAAAATCTTATTCATTCATATTTAGGCCTCATTGATTGCAAACTACTTTGGTCAATTCGGTGTAGTATTTGGAGGGGAAAAAAGCTGTTATTGCCTGCCAGACTCTTGCAGGGCAGGTTCATTAATTGTGTGCAAAATTAAATTCCGTTTTTAGAGGGTTGCAGACACAACAAATCAGAAAAAAGTTGGGTCTTTTAGTTAAAACGGAAACACAAATTGACAATTTGTAAGAGGAAAAATACCAAATATCCATTTTTTTTGGAGGAGCACTCCACTGCTCCAAAAGGGCTTTTGTTTCAGCTCATTCCAAGCAACTGCTTGAACATTGATGAACACGTAAGGTAGTTTAATGTAACAGAGGGAATGTCTTTATTTTGCCATTTTTCTTTTTAAAATATTAGTCTTTAGCTTATGGTTGTGGGGATTTATGCAGACTTATATAATTATGGTGAGATTCTTTTGTTCATGAATGGACTATAGGCCCTAGGCATAGTTATAATCCTTCTTGGACTGAACATTTTATTACAGATTCCTGTGCTTACAGGGATAGCGCAGGATTCCTTTGGCTAGTGTCGTTAGCACAAAATGGTGAAAATAAGTGCAGAATTCTGTGCTTAGCAGAGCCATGAAATTGGGCCAAAATTAATGTTATGTAGTTTTCAGGATGAGTAAAAAAGAAAGTGACTGGGATTAACATTTTTTTTTTCTTAAAAAGCAATCAAATTTAATACAAGAACGAAGTATGACTTCCAAGTGCATGTTCTTCCACTCATCTGAAGACCAAAAAAAGAATGACTGAAATTGATCCATGCTTTCAGATTTTTTGCATGTTTTACTAAAATAAGCTCTGTCCATGGAATGCCATTGGAAGCTATTGAGCCGAGTTAGAATTACAGAGTACACACTGGCACTCAAATACAAATGGGATCATTTGAGTCGAGACTGAATCATCATTTTTACAGTCGGATTTTGTGTTTGAATATGAGGAACAAGTCCACTGCCTATATTCTGAGTGGACGCAGCGTCGTCTTGGCGCTGAGTACACCGTCCACCAGATCTCCTTCAACGATCCCAACCCCATGCACATTGACGCCACGTTCAACATCATCGGTCCAGGGTTGGTGATTGTCAATCCCGACCAGCCGTGCAAATCAGCTCAGCATGTTCAAGAAGGCCAACTGGGATTTTGTGACCGCTCCTAAGCCCGTATTTCCTGATGGTGAGAAGTACATGTACCGCAGCTGATTTCACAAAACTTTAAATATTGATGACGATTTTTGTTTTCCTTTGCAAGTTTTCGTTCATTCATTTATGTGAAATACGTCAATGTTTTATTGTATTTTTTAGGTATTCATGTCGGTGGTGGACAGCTGCATTTTGTTATCTTTTTACTAAAATAGTCATAACTTGGGAATAGAGTATACAAATTAAGTGAAATCTTCACTGTTACTAGTCAATAACTTTTAGTCTGAAACTTTCACTGTAATATCTTTCAAGTCATCAAAAAACATGGTGCATAATTTCATGCAACTCTGACAGCAATATTTAACAATATGTTAATGTTATGTACATGGTTTTCAAGCACAGGTGTGTGGCACCCTTTACCTTTTGATTGCCCAACTATTTGTCAGTATTATAAGTTTTGACTGATATTACAAATGTACTTTATCACTATGGAATAACAGATGGTGCTGCAATAAAATTCAAGATTTCAACAAGCTTGTATATGTTGAAGGCTGTCATTTGTAATACGTTTGCAGATTTATCCCATTTTTGTTTGAACAAATACTTTATGAATAGGCCAAGTAGCATACACAGGGACCATCAGACGATATGGTGAAATGGTGCTCGGCGTTAACATAGTTACCTGTACATGTACATGTATGTATGTAGTTATCACTTTTTACAATTCACTAATAAAGGCCAAAAATGTAGGATCATGAACATTCAAAAATATAATTATTTGGCTTGACAGAATTCGACACCAGATCGCCAGCGCAGGGCGCTAGTGTGCCCTGCAAATTTGATAGCCACCACGTGCAGTGAAGCGAGTAAGCAGCTTGGGTCACTGTTGACCCATTGAGCTCCATGGTTGACACAAGTATTCATAGTATTCCCAGCTGTTCATCCATGGCAGATTAGTTCATTCTTGTGTGTAGGATCCTTGACCCATTAGGCCCCCCAAAAAAGTCTCCGGTTTCTGGTATGGAGCTTGCCCAAAAAGTGGTGCGGCGACGCGGCTTTTTTTTTTTTTTTACCTAACTTTTTTGCTTCAAATGTCGGCTGATGACTGCAAATGGTGCCCGACTAAACTTAGTGCAAATATATGGGAGTCCAGAGAGGCCACATAAAGCTTATTCTTGATCATAACCCCATCTAAAAACACGTTAAAATTGTGCAGCAGCAGGATTCCAGTCAAACCAGTGAGTTTGGCAGTTTTGAGACATCATCTTTCATTGGAAAAAAAACTTTTTCATTTTGCCGACGCGCATGGCTACGGCGACGTGCGCGCATACCAGAAACCGGAGACTTTTTTTTTTGGCCTTAGAAAGTTCCATTATTTGTCATGAATGGGCATGGCCAAGACCAAGAGTTGTTCATCAAAGGCAGATTAGTTCATTCTTGTGTGTAGGATCCTTGACCTGTGTAGGATCCTTGTCATGAATGCGCATGGCTGTAGTGCATTGTGTAGAGCGGCATACACCACCAATGAAATCTTCCTATTTTTTTTTTACAAAACGTCAAAAGACCATTTCTTTCAGCTATTGACTCACGCATGAACTATTGCTGCAGCCACCCACTAATGCCCTACCCTTGGGAGAGTTGTGTTAAATAGTGGACACACGCATGACCTGTGGACAATGTAGTTACAACCCCAAAATGTAGAACGTCGTTTACAAAATGAAATAAAGAGGTACAATAAGTTTTGTTTTTTTTCATTCATCTAAATTTGATGAGAAGCTTTTGCTTGTTAAATAAATTCAAGGTAATAAAAATAAATAAAACAAACACAAAAAAATATAAAACAGAAATAAAAAGAATTTTTCCTCAGAAATGTTTTCTTTGCTTAACGATTTTGTGTTTAGCAACTCCATCGAAAATGGCCCTGATCTATAACAGAGTAAATTCTACATTTTTATGTGTGAGCTCTTGCCAAAATAAGTTTTTTTGTATTAAACAGGTCCCCCCCCCCCCTTGTCATGTATGTAAAGATCAGGACGTCGCACTTTCACACCCTAACAATGTCTGATTTAATGTCACTAAGCTAAAAAATACAAGGTGGTTAACTCAGTGTAAAGTTTGGCTGTTTCCATTAAAATTTCATATAATCAAACTGAAGATGTACTGTCCACTGTCGCTGGTTCCCGGTAAACTGAATGATTCTTACGTCCACACATTTCCTTCTGTGAATTCCCGTTCAAAAATAACTATTCTGAATCAGATCATAGAAAAAAACAAAAATTTACAGCTTTGAATATATAGTATCATGATCAAGCTTATAGGCGGGACAATTAACAGTTCATTATTATTTGAGACTTTATTTTCCTCGTTGCAAAACAAATCCAAACTAGAGTTTCACGTTTGTTTAGTTACAAACGCAGAGTGGTCGGGCGGACAGCCTTTTCATTATACACTGCCCAGTTAAGTTAAGAATATATGTTTATGTAGAAAAAAAGATCAGGACATTAAATCCCTTCAAGCACAATCAATGTTTCAAAAAGGTATCTTTAACGGTGTAATAAATTTCAGTAAACATTCTATGTGCACAAAAAGTTATGTCTGGTTTAATGACGTCATCAGTCAAAAATGGTGAATGAATACTGATAAAGTTCGGAGAGGATAATTTCTCATTGTAAAGTTAAAATAACGTATGAAAATATGGGAAATATAATTGTTTGTATTAATAACACCTAACTTCCGGTTTGATGACGTATTGATAACACCTAACTTCCGGTTTGATGACATCACAGCATTAGAGATCCAAAGGTGAACATTGTAATGGATATCATTATGTGGACTTCGGAAATATGACAGGGATCAAATGATAGAATTAAATTAAAACTATGATCTTTTTCAAATTCTCCTTAAGGCAACTTCCGGTCTGATGACGTCATGAATTTGAAACCTTGCCAAGTTATCTGTGGTTAATCAGAGAATGTCAAGGGGCGATTTGGTAAAATTTGGACGGATGGTTTTACAATTAAAGAAGGGAAACTCTATTTTATGTGCCGATAGGGGGCGCCCTTTCGGATGATGACGTCATCACACTGCTTTTTGCATCTTGCATTCCTCACTAAACACTTTCATAATATATATGTCTGTAGTAAAATGCTTCCGCTTTTGAGTTATATTCAGTTTTTATTGCACTTCCGGTAACACCGGAAGTAAAGGTCAAGCAGTTTTGCGTCCGGGAAAACGAAATGTTTCTCACGGTATAGTCTACAACCTCACGAAAAGACGAACACAATACTCTATTTAGTTCACAAGATATAAAGCAAACTATTTTGTCAAAATTTGCCCTGAAATTGCTTGTAATTTGATACCTGAAATTTATAACATCTTCGTAACACGGTACAAGTTCCCACAAGGTTTTGTGATCATACCGTGAACCGTTTGGAAGAAATGTTGCCTTGTTTTGATTTCAGGCTAACGTCTTCATTTGAATTCACCTAACTTTGACCTTCCGGTAGACCCGGAAGTAAAGGTCAAGCGAGTTCACGTACACGACAAAAACTGTTAAGCGTTTAATGGTCTATCTGATTGCAGAATACAAACATCATTGAATATTTAGTTTAAGAGTTATAGGTGAAAGTAATTGGTCACTTTTTCAGATAAAATCACTTGTAATTTGACACCTGATGACGTAATCATGACGTCAGAGTAATATGCACCACTAGGGATGAGGGTCGATATATATTGAAAGTTACAAGTTCATACCATATACCGTTTAAGAGAAAACCCACGGAGAAGTATTGTCCGGAAAAAAAAAAGAAAGAAAGAAAGAAAGAAAGATTAATCGTAACAGATCCAAAGAGTGGTCGGGTTGTGCCCGACCACTCAATTACACACTTTGTAGGAGGTTGTTATGGGAGGAAGGTACATTCTGGAATATCTTAAGAAATGTACCCAAAAAACCCAAACACAGAAAAAAATTTAACACCTTTGAAAGATGTTTCTAGGCCAAATTGGACTTTCTGCCCAGACTGTTGTTCACAGTATATCAACAACCTCACCATAAATCAGACATTTTTGGTACTTGAAGACAAAGTAAATAAACCTGAAAATATATTTTGCAAATCTTATTCATGCACATCAATCATCTAGTAATGGTCAAGGAGATTACAGACTAGGAAATTTGGATCATTTCTCTGAAACATTAGATATCAGGGTTTATTAGTTCTGTCACGGACGTTACATTTTCTTCCATAATGCCGGAGCTGGAACTTGATACCGTGGGGAGCTAATACAGACTACCCATAATGACCTGTTTTATTTTTGTTTTAATATAACTCATACATATTCACAACAATTGTGTTGCATCGATATCTCGGCTGTGTGTGTGCCGCCATCTTTTCATGAAGCTGGGGGATGTTTGCTTAAAGCTATAGTCCATCATTTGCAGCCATCCGAAAAAGTAACTGGCGTATTATTGTTGAAAAACATAGTTGCTTGAAAGAGAATAAGTGGACTTAACTCCCTGTGAAATTAATCTTTCTGGCAAGATATCATTTTGAAGTAATCAACGAAAGAAGGCCTTTCCAACGGTGCGTCTTAAGACGCACCGTAGGAAAATTTAAATTAGTAGTTCGTTTTGTTATTCGGCGCAGCGCGCGCAAGCATTGGCACGACGCATAGGTGCGCGCGGTTGCTATAATTCGTCGGATCAGTGCGCGACATCGCGTATAGCTGCAATTCAAAACAATTCAAAACATGATTCAGAAACTTTTGATTTGAAATTGAGATCCTAGAATGCTATTTTTCTCGGAATATACAGCTGAAGCTGAGCTGAAACTTCATCAGGTTAGTTGTTCAATATCTTTCATTAGATTTTGAACACTTTTATTGCTTCAAACGAACAAAATGCACAAATTACAAATGATGGAATACATCTTTAATAGTAAAGCACATGCGTAGTAGACTATCGCACATGTAACTCGTGTGATATTCTACTGCGTATGCCTATTAGCTCTGTGCGTGAATCCTTGCATATGTGCTGGGTAAATGGCAAAAATAGCGGCTGACACGTGATGGTGAATGACCAGTAAGAATTCGGTTCTCGCTCATGAATATAAATGAGGTATAGCAATACAAGATTTTATTCTCACAAAAAGAGGGCAAGTACAAATCGGGAAAAATCAAATTTGGCACACAATCCATAAAAAGCACTGCAGAACAAGATAAATTTCACTGCCCGAAAGCGACAGTATTGCTTACCATAAACGGCTTCTTCGTGTTTAAAATAATGGATTCCAATCTTAAAAAGTAAACCAAGTTGAATGAGATATCCAAGGAAACTGTTTAATATTGCTTCTTTTTGTGCTGTAAATTCTTTATAACCATAACAGAACCTGTACAAAAAATTGAGCCTGTCGCTTCAGCACCTTTGCATGGGAAATTTTTTTAACTAATTACAGTGAATAAATGGTCACCTCTGCTAATAAAAGAGAGGTTAAGTCAAAAGTTTTTTTTGCAGAAACGTGTACGCCTAGGACCAGCATTCTGTCATTGATACACGCATGAACGTACACAAAAATATATGTTGATCGACAACACACATGTACAACTGCTGGCTTGCCACAACGTGAAGGAAAGGAGGTCAAACCTCTTCATTTCTCATGCATGCAAAATATTAAAGACTGACAATGAAGTTTTATCAGAGGTCACATAATATACTGTCATAATCTCTATGGACCTGATTCTTTTAGAGCATTTTTAAAAACGTTCACGCACGCGAAGCTTTGAGTACGCGTTGCTGTAAACGTTAGCAAAATACGTAACTTAACCTCTCTTTTGTATTATCAAGTGTACAATAAAGGTGGTTATCAATTAGTACCAAAAAAAAAGCAGAATTTTTTTTTGACAAATAAGGGAATTATATGGCTCAGTTGGTAGAGCATCAGTACAGAAATCTAGAGGTTGAAGGTTCAAAACCTGCTTCAGTTAATTTCTTTAATAGTTTAACTTCAAAAAAAGAAGAAGTTTGTTTCCAGTTTTCAGGATAATTTTCCTCCTCCAACAGACATTTGAAGTTCATTGAAACTCACTGAAGCTCATTTAGTCAATTACATGGAGTATATAAGCACACGAATAAGCTAAGCACAGTTCTTATTTACTTAGTAAGTACTGTACCAGTTAAAATGTCATGTGAGTTGGTGAGGTATTTTGCTTACAAGTCAGGAATTCTCAGCTGCTTTTGCTCAGTACCTAACAATTTTTGTTCCTTGGGTTAGCAACTCCATGAACCCAGGTGTCGTTGTTAACTTAAGGCTTGAGTGAATGGCTATTGTCTCCTGCTTTTTGCTGACCTTTGCTGACCTCTAACAATTTCAGCTGACCTCTGTTGACCTCAGTTGACCTCAGATGACCTAGGCCGATTCACTTATGATACATTAGATAAGGAAATTTGGCTCAACTCACCCCTTGACCGGGGGCACACAGTCAATGTTTACAACCACTCCAACTTTATCGTCTGTCATTGCTCGGTGAAGTACATGTGGTAGGCAATCCCAAAGAGGCTTGTGATGAACCAAGCAAAGGCCGTCCACCACGTCAGGAACGAGAAGACGCCCCGGAAGAACACAGGCGAAAAAACGTTGCGCAGGTTCTCCAGGGCAATTTTGAAATGTTCGGCGGTGGCCTCGGCACTGGCGACCTCCGATTGTGGCGAGACAGCTGGGGAAGTTTTGGGAACGGAAGCGGTGGAGTTGACTGGAGATGATTCAAACAACCCCGTGGAATAACCTCCTGATAATAACCAACCAAAGAGAAAGAACGGAACACAACAAAATTACATGTACGTCATTGAAACTCCACTAAAAACTTGCGTCACACGTGAAAAGGCAAAAAACCATACAGGTTCAATTTTTTTGTGCACGCTTACTGTGGTGTGTTTCTTGTTTTTGTTTTTTCCACAAGGCTACCAAACAAATGTGTTTTTTTTTGTCCTGTTTAATTACACTTAATGAACAGTTAAATTACTGAAAATATAAAATCTGCAACTGGACACATCTTACTATTTATCAGAGCTGCATGACTTGTGACTCAAGTCCCATTTTCCGTGACTCAGACTCAGACTCGAGTCACTATGACAAACGACTTGGACTCGGATTTGGACTCGACCCTATGGACTCGGACTTGGGATCAGGACTCGACCAAAAATACTACAAATCCATTATTTCAATATTGGGTTTCCTCCTTCGTAAATGTATGTATAAATAATTTGGTTGCGGTACCTGCTGCTATATTAACAAGCCGGTCAATCCCGGCAAGCTTGGTGGTAGAGTGGTAAGACATCTGCACTAGAAAGCAGGAGGTCGTGGGTTCGAGTCCCACCCAAATAAGCTTGAGAATTTTTTTCTCGCTAGCCCTCAGACAACACGGAGTAAACAGTGTTTATAAAATACCGCAATGGCGAAGGGCAAAACCCAACATTGAATGGACACATCTTGTAGGTTAGAAAGGATAAACTCACCAAGTGACTTCAGTAGACACGTAAAGCTGAGTAGTATGAGCATTGGTGCTAAGTATTGCAATGTGACAACGCACAAGTAGTAAAAGACCCGTACAACCTGCGAAGAACAGAGCAGCCAGAAATGTGGTATGAGGATTTGAATGGTGGAGCGTACAACCTGGGAGAAATTTTGTGTAGATACACCATGTAGAGAGAAGTGTGGTTTAACCAGACGTGTTGAAGGTAATGGATACCAAAATGAAACAAAAATGAAACTGCCAAATTATTATGAAATATCAAGCACTCTGTGAAATCATTGCACCTACTATGCGGTCACTTTCAAGAAAAGAGGGATTGCCATCATTTCCTCACAATGGTAAACCATCTTGATAAAGAATTATTCTTTTCAAATGCTGCCCCAAATTGACCGAATGTAGTCTAGTTTGCAATCTGTTACAAATCTGTGAATGAGAATTATTTTCTCGAGGGACAAACTGGGGATTATACCACAAGAGGGTGCAAGTCAAAATGTAATGACAAACAGTTTGGTAGGGGAGAACTTTCAATGTAAAACTTGCATTGTGTTGAGAAAAATGAAGATTCGTTTTCAGAGTTTTCTCAAAAAGTACATGTATGATATTAAAGCTGAATTTCGACGGGTTTGTTTTTAACAATGTTGTTTCAAATTCATTGTATTGCTGTTTCTTGAATCAGCAAAAAAACACATTTTTTTTTTCCACAAATGGCATTTTATGGCATTTTGGCCAGTATGCTCAGATCTGAGGAGTCCTTCAAACGTTGAGTAAATATTGAGTTCTTCTCCAAGTCAAACTCTTTCCTTTTGAGTATTTCACTTCACACAGTGTACACAGGGTGAGTAAAGAAAATGAAACCCAAATGTCAGGACCATTTTTGTAATAAAGTTCTTCCCTTAGCACTTTCAAAATTTACGAATCATTCAAATCACTCATGTACTTTTCAAGTTACGGGATTTGAAACACAAACACTGTTTTAAAGTTCTGTCCATGGATCACAAAAAAAGTCATTGTTCTTTCAGCAAAAAGAAAACAATTCACGTACATTCCTACTGTGAATTGTTTTTGTTTTGCTGTAAGAACACTTACCTTTTTTGTGATCCGTGGACAGAACTTTAAAATGGTGGCTGTGTTTAAAATCCGGTAACTTGAAAAGTACATGAGTGAATGATTCTTGTACTAAACGAAAGCTCAATAATGGGCTTTCATATCGTACATTTTGAAAGTGATACATGCAGAACTTCATTACAAAAATGGTCCCGCTATTTGGGTTTCCTTGTTTTCGACTCACCCTGAATTTAGCAAACTTCATCCAACTTTCATCTTTCAACAGGAACGGGATCTATGCAAAATTGACTACAGCTTGTGTGGCCTACTCGCATTTAGCCCAATGAGACCACTTACTCACCAAGTGAAAACCAGTCTTCGCACAATATACTCAGCCAATTTCCAGTTAAATGAAACCCACCCCACAGCTTTCAGTCTGCTCCCTCTAATGTGTATTTTTTATAAAGCGCACGTTTCCACCAATATTGGTGCTACATCATTATTAAACCCTGCTCATTGGGCCAATGAAACATTCTTACACCATCTCAGCTCCCTGAGGAGTAAACAGCTCGATGCTGCCATTTCAGCGCAAAGCAGCTAAAATCAATCCAAGTAACCATCTCTACCCTCATACACTCCGGGGTGGGGAGAAGCAAATGAGTGACAAAGTGCCTTACCCAAGGGCACATGCACCATAACCTCAGGCTGGACTCGAACCCACAACCTGCAGAATTACCAGCAGACCTAGAATTCAATGCACCAGACCACGAGGCCACGGCACTCCGCAGCCTGAGAGTCCAGACTCGGACGTGAATACACATTTTTTAAAGACTGGAAATTGTTGCGACTCAGACTCGTGTACTGTCCAAGATGTTAACACTCAAAAACACTTGAGAAGAGCCAACAAAATTCTGACCAAGACTTTCCCATTTAGTGTCTTCCCCCACTCCAGATGACAAATATGTTGCTAATCCAAATTCAACATGCAAAAATCTGACCAAATCACTGGGTGGAGTTTACCAAGATGGTGGCTGTTATCAACTCACAGTCTTTTGGAGCTCCAAGCTGTTGATTCGTCCAGCCTCTTGTTTCAGCTTTTCCACTTTATCTTTGGCCATGTTAAGATAGGACTGTAGGTAGTGGGTCATCAACAGCATGCGCAGTACACACAGCATGGGTACCAGTGACATACGAATTAGGTCAAAGGTCAAGGAGCTCATTCTAGAAAAATGATAGAAGATGAATATGGGAACCGTCAAGAGTTGCCTTTGGTGAGTCCAACATGTTTTGAATTCGCTCTTTTCACGCTCCGCCATTGGGCATGCAGAGCCTCGATCTGGCAACTTTACACAATAATAATAGCCGGTTCAGTGATCTGAACCCTGACCGGGAATCACTGAACCGGCTATAGTCATTGTGTAAAGTTGCCAGATCGAGGCTGTGCATTGCCCATGGCGGAAGTGTGAAAAGAGCGAAGTGATTCCAATTCTGTCCAGAAGTCACTTCAGTAGACCTTGGCACATCCCATCCCTTCAGGACAGGTATTGTAAATGTGAGACGTTCTGGCAAAATGAGACAGAACGGGGCAGAAGTTGAAATGAGGGTTTGCAGGTATACAGAAACAAAATAAAATGCTCCTTACAATACTGTTGCACTTCAATTGGACATTCCATTGACAAGTTATGGCTGTTTAAAGTTCACATTTATTGACATGTGACATGTCAAAAAAGTAAAATACTGAGAAAAAGGTCTTTAAAGGGAACATGAAATAAAATTTTGATTGCATTTTTTTTGCTTAAATCAATAAAGGATGATGTTCTTAACAATATTTTGTGTATGGCGGTGTTTATTTTCTAAGATAAATGGGGGAAAATAATTTGTGAACATGTTTGGTCAAACTACTCCGCCCCACAAAGGGAAGCTTCATTAACATAAAACTTCGCGAGGGGTATGACGCAAGCGAAGGCAGAGACTTGCCGCGCTGCGGGGGCACCGGCACTGCGGCGTGCATCATAATACATGTACATATACATTGCGGCACTGAAAGTTTTTCTGGTGTTTCGTTTGGAATCGAGGAGAAATAACACCCGATTTTCGGCCATGCCGACAAGGTGTGTGGCTGCTGGGTGTAGCAAAACTACCAAGGATGGAGTAAGCCTTCATTTGTTTCCAGTAAATCCGAAATATCGGAGCATTTGGAGAGCCAAAGTGAAGGTAAATACCAGAGCAAAGTGGTCCGGGCCCAGTGAGTTCGCGGCCCTCTGCGCTGCACTTTGAGCCGTCGTGCTTTGATGCTGGTCTGTACAGCAACTTGGGCATGCCCCTAAAAATACATCGAGTCAGTGTCTGAATCATTAGAACTCTGATTCGAATCGGACGAATCTGTACCATTTTCATCGGATTCGCAAAGGAAAGAAGAGGACGGTCTTCGGAACTTTTACGGTCATGACGGTCATCGTTGTGTTCATTCGACAACGGTGGCACCGTGGCACGTCTGGGTGTATGTGTGTACTGTACATATCCCATGTAGACACATTCGTACGTGTGCATATAATGCCACGTACGGGTACGCGGCGGCTGCACACAGCACAGTAGCTTCGCTAATCCGTCTCGTACCCAGACGTCATTTACGGGCCCTGAATTTCTCTGCCTTTGTTTATGTCATGAACAGCGCCCTCATTTGGAGTTGCCGCGAAAATCAAAAAGGGGGGGTTCAATTTTGGACGGCAAATTACCACACTAAACGTACACCAGAACCAGTTCTGCTTTTAATTCACATTTAATACACATAAATGAATGTATATATAAAATAAAATACGTTATGAAAATTTTGGACTGCATGTTTCCTTTAAAGTTTTGAGTTTCCTTGTGGCGAAAATGAAAGATGTCAATTGTTTTTTTCTTAGATCGAGGCTGTGCATGCCCATGGCGGAAGTGTGAAAAGAGGGAATTGATTCCAATTCTGTCCAGAAGTTGGTATTCGGAAACAAAATAAATGTTCCTTACAATACTGTTGCACTTCAGTCGGTCATTCTGTTGACAAGTTATGGCTGTTTAAAGTTCACATTTATTGACGTGTCAAAAAAGTAAAATACTGAGAAAAAGGTCGTTAAAGTTTGGAGTTTCCTTGTGGCAAAAATGTAAGATGCCGATTGATTTTCCTTAGAAACGCTTTTATTCCACGATTTTTATATTACATGTATTTCTTTAAATTATGTGTAAGACAAATCTGAAAAATTTAGAAAAATCACCCCCATTTGTTTTTTGTTTTTGTTGCATTTTTCTCCACAACGGCCTGTGCCCAGTTCTGTCTCATTGTGCCAGACCGCCTCACAAATTACATTTAGTGAAAATAGCAGTATAAGTTGTCTACTTACGCATATCACTATCCTAGGTCACAATAATCATATACAACATAATGCATAATGCACTTCTTCACAGATTTGCTCTGTAGGGAGACCTACAGATAAACTGTCAGTGATAATCACCTGTGTTCCCACCCATACACAGTGAGACCAACCAACAGACAGACAGTAATATTCTCTCTCACACGCAGAAACACAGGCACATTTGTCTATGGTGTAAATCAAGGATTTTCTTTTGTTCCTCTTCCCTTTTCCTTTGTTTATACTTTAAACTTTTCGCAACAGCTCTCGTTGGTTTTGTACACGTTTTCCAACCGAGGAGTCCTTGATTCGGTTTCTGTCCTTGATTTATGGATGATGTTGCATGTGTGTGTCCTCGATTTACACCATAAACACGCACACACACAAAAACAGATAGTGATAACTGGCTGTGTTCCAACACACACACACACACACTGGGACCAACAAACAAACACAGTCAATATTTCCTCTGTGAGTAGACACCAACAAACAAACAGGCACTGGTAATCTGCCATGCCACCATGTACCTCACATGCAGATAGACCTACAGAAAAATACCCCATGATAATTAGCTTTCTTTCATTATACACACACAGTGAGACCAACCAACAGACGGTGATATCTCCTCTCACGCAGGCAGAGACACCCACAGACAAACAGACAGTGATAACCGGCAGGGCTACCTACAGTGGTTCGTCTTTGCCAGTCATTCTCTTGCCAGTGGCAGGGTTGCACAAGTAGTCTCTGCCAATGGGCTTCACCCACATCAACGTGATCAGCATGGGAAACAGAAAACTGGTGTGTAGTACGATCCTGCAACAAGCGACACAAGCAAACAATGAACACATATTGAATATGAATTGAAATGAATTGGTCTTGAAATGTTATCACTATTGGGGGTGATCATTTATGAGTACATGTAGTACAGGAATGAAGTTGTGCATCGGGTCAGGTTGACCAGGCAAAACCGACCCGAAACATTAAAGATATGAACCAAATCTGAACCGAAACTGGTCTGAACTCCCCTAATCCAACCCGACAAAAAATTAAGCAAAGCCGACTCGAACCGACCCAAAAAAAGAACCAACCCGAAAAAGAACTGACCCGAAAAAACCTGATTATCTGGTTTGGGCAACTGTATCCACTTTTTGTGCCTGAACTTGCCAGCGTTGAGTGAAAATTGTCGTCTCTCAGTAACAGAATCATACCATCAGTATGATAAAGAATCATAACGTGACCTATTGGTCGGTGTACACATTATAGACTGTGTGTGATAGTCTGCAAACCACATGCACATTCGCGCGGTGGGTTTACATTGGTCGTACCATTGAACCAGGCACAGTATCTCTGCTATAATATTGCACTGCTTGAATTTTCAAACTGTTTCAGTTTATTTTAGTTTATTTCAATTTATAAAACACCTGAATAAATCCCCGTCATCTGTTTGGTGGATCGTTGATCACATGTCATTGAATTATTCGTACCAATGCACGGCGCGCGCCTGGCGCGCAGCGCACAGTGCAATGGAAGTACTATTGCACTGTGATTAGAAGTACCATTGCACTGTCACTGCACATGTTGCCGAAGGTGGCGCTGTGGTGTTTAAATTGGCAATAAAAGTTCTGGACTTATTGAACTGTTTAAGTTCTAAACTTAAGGAAAAGTTTTAAATTGAGATAAATTGAATATGATAGTTCTCAACCTGTTGAACAGTTTGCATCAATTAAATATGATAACTCTGAACTTGTCAAACTTGTAAACAATTTTTAACTTGAATAAATTGGCTATTAAAAGTCAACCAATCTGATGACGAGGATTTATTCAGGTGTTATATAAAACAAATAATGAATGTTTCACATTCATGCAATGGTAAGAATAATTTCATTCGCTGACAGATGAAATGTTCCATTCCACTCAGCTTCGCCTCCTGGAATGGAACATTTCATCTGTCACCTCATGAAATTAATCTTACCATTGCACTCACAAACATTCATTATTTGTATATTATTTCAGGTTTTTCACAAGATGGTTTAACGGACCCCACCCGAACTGAAAATCACAAACGCAAAACCAAAACCGACCCGACCTGACTGAAATGATGGCAAAACTGAACCGACCCAACCCGAAATCGGTTTCGGGTAGGTTCAGTTTTGGTTTCGGGTTGGGTTTGCACAACACTATACGGGAACCAGGTACCCAATTGAAAAGAAACACCGGTACCCAGTAATATGTTTTGTTTCCCCATGAAACCTGGTTTTCGGAACCAGTTCCAGTATGGGATGGGTACCCGACCCCATAGTCTGGAACTGGTTCCTGACATCAGCGGTCGGGTACTCAGTTCTGATGCACAGCCCTATCACTGATGTGTTTTTCAGTTTTGGGTTTTGCCCTCCACTGACGTTATCTTACCAGTACTAAGTATCTGATATTCTTGGTCTGAGACCGAGTTAGGATTTTGTTCCCCAATGCAGTCAGTCCCTGACGTGTGCAGTCAAGCCACTGCACTATCAATAGGGTTAAAGGGTACATACAGTGAATACAGTGAACACAAATATTGTGCAACTTTCTACTCCTCTAAAATATATGAAAACTATTTGAAATCCCTTTTCGGTTAATTTTACTGAAAAGTGCACTTCTTTAAACATTTTAAAATTGTCCATACTGTTCCAGACAACTGAGGGCGCTGTTGCTGTGATGTCATTTCAGGAAGACACTGTTCAGTTTTAGGGGTTTTCTGTTCATATTGTAAAACCAAAAATGTGCTCATTGAAAACATTTTTGAGAAAAGTTTGCTCATTAGCTTACTGCCAAGTACTGACACAACAAGGAATCACCAAAGAAAAAAAAATCACTTACTGCATGACTGGTCGGTCAACAGCAAACCTGATGGAATCCACATGCATCTTGGCGATGCGGAGACCGGGGAAGGCCAAGAAGGCCCCGAGCAGAGCAGCACAGACTCCGATCAGGGACTTGAAGGCGATCTTTGAGATGGGCCCGCTGGAGGGCAGGTCCTGTTCCTTCAAGAAGTCTATCGCGCCGGAGGTGAAGTTCTCATAAGCTGAAGCAAACACACAGTAATAATAAATAATAATACATACAAAGGTTAAGTTTTTAGTGTTCAGTGCCACATTGTCTATCAAGCACTTGGGCCCATAAAACAGTCTAAAGGCCATTTCAGCTCCCTTGGTTAAACATTTACATGTACATGTATACTTATAGTTTCGTTTTTGTCTGCTTCTTTGTTTAAAGTTTGCTGAAGGGAAACAAAAACTGTAATTAGACAAATTCCGATTTCAAACCATTCCCGAGGCAAATATGCAGATCTAAGTTCCTTTTGATAAAAAAATACATATTTAATCCGAACCTTCTTAAATCCTCCAAAATCCTCTATGCAAAATGGAAGATTTTGCAAGATTGAGGCTATATGGCAAAATGTGCGGCTGATTATGGAGGATGGAACGTGCCAAGGTCTTGAGCCAGACCTCGTGTTGTTTACGCTCAGCCGTGCATAAATTTAGGCCTAGATTACACTTGAAATCCTCTGCACTGCTCCAGGATGTCACTGGCTCTGCCTCATCGTATTGACGGTGATTGCTGGAGGATTTTGCAGGATTGAGGTAGTGGTCACCCCTCCAAGGACCACATTCAAGAAATAACAGATGATTTTGGAGGACTGAAACTGTCGAATACTGAGGATAGCGAATGTAGAAACGTGATAAAGAATCACAACGTACAATAAACATATAACAAAATAAAACCATCAAGGATACCGAATGATAAACTTCTGCTCATTTTTATTTCTTCCTCACCTTCGTCAAGTCCAAATTCCAGAATCTCCTCGGGGACGATAAGCACTGCCATGGCAACCAGAGCAAAGAAGAAACCAAACGTGATGCACAAGGATCGCTCGCCATCCTCCTCACTGGAGAAGTACAACGCCGTCAGTAGAAACAGCACCTGACTAGGACCGGTCAAGGACAAATTGCTGCTCAAGGAAAATTTAGAGGGTTTGTGACGCAACCTCAGTCGCCAACTGTATTGCTGTTATTAACCCTAACCGCCCTGAATCCTTCAAAATCCTCTTTGCCAAAGTGGAGGAATTTGGAGGATTGAGGTTAGGTGGCAAAAGTGCGTTACTGATTTCGTAGGATGCACTTTGTCAAGGTCTTGGGCCGGACCTTGTGTTATTTTTGCTCAGCTATGCATAAATGTCGGCCTGGATTATGCTTGAAATCATCCGTACTGCTCCACGATGTCACTGGCCAAGCCGCAACATATTGACAGTCACTGCCACAGGATTTTGCAGGATTCAGGCAGTGGTCACCCCTCTACTGACCATATTCAGAAAATAATGGAGGAATTTGCAGGATTGAGGCTATATGCTGTTTTTCCATGAGACAAATTGGAGGATTTTGCAGGACTGAGGCTACATCCTAGCAAAAAGGCCTAGGGAGTTAGCGTTAAATATCAACTCTACTGCACTGTATTACATTGTATTAATTCCCTGATGAATCACATCATTCCATGGAATATTTGAGTTGTTTGGGGTGGTACAGGGAGTACCAGGCGGGGCAGATTGAGGCGGTACAGGGAGTAATAGTCTGGTTCCCAGACCAACAGATTCTGACTATTCCTGATGAATCTTAGGTCCGGTAGCCTCCGGTAATACATTGTATTACAATTTACGTCACGTGACTAAAACGGGAGGAATTCCTCCTTTTCCCGAAAATGTCCAAAGTTTACCGAATTCATTTCGTCGACAATTGGATAGTGCCCGAGTATTTCTGAGTATAATATAGGTTTTATTAACTGCTAATTGCTAATTAAAGCTTAAAAAACTAGTTGATTAATTAATGTCCATTGCTTTTATTTAGAAAACTTGAAATTTAATGACGATTTTGTACTCCGATCGTATACCAAGGCGAACTTTTTGCTGCGTCATGTACTAATTTGAATTTGACGACTGTTACCGGCATTTTCAAAACTCGGCGTGGTCTCAATTTGGCTCCGCCTGCTAACAGTGCTATTTGGGTGTCTAAATTTGAAGATTCCAGGTCAAAATGAGTCAATGTTTTCTTACAGAAGTATTAAACTGTATATCATAACTGTATGATTATGAAGCAAGTGATTTATTTTTAAAAATTTGATCGGAACATTAAAAGCTTTAAGTAATAAAGCGAATTCGGAAACGAAGCCGAGCTTTGAAAGAGCTTTATGTTTATTTTTAGCCACGGAGGCTGCCTGACCTACAATTTAGACGTGTGACGTGGACGTCGGTGGAAATTGTCAGGTCGGGGAACCAGACTAAGGGAGTAACAGGCAGGCAGTTTGGGCGCGGTTCAGGAACTGAAGGGTTAAGAATGTCTTTGTTCCTAATTTAAAGGTGCACTGTTGTCAGGAGATTGCCATAAAAAAAACTTTTAAAGGTTATAATGATTTTCAGCTTTCAATAATCAGTATTAGAATACACAGAATTTGGGAGCCACGGGGGGGGGGGGGGGGGATGGTGGTGATCATTTCGCCAAATGTTCAGTATAGTGGTGTTCATTATAGTGGCATTTTCCTGTATTGAAATTTTTGTCTTACTGAATACAAGATTTCATTACACAAGTCATAGTGCCGTGCTGAATATACCAAACATTTGTTTAAAGGGAAAATACAACATTTGCAAACATCAAAAAATAAAACTACCAAATCATTTTGAAATACCTTGCTGGACTGTTAGTGAATGACAGTGTAAAGCATCCTGTAAAATCATGGCACCTGGTATACTGTCATTTTCAAGAAAAGTGGTATTTTTGTATCAATTTCCAACGCCGATCGGCCGATCAGCGTTGGAAAAAACTGGCTTTTTTTTCAAAATACTGGCCCCAATTGACCATCGCACTTGTTTGCAATTGATTACAAACCTATGAACGGGTACGAGCCAGCTAGACTGGTTCCCTGACCTTACAATTCCCCAATGTATGTAAACTGCTCTGTTTCTTCTTATATGGAGTCAGGGAACCAGACTACAGGAAAATGATTGTTTTTCTTGGTTTTTATAGCATTTTCGAACCCAAAACCTCAAAAAAGTCAGTGTAACTATATTTGCTATATATTTCCAACCCCATGGGCGTCGCCAGGATTTTTTCTAGAGGGGGGCAAAAATATTTTTGGCCAAAAAATGCTTGTATTTCTCAACACACTCTCGATTTATCAGTTTTAGAGGGGGGCAGGGACATTTTGCCCCCCCCCCCCCCCCACTCATTAAATTTACACCACTTTGTCTTCGCGCCTCTTTTTCTTTTTTCTTTTTTTTTCTTTTCTTTTTCTTCCTTTTTTTTTTTTGTGCTTTTCCAGGGGGGGGCAAGTGCCCCCCCTTGCCCCCCCTTCGCGACGCCCATGTCCAACCCCCCAATTCCATACATTTCTGAAAATTACAGCAAAAGCAAATGATGTATATTCCCTTTAATTGAGCATCAACCTACTATCCGAAAAGCATTTTTTTTTTTATTCAAATATTTGAAAAAATGTAAGAGGTATTGAGGAGACGATGAAAAACATCCACTATGGTCTTTTGATTGTATAAATTGTGTGGTTTTGTCTATTTGTCTGATGCCACACTTTTGTCAAAATCCACTTTCGTGCATGATTTCAGAGCTTCCATGATTTGAGAGCTTCTCTCATTTCAGTAAAAATAAGCCATTCAGCTACCTCTTCTTTACACTATATTAAAAAGATCTTTGTCAATTTTCGACAAATGCAGGAGCAAGCAAATCCCGATCGGTGGCCAATTCACGCTGGCGCAATTTAAACTTGATCAGCACATTCAAAATATTTGATCAAGTCCAGGTTAGAATTAATCAAATACAAAATGATTCGAAAAATGCACAGCTCTAAACAAGTCACGACAAGGATACAGTGCAAACCCGGCCATCATGACTATCCAGATAAGACTCAAGTTGAAGTCTCCCCTACTTTGAAGCCAGGATTCCGTCAGGGCGTACACAATCAGCGATGCTGCCGAGAAGTCCACCAGCCAGCGGTACTCGCTGAAGAAGCGCAGCACCATCACGTGCAGGGGCTCAATGACGCGGGTACGTAAGTCCAGGTCAATATTCTTGGGCACGGAGAAAGACTTGTCCTCGGAGTTCTCCAGGAGACTGATGCGTCTACTGTGTTCTGATCTGTTTTTTTGAAAGGCAAATGCACTTAAATTGGATAGATCTGTACGTTTAAGTTGAGAAATGTGGCTCAAACTGCATCCTCTTTGAAAGATCACTGATTGCTGTTTCTAGGGCCAAGTTTGCGCAAGGACTTTAGTTGACCAATGGTTAACTAACGTTTGCCCGAACTCTGTCTAGTCGACGATGGTTGACTACGCTAGTCGACTATTTGGAACCAGCCTACTGGGGTTGGTTCCTTTGCTGGTAACCAATAGCCGCGCACATTCATAACGCTATCAGAGAGCCCGGATCCAGAAGTTTTGCGATGACATTTTGACCAGCGTTTGACTAGGGACGTTCGCACGTTGCTACCAGTGCGCAGGCGTAAGGTACGTCACAAATCAACCACTAGTCGTCTAATGGTCCTTGCCCGAACTTGGCCTAGGTTTGCAGCATTGCTAACATTGCTAATGGCTGACCTAGACTGGTGGTCTTGTGGGTTTTTCTACACACCTGAGCGTATCACAATTTGCTGTCATATTCTCAATAATTTGACACTCTATTTTGGAGAAGACAAATGTTAATCTTATTCATGCTATTAATCAAATTCATTGCAAGTTAATTTACCAAACAAAAATTTGGTTGTTGTGATTTTTTTGGAGTCTTGTCTTACGTGTAAATCTTTCAAATGAACATCTTTTACAATTTAAATGGTAAATTTGTGCTTTTCTAATTTTGCCCCCAATCAAGTAAAAATTCTTTATACAGGGCGAGTCCAAAAAATCAGAACCCAAACCTCCAAAAAAATATTACATATTGAAAAAAATATGTGGCACCAAAAAAAATAATGACTGGAAAGCCAATTTCATAAGCTATTTTTAGATGGAAAAAATACTGAAATTGCTCAATCCGTTAAAAAAATATCACCATTTAAACGCAATGACCCTAAAACCTCTTTCGCCCCAAATAATTTCTTTTATATTCAACACAGTCAGAATACTCTATAAATTGCTTTTTGGGGGGACCAAATAACAAAGAAAATGACACAGAAAACTTGTATCAACAACTGTCAACAACTGTAGTACAAAATATTTTTAATAACAACCCTGGTTAGGCAAACAATATGATTTATAAAATCCACTTTAAAAAAAAAGAAAAAGAAGGGCCTTGATAAGGCCTTGAATATTGTTAACTTTTAAACCGAGGTTTTATCGGTGACGATGTCTGAAGAGGAACTGTGACGACGATTATTCTTGAAATCGCATTTTTGAACGAAAGAGGGTTTAGGGTCATTGTGTTAAAATGGTGATATTCCTTGAACGGATTCAGCAATTTTAGTAATTTTTTAATCAAAAAGTAACTTATGAAATTGGCTTCCAGTCATTATTTTTTTTTTGATGCTACATATTTTTTTAAATATGAAATATAACTTTTGGGGTTTGAGCTCCGTTTTTTTTTTATTCACCCTGTTGTTTTATAAGTTTTGTAGATTTATAACGCACCTGTTTTTACGATGTCTTCCTTTACTGACTGTGATCCCCGCAAGTTTCCGTAATTCTTCATCTTTTGGGTACATATAGCGGACAAGATTTCTGTCGGGAGAAAAGATCATAAAAAAATTATAAATCAAATCACTCATTAAAACCCTAACTCCCTAGGCCTTTTTGCTAAGATGCAGCCTCAATCCTGCAAAATCCTCCAATTGGCCTCATGGAAAAATAGCATATAGCCTCAATCCTGCAAATTCCTCCGCTATTTCTTGAATATGGTCCATGGAGGGGTGACCACTGCCTGAATCCTGCAAAATCCTCCGGCTATGACTGTCAATAGGCTGAGGCAGAGGCAGTGACATCCTGGAGCAGTGCGGAGGATGTCAAGTATAATCAAGGGCTAAATTTATGCACGGCTGAGCATAAACAACACAAGGTCCGGCCCAAGACCTTGACACAGTGCGTACTTCGAAATCAGCAACCCACTTTTGCCATGTAACCTCAATCCTGCAAATTCCTCCAATTTGCAAAAAGGATTTTGGAGGATTCAGGGCGGTTAGGGTTAACCGTAACCCCCTAGAATGATTTACTAGGAACCTTCCTCACCCTTGCAAATCCCAACTCATGGTAAACTAGTGCATATCTATGGTACCGGTATGCCTAATCCCACGCACTGCACAGTCAGTTTACTAGTGCAGTACTCATTGTAACAGATTCCAACAAACCCTGGTGTTGGAGTTTGGCTGGTTGGGGATCGTTAAGGTTAAGAGAAGCTTGCCCAAACTTTTGAATGGGATCAGGAGATGTAATTGAACGCCTGTGATGTGAACACCACTGACTTGAATGCAGACTAATAACCTAAGCTAAGAGACAAACACACAACAAAAGGCTTTAAGCATTTGCTTTTTGAGGGTCCAATCAGGCTCTTGTCCAAAATAGCCAGGACCTTGGTCCATTCACCACAGAATGTCATTTCAGGCCTTCCAAGGACTATACCAAGATGGCCACAGCAGTGGCATAACTAGGGTGAAGGTCACATTGGGGTCCTCGTTTTCTAAGGAGTGGACATCATTCCATACGGTCAAAAATATTTTTTTTTCTCGAAATTCTGTAGGGGCACATGGGCAAATACAAGCTACATGCAGGGTGTCCCGACAACCCCAACCCTGCCCTTTTTGTCACACCAACTGGGCGAATGAGGTTTAAACGATGCACCCTTAGTGCTGTAGTCAAGTCAATCACAAGTCCTGTCAGAAGTAAAACATAAGTCAATTCACAAGTTATATTCAGGGGGTGAACAATAAGAACCAAGGATACACTTGTTACAGTTCATTTGAACAGTTTGTGAGACTACTAAGACTATGGACTTCTTGCAAAAAAACGTGGATGCTGCTTTTCGGCACTTTTGAAAGCCCAATTTGAGGGTAACACCACATGCATGTGCTGGTTCATGGGAGTGCAGCGCGAAGTACGTCCAGCTCGTTTTATTTCGAGTGTGCTCAAATCAACTGCTTCTTTGTGTGAGCGTCTAAGTGGTCTACCCCAACTCTCGATTGAGGGGGTACTTCTGTCCAGAGTCCATAATGACGTCAAATCACGGGCATGTGAGGACTTGTGGACTCAAACTCAACTAGGGCTGTCTTGAGTATACAGATTATTCGATCATCTACCGAATATTTGAATAGCTTATTATCGGTCGGAATATTTGAAAGAACTAAAAAAACTATGCACGTACATGACTTTGATGTCATTTAACCCCTCGTGTACGGGAAGCGGTAATGGCCGCGGCCGCTAATCCTCACTGGAGTGCATTTGCCAGCTGTGGTATGCAGTGGCGCACGGCCAATGGGTAGTTCTACAGCTGCTGCTTTTGTGCAGTCCCGCTACCACACAAAGGCTGTGCAGTCATGCGGGTCACTTGCTCTATGTGTGGAGGAATGTCCCCATTACACCCTGTCCTTAAGGGGTTAATTGTAATGTTGCGGTGCTTTATTGTTAGATGCCACTGTTTGTCGACAGCAGTTCCTTCTTATCCTTTCAGCAGGGTAAAGCTCTTGACACTTATGAAATATAATACTGCAAAACATTCCAGCAGCTCACAACATTGATCTCTACATGCAAATTTTACCCGGCGCACTTTGCATGCAACATCTCACGGGTGTGGCACACAGTTGCAGCTGGTGTATGTAAACCTGAGCAGCGAGTTTTGAATATACAGTAAACTCCGGCTAAGTCGGCACTCTCGGGACCCGAAAATTTGTGTCGACTTACGCAAATGCCGACATCTGCTGTAAGTCGTCATTTTGCCGACTTACATGAATGGCCTTTTTCACACATGGTTCATTGCAATAATTGGCTTCCATTTACCCTAGTTAACATGGTTTATCTCCTTAATGCTCGAGTTGAATCCAGCAAATTAATCCTTGAATTGTATCATCACATTTGGGGTATTGATAGTGGAGACCACGTGTACAATATGTACGTGCACAGTAAGGAATTAAATGCGTGCGTGCATGGTCCGGTATACCACGCACGCATTGACTGCAGCATGTACTAGTCATTCAATTAGACAACCCCAAAATGGACAGAGCGCATGCGTACAGACGAGAGGGTGTACTGGTATTGATATGCTCACAATGCATATGTGATGTATGCAGTAGGAAACCCTTTTGCGACACCGATGAATGTACGATTGAAACCACTTTTCACTTGACACTTCTTGCCGACCGCAGTACAGGAAGTCGGTGACAGTGCGTGATTTTTTGAATGCCGACTTACACAAAGGATTTCGTAATGCATTTTATGGAAAGGGGACCGAGAGTAACACAACGACTTGAGCGAAATGGCGACTTAAGCCGAATTAGAAATACAAAATTCAATGGAAATGCATTACGGACAATCGGGACTTTAGTCAGACGGCCGACTTGAGCGATTTGACAAGTTGTACGGTATCGATTTAGCCGGAGTTTACTGCATTCCGTCAAACGTAGTTTCAAATACTAGAAAACTAACTTATTCGAAAATGGACAGCCCTAACCTCAACACTGATTCTTACCCTCTTGCAAGAAGCCATTCTGCCAGGGAGTGGTACGGAGTGAATTTATGAAGAAAGCTTACGGCTATGATGGTCAGAATAAGCTGAGCACCAAACAATGCCTGGTGTAAAAGGGAGAAAGACAGAACGGTGAGAAGTTAAGGTGCTTGAAACCTGGACTATACAGAATTGGTTTTCAAATCCACATTCGGTCTGGCTTTTACAAGAGCGATACATGTACTGTCAGTACCACAGGTCTGTACATACTTACAATGGGAGTTCAAATCGGTCAAATGATTGAAGATGTGTTCATGCAGAATACGTGTGACAGAGTTGTAACGAGTCACTGATTTTTGTGACTCGAGTCGAGTCGAGTCATTTTAAAGAAGTGATTTTTGTGACTCGAGTCGAGTCGAGTCATTTTAAAGAAGTGACTCGAGTCGAGTCGAGTCATTAGGTGAAGAAGGTCGAGTCGAGTCGAGTCGAGTCAAGTATTTAGCTCGAGTCAATTTGAGTCTCAAATATTTGAACACTATACAATAAATACACAGAGAAAGTCATTTTTTGGCTTTTTAATTTTACATTCCGGCTACTTCATTTGGTGACACCACATTTGACTCTTAATGAAAATAAAAAGGGGGTGCCAGCTGATCGCCATTCAACTAATGGGGACACTGATCAAACCACGTACGGTATGTATATGTATACATTATTCGCGAACATTCTAACGCGATGTGAACAAAAACCGGCACCGGCTTAAGTCATTGCAAATATTTTTCGCCAAGTTTTGCTTTTATATTTGGGACTCGAGTCTTATTAGCCTTCCTCGAGTCGAGTCGAGTCATTCTGATGAGGGACTCGAGTTGAGTCGAGTCATTTGCTCGCAGTGACTCGAGTCGAGTCATTTGCCCTTAGGGACTCGAGTCGAGTCGAGTCATTAAAAAATGTGACTTGAGTCAGACTCGAGTCGAGTCATTGACTCGAGTCATTACAACTCTGACGTGTGGCAACCTGTCCGGAGTGCCAGTGAGGCTTTTGGATAAACCATAACCCTCCTCAATCCTTCAATTTAACCTGGCAGTTTTGGAGGATAGTGGAAGATTTAGGCTGCATGCCAAGAAAGGTTAGCTGATTTTCAAGGATGCATTTTGTCAAGGTCTTAAGCTGTACCTTGCGCTATTTTTGTACCTTGTGCTAGAGGCCCACATTATACTTGATAGCATCTGCACTGTTTCTGGATATCATCTGCACTGCTTCAATGTATTACAGTAATTTGTGGAGGATTTTGAAGGATTGAGAAAGTGGTCACCCCTCTAATGAACAAATTCAAGAACTAACGAATGATTTTTTTTCACATGGAGGTAAGGATTGAGGATGCATCCTAGCAAAAAAAGCCTGGAAGTTAGGGTTTGGCATCACACTACAAGGAATTAGTCAGACCGGATCTTGACTACTGTACGTATGTGCAGGCTTGGAGGCCATTCCTACACACCTTTTCACACTTTCCCATATCTCTTAAGCCGTGTCCGCACTGGACTTTTTTTTTGGAAGGTTTTACCGAGACGATGGTAAAATGAGAAATGGTCAAATGTGACCACTGTCCGCACTTGGACTTTCGACACGGGAAAATTTACCCAGACCACGTGGGAGAAGTAACCGAGCTGTCACAGTGTCAGTATAATTACTCACTGTACACAGAAAACAAATTACCGATCACATTTTCGGCCGCCGATACGCACAGTAATATTACACACGCCATTTGCATGCACAACATAATCGTTTACACGATATTATTTCATCTTGACATGCTAAATCTTGACGAAAAGGCCTATAATTCTGACGCATTTGTGATCCACGTCGTCGAAGCCATGCCGCTGTACGATGTTCCGTGCGGCAGCAGTGCCATCAGTATTCGTTGGTTCCCATCGCATGCTTACAGAATCGAAGCTATGATGTGGGCCAGGAACCAGTGACTACGGCCTACGTACGGTACCGGACCATGATGTTCCGTGCATGACTACAGTAGCGTATCAGGACGAATTTGGATCGTAGAAAATAACATACATCGGTGGAGAAAGAGAATTTCCGCAAATTAAATCTCAGCACGTGATCTCTCTTCTCTGTGTATGTATTTGTCCGTTGAAATATATATTTTAACGAGATTTTACCGCTCGGACTTGATGATACACCGCAAACAGCGTGTTTCTACAATATGTTCGGCCACTGCACGTGCAGGTTCGTGCGGTCTCTGTATGCATAACAGGGCGCTCAGGCCGGATGTACGCTTTCCTGAGCCGCTTTTACTGACTCGCACTGTCCGCACTGGACTTATCGTCTCGGGAAAAGTGACCTGGTCAGTTTTCCTGGGCACGTGTGAAGTTTTCCTGGGCAGCAGTTGGCCAGTAAAAGTAACCGCTGGACTCAGGAAAAGTAACCGAGAGGAAAACGTCCTAGGCTGTCCGCACTGGACTTAAAATGGGAAAAGTACCCATAGTCTCGGTTAGTTTGACCAAAAAAAGTCCAGTGCGGACAGGGCTTTTGTTGGACCTGGGTCGAACCCCTTTCACACAAGCATAAATCCAACACGTCTTCTACAAGGGTCAGGCTATCTACACAGATAAAATCCAGCCCTTGTGTACACGGGGAGAAAATACAAACTCTACAACCAACCGGTATAAAAACTGGTGTGAGTGTGAACATTATGCCTTGTCCACCCCCTTGTGCAATTGGTTCTGCTCAACATGGGTAGGTGAGGTGATAGTTGTGATAGTGCAGAAAGCCATTGCAAAGGGACATTGATCTAAAAAAAAGTGTGCCCGCAGGTACACATTTTTAAACTGCCTTCAATTATTGTTTTCTTGAAAATGCTACCGTTTCAGGCAGAATAATTTCACAGGGTACATGTGTTTGGTACCAGTCATATCTTCACTTTTGAGAATGTCTCAATAGTCGGAATGTTCTCGTTCCATATGGGGACTGTGTGCCCCTATGTTCCCAGCGTGTTCCTGCTGGAGCAGGCCGTTCCCAAGTAAGTGTGCATGCGCATAGAGCAACGTTCCCTCGCAGGAACACCTGGCATCCCTGTTGGAATGTTCCAAGCATTCCAACTTTTGAGACGTTCCCTTTTGCAAGTTTTTTCTCATTAAGTTCAACATCAGACTGGTGCCAAATTGGAATACACACAAAGTAACTACTGACAATTCACTGTAAGAAATCAGATCCCACTAATTACAGAAACACATGGGAGTTGAATGAAGACTAGCATTCCGATGGCACGATGTTTTAGACTCAAACTTGTACCCTCAAAATTCTTTCGCAACACTGCAAATTCTCAGGTGCAAAACACCTGGTTTGACTGAGTGATATGCAGGTTTGTACTCACCATGATTTGCTGGCACACATCCAAAAGCGGCACCTCATTCCTTTCAAAATCTACACGTAACTGATCGATATCACAATCACCTTGATGTTTTTAATGCACCTTTGTCATTTTTGTGTATCTGGAAAAAAAATATATAACAATATTCCAGGTGAGTCCCAAAGTTTACAAGTACATTTTCGTTCCCTTATAGGAACGGGGTCCGCAACTACACAAACGCCTCAGGTTGCAACATTCTTTCCAACGGCAATGCGAAAATTGCACTGTCCGGAAACTGGGCAGATAAAGCACCATAAAAAAAAGAAGGTTGGTAGGCCTACCGTTAGTGGGACAAAACGCGAATTGATGACATCAATTTCATAACATGGAACTGCACAACTTCTACTTGAATTGTAGGTCCTGATGAACTCACCGGCATATTACATTGGAAATGGAAGTGACCGGACAAAAAGGCAACGTCAAAAGGGAAATGAACTCAACGTGTTACGTGACCGACCATGCCGACAAAGCCAGCCATTCACTGGATGGAGGACACAGCGCCCTCTATTTGCTTTGGGTGCGCGTTCACCCAGTTTCACTTGAACTGTGTTTTTTGCATGTTGTTCCACCCAGCTCACTTCCAAAAATCCAAAGTTCGTCTGGAATCATCAATTTTGCATCATAGCGTGCGGCGCTGACGGGGTTTGTTATACTGCACGAAACAGATTCCGGGTCATTGGTTACAATAATTGATCCAGCTTTCCGAAATGCAATGCAAAACGTGTCTGGAAAATATTCCATTTTAAAAGTTCATATAAGCCTGAACAAGCGCGGCGCTCACACGTTGCTACGGGTTTTGCACAAATTGAAGATTCGGGACGTAAACATTGGTTGCATCTTGAGTACTTGGAGAGTTTGTGCATGTCGTTGACAAACAATGCAAAGTTTGGCTGGAATATTACATTTTAAAGTTCCTTCAGCAGGTCGACATTTTATCAAGCCACAACTGCGCGGCGCAGACAGGGGTCAGTCTACGGTGACCAACAGATTCCGGACGTAACATTGCTTACATCTGGTATTAATGTCTTCAAAAATATTGGGTCTGAGGACCAGTCTTTGCATGTTGTGTTGTCGACCTATCCTGTTTTCCCAAACTACAAAGTTTGTCTGGAATATTCCATTTACATGAGCCTCAAACCGCGCAGACGAGAGTTGCGCTGAGGTGCGCGCAGACGAGAGTTGCAATGCACAAAAAAGATTCCGGATCATCCCGGTTTAGCATTTTATCTGGAATTGTCTCTAAACCTATTGGGTCTGATGACTTGGAGATATTTGCATAATGTTGCCCATCTTCCCAGCTTGCCAACAATACAAATTTGTCTGGAATAGTCCATTTTAAAGTTAATTTAGGTCGAAATAATCAAGCCTATACCGCGCGGCGCCGACAGGGGTTGCCACGAGGTTTACTAGTTATACTGCACCAAAAAGATTCCGGATTTAAACATTGGCTATACATTTGAATTTTCTCAAAAACTGTTGGGTCTGAGGAATCAGAGATGCTTGCCTTTCAATTCCACACTAGCCAAACAATATCACACTATCAAGCTCCCTAACCATGCAGTAATATCGGGCTATTTCTCTTGACAAATTGTCAAAATTCGAGACTTAGCAGGTGATGTCATGGCTGGCCAAAGCGTACAGAGACAGGCAGTCAAAGGGGAAATGCAGCACAGAAAAAAATAATGAAAATGGCTAAAATATGGATGCGTATAATCAAATTACTTTCTCCTGACCAATTAAACCTTTGCGGCCTTCAAACTTGTAGGCTACAATGTACACTAACTACCCAAGCAATAAACTGGGGAATTTCTATTGAAAAAAAATCGAGACTGTCATGGCTGGCCCAGGCCCAGCTGGCAGGCAGTCAAAGTATTGCACAGAAAAATAAACACGGCAAAAACATTGATGTGTACGTCTAATATTTTTTCCAGTTATTTTTAATCTGCGGACTTCCAATTTGTAAAATGTAGCACAATCCAACTCCCTATTCATGCCAAAATATCGGGGACTTTGTATTTACAAAGTGGCCGATGCTCGAGACTAAGAAACGAATGTCATTGATGTCCAAGGCCCACCTGACAGGCAGTCAAAGGGGAATTGCTGCACAGAAAAAGAAAAGACTGCGAAAAGATGAACTAGCATTACATTCACTGTGTGGACTTCCGAACAAAAGAGGTCCACATCATGGTCCACATAAACCAGGTATATCGCGACGTTGTGTGGACGTGCCCGCGGTCCACACAATATTTTCCCCTCTCTGAAGAACAGGTTTAGAGACATTTTGGGTAAGGTTTATCAGTGGTAAATTGAATAGAAACACTATAAGGAATAATAGGAAAAAATTGGGTGGAAAGAGTTTTCACAGTGTGAGTAAAATTTTAAAAAATGTTAACATGTTTTACTTAACTTCACGAAAACAAAAGAATGTCCACACTAGGTATGTAACGTAAACGTGTCTGTGTGGGTGCGCGTGTGTCTAATTTTCTCCAGTTATATTTAGTCTGCGGACTTCAAATGTATATATACCGTAATGTAGAATGTAGATACAATATCCAGCTACCTATATCCGATGATTATCAGGGAATTCCTGTTAAAAATTGACCGAAATTTTAGATTTAGCAAGTCATGACACGTCTTCCAAAGGTGCAGACAGTCAAAGGGGAAATGCTGCACACATGCGTGGCGAAAACATGGAAGCGTATGTCCTATTTTTTCTCGAGTTCTGCAAACTTCAAACTTGTAGAATGTAGCCACACTATCCAGCAATCTATCCCGCAAAACTATGGGGACATTTCTATTGAAAACTTGCCCAACATTCTAGAATTGTAGCAAGTCATGGCTAGCCAAGGCCCAGCTGACAGGCAGTCAAAGGGAAAAGGCCGCACACATCAATAAACATGGCGAAAACATGGATTCGTTTACATTTAATGTTCTCAAGTTATTTAATCAGCGGAATTTAAACTTGTATATAGAATGTACTCACACTTTCCAGCTCCCTATCCGTGCAAAAAATATTGGGATCTTTATATTGAAAAAAAATCCTAAAATTTGAGATTTATCAAGTCATGTCGTGACAAAGGCCAGCTGACAGACAGTCACTAAAGTGGAAATGCTGCACAAAAAATATAAACATGGCGAAAACATGGATACGTTCGTCAAACTTTGTGCAGGTTTATATAATTTTGGTCTGCGAACTTCCAACTCCTTGTAGAATGTAGCCACACTAAAACTACCGGGGAATTTGTATTTACAAATTGCCCTAAACTCGAGACTCAGCAAGTAATGTCATTGACGGCCATGGTCCAACTGAACCGGCAGTCAAAGGGAAAATTCTGCACAGAATTTAGAAAAATAAAGACGGCGAAAACGTGGGTGCGTATATTATGTGTACCTTTCTCCAATTATTTTTTAGTCTATAATTATAGTACAAGGCTACGTGGAGCAACAGTATTATAGCAGAGATAGGTGGAATGTCTCCGTAAATCTGTTCTTTGGTCTCGTGCTCACGCCATGAGATGTTCTGAACCCTCATAAGAAGAGAAAGAAGACACAAGCCTTTGCCTCCAACAAAGTGGTAACCAAGGCCAGAGAAGAACTGATATGCAGCACAGAAATATCCGTCTAGGTCCAGGAACCTTGATGCAGCTAAAGCCTCACTTGATGAAGCTTACACAAAAGTAGAAGCACACGTCAAGTCCAAAACCGAAGAATTCGATCGACAACATGCATGATGAAAACAAGCATGCTACTGCATGGTTTCAGCACTTCAGTTCTCTGCTCGGTAAACCAGAGCGGAAAACCAAGCTTGATGAATTCTTCAATCACAAAGTAGCAGATAGCCTGCCGATCCAGACTGAACCTGTCACAATGGAGAAGGTTAAAAAATGTCTGATAACTTAGTTGAGAAACACCAAGACACCAGGCCCTGACACTCCCAGCCGAGTTGCTGTTTATTGTAATGTTCCTTGGAAAGTGAATAGCAGTAGTTATCGTGTAATGTAGCCATGATATACGTTTTGAACAGCGCCTCCATGGGAAAATGGTGTCCAGCCAGGGCCCCTTCCCCCACTATTTGATTTTACGGGGGGCGGGTGTCCGGTGAAAATAAACCCATGTGGACCTTTCAGCATGGATGCAATTTTTGGGCGAACCTCCATGTAACCTCACACCCCCCCCCCCCCCCCACACGCCCCCAAAGGATGAGAAACGGGGCTATACACAATAATGAAAAGAGCGATGTCGAAAGCGGGCAGAAGCGCCCTCAGGAAAATCAACGCGCAAACTTTTGCGTGACGTCACAATCACGTCGCGCGCTTTTCGAAGCGCATCGCAACCACGTTGCGGCAAAGGTAAACACAAAGTTTTGTTCTTGTTTAGCGTTCATCGTGCGAACAAGTGCTTTTTCTGAGTTGCGTATTGCGACGAAAGAGAGCGATTTTGGTTATCAGACTAGCGATCTAGCGATTCTACAATGAATCCTACAACACCGGGAACTCGTTCGGCTAAAAACCGGTAAGTTTATTTTGTTTTCGATAATTATTTGTTGAACTTTTTATGACCGTTTGATTCTTGACTATAATGTGAAGGCTGGTTCATGCTTTGCACAAAAGCGCATGTTAAGCGAATTTTAATGACGTCAACAATTGAAGTTTCTTTGTGACGTTTGCTGCAACCCTATCTGCTCCGCTTGTCATGGAACTCCATGGGAAAAGTATTACAAAGAAAAAAAAATGAGTACGTATACCAATACGAATATTCTTTAAAGAACGAAAAATCAAAGGGCAATAAACATGCATTAGGTATTTTTGTTACACTAGGAAAAGTAAGTACAGAGGGCTGGGATCTTTCAGTCCAATTATTGTAAAACAGCATTAATGAATACAAGATGGCCTTCGAGGAACCGTTTCCCATTCCCTCTTTTGTTCCCTGTAAACAGTGCGACTACTTCCCAGGAAGTGGACGATCATGGAGGGGATAGACCCGTTAGGATGTCCCCCTCCTTAGCTTCCAGGGAGACCCAACTTGGAGGGGATAGACCCGTAAGGATGTCCCCCTCCACGTCTTCCAGCATCACCCAACAATTGCCAAGGTGAAGTTTACTTCAAATACTTCAAACCAGTTTTGCAAACCTTTTCAGATTAAGGGTCGCCATACTTTCGGACATTTTAACTGCATGAACAACACAAATAAAAATCATTCATGTGTCTCTGATTCATGATCGATCTTGTTTTTTTCAACCTGCAATCAGTAGTTCTTAGTAAGCCCTATCAATTAAATGCTCGAACGAACAATCTACAAAGATTAACGACAACTCCAAAATTGTGGCTTCATCCCCTCTCGTAAAAAAAGTCATCGCCTTTGAAAATTGGTGTCTGCATTTGTCCATCCTAAACATGGGCGTTGCGAGGGGGGGGGGCCAAGGGGGGCGCTTGCCCCCCCCCCCCCCCTGGAAAAGCAAAAAACAAAAAGACAAAACAAAACAAAAACGACAAAAAAAGAAAAGAAAGAGAGGCGCGAAGTCAAAGTGGTGTAAATTTTATGAGTTGGGGGGGGGCAAAATGTCCCTGCCCCCCTCTAAAACTGAGAAATCGAGAATATGTTGAAAAATAGTGGAATTTTGGCACCCTCTAGAAAAAAATCCTGGCGACGCCCATGATCCTAAAGTTCCTTATCCGCTCTACTTTTTTAGGCAAGTGTTGGGTAATTTCCCAGTGGTGTCCTTATCACCTCTGGGATTCTACCGGCTGATTGGAACTCCGGATTCGGATCCTCAAAATCTCAGCCGCCAGGGAGGGGCTAGACCCGGTAGGATGTCCCCCTCCGATGAAACCAAGGATGGCCCGCGTCTCAGGTAAAGCTACAACAACGCAGCTCAAAGACGTAACTCTCTCTTTAAAAACACACACTTGATTTTCTGTTTTAAAACCAGCTAGATAAAGAATCTAGATTTTTAATCATACTCATAGTTTGGGTAATATTTCATTAACTTCACTTCATAATTATCCGATGATGTAAAGATGTAATGAAGCAGTGCTCCAGTTGAAGAAACTGACTGTGAGTGTTTGATGATTCTTGATTATCACTTTAACATTGCAGGATCTTGTCGAGACAACCAGCAAATCCACCTGACCCTGTTCAGACGGGAAGCAAAGGCCCGGCAGCAAGCACCAGTATTCAAGATCAAGCCCGCGCCGGCCTTCGTGCCGCATTCTTCGAGGCTCAGCCATCAGCCCCGGTGAAGCTGCCACGCGGTGAGACTACGAAACAACAAGTCCCCCTGCGAAAGGCTCGCCAGACCACCCAACTCGAAGCGCGACAACAGACCGGTGAGTCTTCACGAACCACCCGTGCGAAGGACACCAAGGTCCGCTTCGATCCAACATCAACTGCAGAGCAACCCACCGGAGTTACCATACAACATCCTCGGGATGGGAGAAGCTCTCCGCAGCAAACTACTGCATATACAGGCACCGTAGCACCTGCTATACCTGATGTCAATGCCACTCTGACCACACCACCGGCGCCTTCAGGTGCTGCACCACCTTCGACACCCAGAAAATGTACTCGCAAAAGGTCAGTTTAAGACAGACAACTCGAAATAAGTACTCATCGCATTCGTACATGAAACTGTCAGTTTTATACCAAGCAAGTCATGAAGTTGTGTTTATTTTAGTAATCGAGTGTTCCTATGGCAAAAACAGGTCAGGAATTTACCCCTGGTTGGGATGCAAGTTTATTGCCGATGATCTTAGCAAATATCGCAAGACACTTATATCAGAACAAAAGAGAGGAAGATGATGGTGCATTGTCCTCGTCATAGTCAAAACCTTTCAAGTAGATTATCTTAATTAACTTCTTCTTCAATCCATCATCTTAAAGGAAACACCTAGGTGTCATCCTTAGTCCTCCAACTGAGACATCTAAAAGGATGAGGACGTCCTCTCCTCTCTCTGACGAGGAGGAACCTGAAACGATGACAGCAAAGCAACACGTCACGATTGGCGTGCAGACTGGAAGCATGATAATGACTGGGAACATGGGAAGAACATCACCTCACGAAACCACGGTCAAGAGGTAAAAACATTGCCTGAAAGACGTTTGGTTTGCTACGGTTTTGTCGTTCCATATCTGTCCTTTGTTGAAAGAAAAGAAAAAAACCCAATGAGATTAGACCACGGATCCTCTACACAGATCCTCTGTGACGAGGATCCGTGATTAGACGGAGCGTATTGTTGAAAATAAGGAATTTACAGGGTTTTACTATAATAACTACAAAATCTCATAAAAGAGATAAAACCTACTTGGTGCCTGCGCGAGGTTTTCCACTGATTCTCCCACATTATGATTTTTATGGTTGAATTTTATGGTTAAATCTCCTCAAAGCGGTTGAAGCAAAATCGAAACACTGTCTAAGTACCTCTGATACAGTCATCCTTCAGTTTCTTTTTCTCATCATCCCTCGTCAGGAGACGGGAAAGCCCGTGCCAGCCTACCCTTCCCTTTAAGAAGAGAAAATTCGAATCTGTGACGAGTCTGGAGAGTCACGACAACAGACCCTCCACCTCTCAGACATCAGAGTCGGTAGACTGTTTACCAAGAAAGCACAACCACAACCAGCAGCGTTCACGAGGTATCCATCCTAGATGTGCTTTCATAAGGTAAGCCTCCCAGCTTGAATGTTAACTTGCAAAGAATCATTAACTTCGGTTGAAAAGCTTTCCTGACTTCTAATTCATCAGATGGCACAACTACAACTACAATTTGCCTTTCAAGAATTAATAATGGAAAAGCTGATGCACGTTCTGACTCACTGTACTTTCTGCATATTGTCAAATGTAATTTCAGGAGCATTTTACCACCAATTCCTCCATCAAGGCAGACCACACGCGTACCGACCCCGGAGCGCCCACTAAGAGGGTTCACTTCAGAAACTATTACCCAGCTAATGGGTTTGGTACATCAAGTTTCCTGCAAAAGGTATAAACACAACCCATAGAAGAATTTTGTCTCTGCAAAACAGAAGGAGTTATTTGAAGTTGATGAAATAATCTTACCTCAAAACAATGCTTGTGAAAAAGTGAATCTTCACCCAAATGTTTAAGGAAAACATGTCAAATCATTTGAGGTAGAGGGACCGAAGTGTTGGAAAATATTTTAGAGGGTGACAACAAATTGATTGAAAAATTGAAATCCCTTACTTTAATAACACAACATCTTCAATTTCAAACTGTTTTCAAGGAGGAACACATAATATTTTTACTTTCAGCATTTAGGGCAATACATTACATTAACATGAAACGGTTCTAAATTCAAATTGAATCTGTTTCAAATTGAACAGGAAGCTAAATATAGGACCAATGCCATCCCCCGAAGAAGGCCCTAGTCCAAATAAGAAGCCGAAGTCATCCACCGAGAGCTCGCCAACTCCTCCTGCCCCTAGCCCTATCTCACCCATCAACATCCCATGCTTAGACCCTGGTGATGTAGAAAGTGTGTTGAATGACCAGGGCTGCCCAGTAAGCCTCGGTGCGGGAGATTTCGGCGAGGTGCTACTGATGCGAAAGAAATCAGACGGTGGCCTTTTGGCAGTGAAAAGGCTTAAGTGCTCCAATTGCCCTCAGAAGGCCTACAGAGAGATGCTTGTTGAAATCAAGGCCATGATGGCAGTATCGGGGCTGAAAGAGTTCCCAAGATTCATGGGAATCGTCGACGAAAGCACCTTTGCTATGGAGTTCGTCGGGGACTCAAGGACCTACTCAGCAAAGAGCGTGCATTCCTGCATGCTTGACCGAAGCATCCTGACTATCGCGGACCGCGCTCGCGTATCCATTGACATCACACGCGGTCTGATGGAGCTTCACCAATCAGGTTGGTTACACAACGATCTCCATAATGGCAACGCACTGGTTTGTACCGACTCTACCAGCTGCCAACCAACAGCCAAAATAATCGACATGGGTAAAGCTTCAAAGATCAGCAACCCTCCTCCTCCGAATCGGTTCTGCAAGAACGTGAAGGCTTACTATTACAAGAACTGCCAGCAAATTGCTCCTGACATTGTCGAAGGTATATCACAAGTCAGTGAGGCTAGTGACGTGTACAGTCTCGGTATACTGCTTAAAGATATTGCCCTGAACATCCGGGACCTGAAATACGTCAGAAACCTGGGGATAAGATGTTGCCATAAGAATCCAGCCAGGCGACCGACCTTAGCAACCGTGCTTGGAGATCTGAAGAAATTCCAGGAGAAATTGACGGCGCGGAAAATAAAAGAAACACAGACGAAATATCAGAGAAGATAATGCTTATGGTTGAAGAATAATAAAAAAGAATGAACACATGATATTTCTTCAACCGTCCTCACCTTCGTTCGTGTAAAAAATGGCCTTCCTAGCCAATCACAAAACTGACGGATCTTTTGAAATCCTTCAGAGGTATGATCAGTTGTCTTACCATTGCGTGGAAGTCTTTGGCGGATGTACCCAGATAGATAGGCTTATGTAAGAAGCTGCTGCTTGTTTAGCTTTGCATATTATTATCCAGCACACTTAAAATAAAATGTGAGCATCTCTTCTTTAACCGTTATTAGGGTCCCACATCACCACAGAACCTCTCTATAATTGTCCTAGCTCCTTGCTACCTTCGAATTATAGCCAGCGCAATGCGACCAAGCGCAGTAAGCCTGTCCTGTTAGCCTATATGAAATACTGTGGACACAACAGGAGGGGCTATATTTTGAGTGGGTTAAACTCTTTTGTATACATCGTATACCCAAGTTTACTCACTCAAAATAGCGCCCTCCTTTTGTGTCCACAACATCTCAAATAGGTCAGTCGTAATAGACCTGTCCAGTCACAGTGAATTAGCAAGGGTATCAACGTAGATAAGTCGAAGAATAGTTATTCAAACTTCTTGATTGAACTTGGTCTTATTTGTTTTTGAATGGAGCATTGTGGGCTGCTACTGTATTAAACACGTGGTGATGAAAGGTAGGCCCTATAGAAAATACTTGTCTGTTTAATGAAAACTGAAATAAGTGAAAAATAATTCAAGGATTTGTTTCTCAATTTGTGCACTTTTGATTTCTGTGTCATTTTATTTATAAGTAAAACTGGGCAACGCTTTTGGTTTGTAAGTTTAAATAAAACATTTGCAATCGTCAGCAATTTTACTTGATTTACTGCAGCTTCGACACTTCGGCTCGAAAGCTGGAAATGATTATTTTAGTTTAGACTTCCTAATATTCTACCAGTCTAAAATATCACACCCCCCCAAAAAAAAAAAACCCACACACATTGTATTACAAATTTGAATTACAAGGTTAAAGATGTTTACTGTGTACATGTGTGAAGATTTGAAAGTTAAATTTCAGTTCATAATAAGGCCAAAAAAAAAAGTCTCCGGTTTCTGGTATGGAGCTTGCCCAAAAAGTGGTGCGGCGACGCGGCTTTTTTTTTTTTTACCTGATTTTTTTGCTTCAAATGTCGGCTGATGACTGCAAAATTAATGGTGCCCGACTAAACTTAGTGCAAATAATACGGGAGTCCAGAGAGGCCACATAAAGCTGATTCTCGACTATAACCCAATCTAAAAACACGTTAAAATTGTGCAGCAGCAGGATTCCAGTCAAACCAGTGAGTTTGGTGGTTTTGAGACATCATCTTTCATTGAAAAAAAAAACTTTTTTCATTTTGCCGACGCGCATGGCTACGGCGGCGCGCGCGCATACCAGAAACCAAAAAATGTATAGTTTGCCTAAAACTTCCTATGTGAAGGTACCTTTTGACTCCGATATAGAGAGCCAGTATCAGTATGCCTGGGCGCTGACAGGCCTTACTATGGGATTTACTGCACAATGTGGAAACTACAAGCATAATGTATTACATCATGCATTTTCTCCATTACCCTTTAATCTGAAGTCTTGAAACTTTTCCAGCTTGTTGGCCTATTCGGCAGCTTTCGAACAATGTATAGTTTGCCGAAAACTTCCTATGTTCAGGTATGTTTTGACTACGATATAGAGAGCCAGTATGCCTGGGCGCTGACAGGCCTTACTATGGGATTTACTGCACAAAACGGAAACTACAGGCAGAATGTACTACATCTTGCATTTTCTCTGCAACTCTTTAATCTCAAGGCTTGAAACTTTTCCAGCATGTTGGCCTATTCAGCAGCTATCGAACAATGTATAGTTTGCCCAAAGCAGGCGCGTACGCAGGGGGGGTGTTTTGGCTGTTAAACACCCCCCTTTGCCATGTAAAAATATGGAGGGAAAAGAGAGTTATGTGACCGAGCGCGGAACAATTACAAATTATGTGCATGTTCTCAACTTTAAGCTTTGAATACAGAAGACACTTTATAAGAGCAAGAGTATATAGGCCTATATGTATTTGAAACAAATGAAACAAAATATCCCCTCATAATTTTAAAAACTTCTGCTAAAAAAAACAGGGGAAAGTGGCCAGGAAACGCCTCAGATTGCACCACAGAGCATCTACGATCCAAAATTTCCCGGGGCCCTTAAGCGGGCCCCGGACCCCACGCCGTAAGTGCTTCGCGCTCCGCGCTCGCATTGGTCCTCCGGCCAAAATAATTCCGGGACATACCGTTATTTCGTTTTACTGTTTTTGATTTCCTCAAAAACAAAAACAGTAAACGAACCATTGACCGTTTTCTCGTTTTACAGTTTTGTAAAACGGTCAAACGGTATTAAGTCACACACACAAAATACTTTTTGTTGTTGTTTTTAATTGTAGACAGCGTTAAACGGTTAGTTGCTTTATTTTTAGAGTGTTGTTTTACAAAATCATGACAATGACAAAACGGTCAATAGTCTTGCCGACCATTTTTTGATTTTAGGTTCGGCAATTAAGCAATGCACCGGAATGTTAATTAATGCGTCCTTGGGATCGAGTCATTGCCTGGGCCCCGCTCCTTACATTTCGTTCTCACGACAAAATTTGCGAATTGGCTATTGAAGAGCCGCGTCGACTTGAACCCCAGTTTCCTTCAAAAGGTCTGCAACTTCATCAAACGTCTTATTACCATCCTGTTTCCATTGTGAAAAGTAATGTCCTCCCTTGAAGTTTTCCAGCGACATTTTGCTTGGAACTCTTTAAGCCCCACCAACTTGACTGAATCGCATGAGAAAGGGGTCAGGGTCCGCGCCAGGAATCACATCACGCATTAATTATGCCGAGGTAACACTTCTTCGTGTAAAACTTGGTCCCCCTCCACCCCCTTGCCCACCGCCACAAAATGCACCACGGACTGTTAACCATGACACTGGAATAAAAAAAACAGTCTGTATTCAATACTGACTGTTTTGCTGTTTTTCAAAGTTATTTGTGTAATCTGTAAAACAAAAATCATTGATCGTTATGCAATAATGAATTTTACTAAACTTATAAAACGGAGAACCGTATTTATCTTAATACCGCTTGTCGTTTTATAACACTGTAAAACGACAAAACGGTCGATGATTCGTTTACTGTTTTTGTTTTTGAGGAAATCCAAAACGGTAAAACGAAAAATAACGGTATGTCCCGGGATTCAAATTCCCTCTATGCTATAATTTCACCCTAGCGGTGCCCCCACCATTTTGTACCTTCAGCAGCGAATGGCTCTACAAGTGGCATAAATCCCTTTCCAAAATAGAAAATTGTGAAAAAATACGGAGATGGAACATGGTTCTCAACTTTGAGTACGTAACAAACTTTATAAACAACAAAACAAAAATAATTTTCGATGTTTAAAACGTTTTCTAAACGGTGGAAGTGGCCAGGAAGCGCCTCAGATTGCACCACAGAGCATCTAAATTCCAATTTTTTTCCGGGGCCCTTAAGCGGGCCCCGGACCCCACGCCGTAAGGGCTTTGCAGGTCCTGGACCCTTCATTACAATAATTCTAGGCCCCCCGACAAATGGCAGTCTGAATCCGCCCCTGTGACCAGAGCGCATATGTATCCTGTATCTGAAGTTTGGCCTTAGGGGTGGGGGCGGTTTACACAAAGATTCCCAACGGATGAGAATCATGAGATCCAGGGGACGAAGCTGAGTGATTTTAGCCAATAACAAGAACAGATCCTAGCACTTCCGCAGCCCGTGTCACTTTTTTTCTTGAATTTCTTCTTTTTTTTGTTTAAATGCTGTTGAGGGAGGGGACTGCCCACATTGACCCCTTTACTCATATGTTCATCATACTCTAAAGACACAGAACATTTTTTTTCCCCGATTTACTATGCTTTAGCTCAAAAAGATAACTGATGGTCGTGGGTTCCCGGCCCTTCGAGTTAAACCCGTCCAAATATACCCTCTTTTATTTCTGGCGCCAACAAAAACTCCTGACTTTTATTTTAGCGTAAAGTTTAGCCCACTGATACTATTTTTTATTTCTGGCGCCAACACAATTTACCATCTTCATTTCTAGCATCATAAATGACGACATCCAATTTTGAAACACCCCCCTTGAAAAAATCCTGCGTACGCCACTGGCCCAAAGCTTCCTCCGTAGTGCATGGTCAGTGGTGGTGGTCAAAATATAAGTCAAGTTAACCGCGATGTTACAAAAGAAATCATGCTGTCTATAAAAGACGGCAACTTGTCCTTTGTAGATCACCAGCCGGTCTCACCGGTCTCACCAATATGGCGTCATTCGGTGCGGCTCTTTATCCGCTATCCATTCTTTTTTTTTTGTATAGAGATCAGTGGTCGATCGTAGCTCAGGCGCAGCTTAATAAAAGTCAATCTACAGGTGTCGTCGCACGGGTCGACCTATAAAAGCCGGTTAATGCCGGTGTCTTATGAAAATCAGGCTCCTATGAAAATCGGACCCATTTTCCCTATTGTTGGTTACCCTCGCATGTGACGGTCATGCTCCCACGTATATGATCCTAAAAAATTCGCTCGTACCCCCCGCCTTCCTGTTTGCAGGGTAGGGGTACGAGCGAACCTAAAAATAGCGTATTATGGTACTCACGCATGCGCAATACTACCAATGAGTCCATATTTCATGGAGTGGGATATTCACGCTACACCGGAAAGTTAAGGTTTAAGCCACGATGGCCTTGGCGAAAGGCTACTTGCTGTAGTAGTCAAAAGCATCCACGGCCATAGACCCGTGAACGTGGCGTTGCATAGCGAAAGCATTCTATCTTTTGATCCGCTACATGTTACCATGTATAATTTTGCCCGTAGGTGAATCACTTACTTGTTGGGCTTCCTGTGTATTTACGCGAGTGTTAAATCTGTCATTGCCAAGAAATTTGATGTACCGTGAGTACGGCACAACTTTGTCACAACGAATGTTTTCAAAATGATCAGAAAATCAAAGACAGGCATGACACTCTGGTACCCTGAGTTCCGCATCATGGCGCAAAACGGTAGTGATAGTACCCGACTAACCGACTTACATAGCAGGATGACCGTAATACCATGTAAAATTCTGCTAAATCCACTTCGAAAGTCTGCCAAATCACCCAGTATATATTGCTGTTCCATTGTGCAAGGGTTTGTTTTAAGGATCTTAAAAACAAAAATGAAGGTTTCTCAAACCAAATGTGCGATATTTCTCTAATCTTTTTCATTTTCCTTCATCTTCATAATTCTGGCGAAAAAAAAAATACTGCTTAGGCCAAAAAAAAAAGTCTCCGGTTTCTGGTATGGAGCTTGCCCAAAAAGTGGTGCGTCGACGCAGCTTTTTTTTTTTTTTTTAACCTGTTTTTTTTGCTTCAAATGTCGGCTGATGACTGCAAATGATGCCCGACTAAACTTTAGTGCAAATATTATGGGAGACCAGAGAGGCCACATAAAGCTTATTCTCGATCATAATCCCATCTAAAAACACGTTAAAATTGTGCAACAGCAGGATTCCAGTCAAACCAGTGAGTTTGGCGGTTTTGAGACATCATCTTTCATTGAAAAAAAAAATTTCATTTTGCCGACGCGCATGGCTACGGCGACGCGCGCGCATACCAGAATCCGGAGACTCTTTTTTTTTTTGGCCTTATTTTCTGTACAACACATTTTTTTATGCAAATATTCTGTCAAATGTAGCCGAAATTCGGCTAGAACATTGTAGAACGGTCACTTCATCTTAGTAACCTCGGATCACAATATAGTGTTTTTACAATAGATTGAAGCGTGGCTATGTATATAGCCACGTTCACGGGTCTACCACGGCCATCGCCGGTACGTTCCGCGTGCCATTTTGTGCAAGTATGGCTACGACGGGTGTCGGACGCTTCGCCCCATTTCCACGTCGCCCCATGTCACTTCGCCCCTAACCACTTCGCCCCATCCCCACTTCGCCCCATTCCCACATCGCCCCATCCCCGCTTCGCCCCATCCCCACTTCGCCCCATCCCCGCTTCGCCCCATCCCCACTTCGCCCCATCCCCACTTCGCCCCAGTATGAAAAAGGTGAAGGCTAGGGGTGCAGACATAATAAACTGCCAAAGACCCCAGATAACAAATGCTCCCAAATCTAAAACCTCAGGAAAAATACAAACTCTCTGATGAGGTGCTAGAGACACAGATGAGAGAAATGATGGCTCTATCCCATTCAGAGACGCCTCTCCTATTGGCTTGTGAATAAAAAAATTTGCGTAAGAACAACACATTGAGTTATTCGATGGTGTGACATTGTGTGGTTTATGTTCTTCAATTGAGACACATGAAAGGCCGGGTCTCAAAAAATCGGTAAAAATAAGAAGGAGAAATCAATGGAAGTTTTGAGCTTAGCCAAGTTTACCCAGGCAGCAGTGGGGTGGGTTAGGTTTTACCCAAAGGCAATAGCGGAATGCACATTTGTCCCTTCGGGGACTCATCAGCCGGCGCCGGATTCAAAAGAATCCGTAGGTATGGGTCAGTGAGTTAAAAGGAACTCACTGCCTTGAGGAAAATGTTCCGTCAAAAATTGTCTGATGTGACACTTACAATTTCATTTAGATGAGATTGGTTCCTCCAAGAGTGAAATTAGGATGTCAAAGGTATTTTCGTTCTCAGATAAGTGGGAGACGGGTTGGTATAGCCGGGTTGCGAACAAAGTTGGATCTTTTACTTCAAGCTTTTTTTCTCGGTAGGGCTAGGGGAGAGTGATAGCTTGAGAGGTTGGTTATGAATTGTTCATTTGGTGGGCTAATTCTTGTTAGCAATTAGTGAATCTGTTGGAATTGTTTTTTAAGCCAATAGGGCGAAGTGGGGATGGGGCGAAGTGGGGGATGGGGCGAAGTGGGGATGGGGCGAAGTGGGGATGGGGCGAAGTGGAAATGGGGCGAAGTGGGAATGGGGCGAAGTGGGGATGGGGCGAAGTGGTTAGGGGCGAAGTGACATGGGGCAACGTGGAAATGGGGCGAAGTGTCCGACATTCGCTACGACTATACAGCATTCACACGATAGCCGTATCCACAAATTCGCAATTAATTTGATTGCATCAATATTTTATAGATTGCAAAACTACGAGTGTTTAAAATATTTATACATATTCAATAAATATTTTAATTTTTACACATGTATGATATAAACGTAAACTGTAATTACAAAAAAAAGCAAAGTAAATTTTTATAATATTTGAACGAGGATTATTGTCGTCATATCTATTTATGTGCATGGGGCAACACATACACGGATCCAAGTCCACTCAACCAACGATCTAAAGTAAACACCTAAAATATGCCGATTTTTCGATACTTTACTGACCGTCCATGTGAGTTTTAAGTGGGGGTGTTCAAGTAGTAAGTACTGTTAACAATTTCAATTGGACATCTTTGGTGTATTTTTGTTTAATTTTCCATTCGCAGACATGCCATTTTCGCAGACATTGGAAACCTTGTTTATTTTTAAATTATTTTAATCATCCGTCATGTTCATTTCTTGACTCATTCACATCCCATGATCGTTGCATCATGGGTCCGGTTTAGCCCAGGTTGGACTGTTGCAATGTAACTAGGAATCAACTATAGAATGCAGGGCCACTTCACTCTACATCCGCGCCTCCGTACGGCTGCGTGGAGGCGTGGAGCCGCAGTCGACCTACCTCCGAGAATTGCGCCCTCTATCGGCGCGCGTCTCTGCGACTCCGCAGATCGGCGCGCGTCTCTGCGACTCCGCGACTCCAGTGCCCCGCGTCTCCGCGACTCCAGTGCCCCGTCGCCCTCCTCCCTTCCTTTGCGAGGAAATTAAAAATGGATATGGATGCTTCGTTCTCAAAAAATACCGCCGAGAATTGCGCCCTCTATCGGCGACGCGCGTCTCTGCGACTCCACGACTCCAGTGCGCCGCGTCTAGTCTCTGCGACTCCGCGCCTCCGTGGCTCCGTGCCCCGACACACTTACAAGCGCCCTCCCTTCCGATCATTGATGAGAAGACAAGTGCATTCGCTGTACTTAGCACTTTTTGCAGGTTTGCATATTATTATATTGTAGTCTATTACTCCTATCCTCACATCGCCGGCCTCCATCCACGCCTCCAAGCAGAATTTAAAAACCTTGCTCCGGCGTGGCCCTGCATTCTATAGTTGCTCCTGAATTTGGTCCGCTGATCTGGTTTCCGCTCCTGAAAGCTGCCCTATAGTTCCCAACCATTGCCAACTCATCGTTCGAAATGCACTTGTCAGTGCTTGTCATGCTTGTTTGTGGGAAATTACAAAACAAATCCAGTCTAGGCCTACTCATTATCATTATAAAAAATGCATCGCGCTTGGTTATGGAATCGCGCTCGGGATACGGGGACCATCGAGTGAATGCTGGGAATGACCACATTGTATTTTCAAGCACGAGTCTAAAATTTAACGAATAACATGTTCAACATGTTCAATATCGCAAGGGGAGCTCTCGGAATTGAACGGGAATGTTCACTTTTCTTCCGAATCGTAAGTAAACTTTAGTACCTCGATCTTAATCATCGATCTCTACTTGTACTTCAGGTGGCGTATCTAGTAATTTGGAGGCCGTTTGGAGGGTGAAATCTGATGTTGTCGTTGGGCAATGTTGGGTTTTGGGGTCAAGAACAGAATTGTATCGAGCGATGCTGGCAGCAGTTTAGCTTGGACCCTACTAATTGCCAGACCATGTCCGAATGTTAAAAAGACAATAAGTTGGGTCCAAGTTACTCGGACTAAGTGGAACGCTGCTTTAACGAACACAGAAAGTGTTTGTAATAACGATTGTTCAGTATAGCGATTTTGAACTGCTCGAAGTGGTGACCTCTTTTGACTAATAGGCCTACAAGTGAACTGGCATTTCTCACCGGTCATCAGCACAGCATCAACACACACAGAAGCATCAACACAGCGTCAACACCTCCAAAACGCTTTCAAATTGACAAAACCAGCGTTCAAACCGTACAGCATGGGCAAAAATGAAATTTTGGCTTAAAATCAATAGGTTAAACATCTGCAAAAATTTTGCAATGTTCAATTCAAGAAAATTGACTCTCCGTGCAACTCCGAAATCGGCAGCCATGGGCAAGTTCGCGCAAGAACTATTGTTGACCAATGGTTAACCATATTTTGACTAAAGTTTAATAGCCCGAACTCTGTCTAGTCAACGGTGGTCTACTATGCTAGTCGACTATTTGGAACCAACCTATTTTGACTGGGGATGGTTGCATCGCTGGTAACCAATAGCCGGGTGCATTTATAAGGTACACCAGGGTGCCAGGATCTAGAAGTTTTGCGATGACCAACCTCGTTCCCATGGGTACGAGATCATGCTGCGCCATGTTGTTTCCCATCTTGCCTTGCGTGATCTCAACCGCTGGATTTGTCTCATTTAAATGTGTCAAAATGTGGCACATTATAATTAGGGCTGCATATTATCCGTTTGATGTGCAACACCATCTTTAAAATGTTGAAAGTTGTGTTTCTGAAGAATCAATCCTTTCAAACATATGGTTTGGATGCGCTTTAGTAAGCAAGGATTTGTACTATATGTACGTACCTCTTTCGTCCCTTTACAACCAAAGATACATATTTTGTTCAGCAAAAAAACGAGGCTGCCATAATCCATATCGTACAGGCATCGCGCAGTTTTGAAAAAACAATGAATTCGTACGTGATGTAATGTGCAAAGCACGTGAGCGCATTATGGGCGCGACTAGCGTGCAATCTTCAAAATGCGCGTGTATTACGCTCTGAATAGCCAGTCAGCATCGTTTACAAGTACATCACGGCCACGGGTTAGTGTAAGGAACGCGCACGCGCCCATGGAATCAAGGCTGTGCGAAGACATTTTGACCAGCGTTCGACTAGAGACGTTCGCACGTTGCTATTAGTGCGCTGGCGTAAGGTACGTCACAAATCAACCACTAGTTTACTAATGGTCCTTGCCCGAACTTGGCCATGGCATGTTGCCTCAGGGGCAGTGCGGACCATACCATTACGCAAAGTGGTGATAGTATTATAGTTTAAATCAACAGAGGGCGGTCATTACGTTTGAATCCACATACGACACGTTAATTTCATTACAGCTGCGCACCCATATCTGAAATGGTGTAGTCCAAGCTCCGTCTGAAGGCATGATGGCAGACAACGGCATCGTTGCTTTTTTTGTGTGAAAAAACTCCATTTTCGTAGACGAAATTTAACCACTGACCCACCGAAAATCTCTTCAAGACTCAACTTTACAGTTCTTTGCCTTTTTTTGTCAATTTAGAATGCGTTTTAGAAGTGATGACGGTGTGTTGACACTTCCATCATGTGTTGACGCTTTGTTGACACCGTGTTGACGCTTCTTTGTACGACCCTTTCTCACATCCCGCGGCCGCATGAGGAGTCGTCAGGAAACTTTAGCATTGGGAGGATTTCCGTTTTAATCCTTCGGGAAATAATAGCTATCTTTCGCTCTTCAACATTCAAACACGATGTTAAAATAGGCCCAAATAGTGTTTAATACATGTACAACCGGTAGATTTTTTATTATTAATCTGTTGATTTTTTTCAACAACAATGTTTGGTATGTTTTGTACATTAAAACCAGGAGCCAAGGATGATGTTTGGTATTTCCAAAAAAGCAGTGTTCGGTATAGCGCCGTTCCACTGTATTTATTAACGGAAGGCCCCAAAAATGAAGTAGGCCTATTGGTTGTCAAGAAAATTAGGTATGTTCGGTCAAGCAAAACTATTGTGTGACTGAATGAGTACTAGCTTCAGTAACTCCAGCTCCGATGCTTATCGCATTAGAGCTGGAGGCACAACTACGTTAAAAACGTAGCTCATAAGAGGCCCGAAATCTTGGACCATATCGTCGCTTTGCTCACGAAGTGACAAAAACCTCGAAAATCGATAATTATTCGATTTTGAGTTTTACTAGCCATTTTATTATAGTTGTCTCAAGGAACAATTTGACCAAGTTTCAAGTCAAAAATGTTGTTTACTTTCTTAATTATTGTAAACTAACAATTGACAAAAAGCCTGAAATTGGTGATTTTCATTTTACGAAGTGTAAAAAAGTGTAAAATGTTCTCACAAAGTGACAAAAAGTCACCTCGTGAGCAGGGCCAGAAATTATACATTGGTCTACACGTGGCAGGATGGGAGCATACACGCGCGCGCGAACGATGTTGAAAAAGAACAGACACGCGCGTGCTCAATTGTCGTGACCCGCAAAAGTAACAAGTTTGTTTCGTCGAAAAAAGTACAAATAAGTAAAGCCTCCGCGATTCATGATCCCACGAAGTGATAAAAACTGTGTACAAAGTAATTGGCAAAATATGGGAGCCAAAGTATTGATGTTCTCACGAAGTGCAAAAAAGTTTTATTAATGAATTACTGTTTAATTACGAACTATTTTTAACAAACAACTATGAATTAACAAAGAGCAAATCATATCCTATCGGACAATGCAAAAATTTCCGAATTCTGCTACTGCAAAGTGGTCGAAAATGTCTTTTGAAAAAATGAATAATTTCAAATGCAATTATCTCAGTATGAACTTTTGTCAAATGTTGAGGTTTTTGTCACTTCGTGAGCAAAGCAACGATATATTCCCCCAGTGTTTTCCAAAATGGTCCATTTTCCCTATTTTATCCCAACCTAGCTCTACTGAGCTCAGTAGAGCTAGATTGAATAGAGGGAAACTGAACCGTTTTGGAATACACTGGGGGGACATGTACGGTCCCAGATTTCTGGCCTCTTACGATGTATCTTTTTTAACATAGTTGTGCCTTTAGCTGTAATGCGATAAGCATTTGAGCTGGAGTTACTCAAGCTAGATCACTACATGTACATACATACATGTAGCGCAACGAACAGAGTCGGCCAATTCACCGAGCCGCAATGATGTACTACTAGACTTGCTGCCAGTCTGCGTTACCTCTAGAACTAGTCCCACTAACTGGAGTGCTAGAACTCCTTTTTTGAGTTTTGAGATGCAAGTCTGTCGTACTAGCGTTCCGACTGCAGAAGCAATCTAAATTTTTGAATTTTCAAAGTTCACCACAAGTTGCCAAAAATCACGCAAAATACTTGACAAAAATACCTTTGAAAGCACCTCCTGGCTTCTTCACATGTCATTGATGTCAAAGACGAAGTAATGGGGCTTCAATGATACTCACAAGTATTTTTTGGGTTGTAAATCCGCGAATTTCAATCACTATAGCACAGACATCACTCAGCAATTCATTCAAAAATGTAAATGGCTGTTTTTTGCAGCGCATAGTCCATGGACGTACATACAAACAAATACGCGAAGCGCAGGGGACACGACCGTGACCTGTGTCGATAAACAAAGTCTGCTTGCAGATCGGGGATGCACCAGCAACTGTTTCATGACAAGACGCGCTACGTATGTTGCAGGCGTACTCTTGTAGCGCGCCTTGTCATGAGGTTATGGTGCACAAGCGCCACTCTTAATTTTTCTTTATTAAATATTTATGGTATGGTATATTTATAGTATATTTTATTCACATTATCACATTGTGACCCAAAGGTCAAATTGCATGATAGTTTACAATATTAAAAACATCAAAATCACAATCAAATGTGCTGCGGGGGACTATCAAAATCCCCACTATCATTGAGTGTCTTCTAATTCTGCGTAAAATGAGTATACAAAACATTTGCAATTCTTAAGGTAGTGCTTAGGTTCAATTACCCGTGGGAAGAAAAAAAGAAATTTTGCGTTCAATTCAGAAACTTTCCTGTCATGCCTGTCGTCGTGCTGGAGGCCGCCATCTTGCTGGAGGCCGCCATCGGCTGGAATTAATGCGGACATGAACCAGTTTATGTGCAACTGAATTCCTGATCTTTTCAGTGCTGTTTTATAATGCACTTAAACATATTTCCAAGCTAGAATGATCGATATTCAGGTGCACGGCAATGATTTCCCACTCGATCTCAAAAGACGTTGCCCCCATTCGGAAAAATTCTAGTCCCAAACAGATCTATGGATAGTGTGTAGTCAGTTGTACCCGCTCTTTTGTATTCCAGAAAATCTGGATTAAGTCCAAAAATGACGGAGACCAGTCAGACCACACCATTAAGAAATGGAGAGGATAGCCCAACCATACACCTTGATTCTATCCTGGATGAATCAACAATGACTGCATCAGGCTATGCTCAAGTTGTGTTCCACAATGTGCAGGAGAGGTATCCCCCTGGTATGTACACAGATCAAATACACTGCCAAAAAAAACAAAGTTCACACTCAGTCGAGGGCTCATAATTTTTAATCTAAATCGTCTTTTGATAATATCATATCACCTTTGGGGAATTGTGTTGGATACATGTACATGTTGATACCTCGTTTGCTACCAAAGACTGTTAATTGTCCAGTATTGACAACGGTAAAATGTAAAACGATACAGTTTGAATAGTTGCAAAATAAAAGATTACGCGAGTGAAAATTGCCGCGCAACAGTTTCGCACTGCCCGAAACGAACGGCAGGGAATAGCGATTGCACAGTGCTTGCATGCATGGGAGCACGCAAATTGAATTACACTGTGCAGTCCATAGGGGCCAATTATGGGCGCGTGTGGTGTGGTTACGCTTAGCTTAGCAATTTCTCCTCGCGTAATCTTGAAATTGGCAACTTTCCAAACGTATCAATTTTCAGACACTGTCGTCAATTTTGGACCATTAACGCAGTCTTTGGTAGCAAAAGTGAGATCAAAATGTAGCGCACAAAATTCCCCAAAGGTCTATGATCATGTGATTATTTATAAGACGATCAGATTCAAAATTATGACCCCTCCAATGAGTGGGGACTTTTCTTTTTTTTTTGAGGTGTTTAGTTTAAAGAGATACCTTAAACAAAAAATCAAATTTTATTTTGTTTGTAACCCCTGATTAACTTTCAACTTGTGTGTGTATAATGACACAAGTATTAATATTGTTTCAAATTTGGGCATCAGTCTACTTTGAGCAAGTAGACTGGTTCCTGGTCCCTGCATTATCGACCCTGATAGAGAGGCAGGAACCTGTTTAACCTGAGGGAAGTGAATTGTCGGCTCGCAAACAATTGGAAGTTTGTAAAGTTACTATTCCATTTGTAACCCAACATTGACAAATTTTGATTTTATGTTTAATTTTTTTTGGATGTTCCATTCAAGAACTTAAAGGGAATATACATCATTTGCTTTTGCTGTAATTTTCAGAAATGGATGGAATTGGGGGGTTGGAAATATATAGCAAATATAGTTACACTGACTTTTTTGAGGTTTTGGGTTCGAAAATGCTATAAAAACCAAGAAAAACAATCATTTTCCTGTAGTCTGGTTCCCTGACTCCATATAAGAAGAAACAGAGCAGTTTACATACATTGGTGAATTGTAAGGTCAGGGAACCAGTCTAGCTGGCTCGTACCCGTTTATAGGTTTGTAATCGATTGCAAACAAGTGCGATGGTCAATTGGGGCCAGTATTTAAAAAAAAGCCAGTTTTTTCCAACGCTGATTGGCCGATCAGCGTTGGAAATCGATACAAAAATACTACTTTTCTTGAAAATGACAGTATACCAGGTGCCATGATTTTACAGGATGCTTTACACTGTCATTCACTAACAGTCCAGCAAGGTATTTCAAAATGATTTGGTAGTTTTATTTTTTGATGTTTTTTGTTCTTCTTGTCACTGTAATAATGTTTATTCCAGCACATAACACTTTATGTCCTACATGTACTTCTTCTAAGGTTCACATATTGAATGCAAATACACCTTGACTTCAGCCATCCGGCCAACAACTCGGGACTGGGTGGGTATCTTCAAGGTAGGCTGGAGTTCCACCAGGCAGTACAAGGCCTTTGATTGGGCCCCTTACCCCAATGACTGGCAGGAGGGACGCGAGTATGAGCAGACAGTCATGTTCAGAGGTAAATAGGAACAGCTAGTATTAGGCCAAATATCGTTGTGACCGTCTAACGTTAAAGGGAATATACATCATTTGCTTTTGCTGTAATTTTCAGAAATGGATGGAATTGGGGGTTGGAAATATATAGCAAATATAGTTACACTGACATTTTTTAGGTTTTGGGTTCGAAAATGCTATAAAAACCAAGAAAAACGATCATTTTCCTGTAGTCTGGTTCCCTGACTCCATATAAGAAGAAACAGAGCAGTTTACATACATTGGGGAATTGTAAGGTCAGGGAACCAGTCTAGCTGGCTCGTACCCGTTCATAGGTTTGTAATCGATTGCAAACAAGTGCGATGGTCAATTGGGGCCAGTATTTGAAAAAAAAGCCAGTTGTTTCCAACGCTGATCGGCCGATAAGCGTTGGAAATTGATACAAAAATACCACTTTTCTTGAAAATGACAGTATACCAGGTGCCATGATTTTACAGGATGCTTTACACTGTCATTCACTAACAGTCCAGCAAGGTATTTCAAAATGATTTGGTAGTTTTTTTTTTTTGATGTTTGCAAATGTTGTATTTTCCCTTTAAGCGTAGTGCCTGATGAGTATAAATCAGTGTTTAACCAGTTCACGCCGGGATTATTTTGACAAGAACGGAACATGGCACTGGATTACTTTTCACTCGACTTAAAGCCAGGCGGGTTGAAGCCATCACCCTCGGGCAGCACACTCATACTTCTGGCCTCACTCACTGACCGATATTTCTGGCCTCGCTCCCTGCGTGTTTGTCTGTCATCCATTCTAAATAAGGCAAAACTTGGGCATGTATACATAGCCTCCGACGCGACCCGGTTAAAAAGCATCGCACATGCGTCAATGTATCAATGTCGCATATTGCATTATCAATATTGTTTGACCTTCATAAATTTGATACAATCCAGTTAGTGATTACAATGGATGACACATCCAAAACATGTTTTTGTGTGTTTAACTTTTTACAAAAATGATGTAGTGGTGGGGTGAAATGGTGAAAATTCAAGGTTGGCCTAAAAAGGGGGTAGCGTGTATTTAATTGGTTTTAATTCTTAATTCTCTCTGAATAAAACACTGAATATTTATATCCTGCATTTATTGAGAGGTTAAATCTTTTTCTTTATTTTCGTAAAATGTGTACTTTGCAAAATTGTACAAGGACTTCATTCCTCTATGCGCAAAACTGCTTCATTTGAGGCGTTACGTTCGTCAAGTGTTCAAAGAAATGCATACATATTGATTTTCAGAATAGGCATCATATATGTGATGTACTGCAATGATATATATAACAAATGTTGCTGCGTAGCACTGTGTAGCTATACAATTTGAATAGTGAAAGTGAAACAGTGCTCACTTGACAGTTTTACCTGAGCATTTAGTGCGATGCATATGAACATAAACGTCGGCCAAAAATGTGTCGCATGTCATGTTTATGTTAATATACTGTGTTTATTTTGTGGATATTCTGAATTTTCATTTATACATGTCTTTACCTCTTTTTAGACACACATTTCAAAATGTTTACATTTACTTAGACTAAAGCGGGTAGTATTTATTTCTAAGAAAGTATAAATGGGAGAAAGGAGGAATAAAGAAGCATTGCCAATTCGGATGATTTACAATGCAGTGCGCCACCAAGAGTTTGCCATGTAGAGTCCATTTTTCAAGTTTACGGTCGACAAAACATGGCCTATTTGAATGAGTGTCAGTAGACAACTTGAGCTAATTTGTTATTTAGCTAATGATTGGGGTAAAGCATTCTGCCGCCTCACAAAAAAAAAACATATTGATAAAAAATATAAGAATAGAGCAAACATTTACTTGAATCATGCGCTTACAAAACTACTGACCGGAATAACTACTAATAACTAACTGCGAATTTGTCGACCATCTGCCACAATGCACTGGGAAAAATGAACTCTCCATGGCAGGCTCTTGGTGGCGCACTGCATTGTGAATCGCCCGAATTGTATCCAGTGTTGAGAAATTAAAAATACAGTATACCAATAGATAAATTACAGATAGATGGAATTTTTTTCATGTTATCCCTGTCTTCATAGGCGCTCAAGATGGGGCTCAATGCTACCGATTTTTTACCCATTTAAAAAATCAGGGAGTTTTGGACAGAACTTCGGACCAAATAACCAACATTATTTTGCTGTGAACTCAACAGCGTACTACCTGCCCAAAGAGGAAGATGGCGAGTTCTACCAGTTCTGCTTCATCGATTCGGCCGGCAAGATGCGCGGGGCCAGCACCCCCTTCCAGTTCCTGGAGCGTTCCGTGGATGAGTTTGTGGAGGTGGAGGACCATTCCATGGGACTCATGATGATACAGTCTAAGAGCACGGTCGTTGAAGAACAGCTGAAGAAGATTGTCAAGGTAAGGTTCTCGGAGAACAAGCCCATTCAGTATTTCATTCCAGTGCACTGAAGGACATGTAGTGCAGGTCAAAGGTCAGAGGTATATATGTCGGATGACAGTCAAGTACCAAAAGTCGCTGCTTTGTTTACAATTTGTTAAATGTGTCAATTTAACCAATTACAGAAAGTACCACAAGGAACGAAAATCTTTGTTATCTTGGAGATCGCTCTCTCTGTTTATCCCAAACAAGCCAAATGACCCATGCGCAGTTGGAATACCGCATTTTCTTATTGACGTCCTCGATGATACATAATGAAATGATAACCATAGCTGAAGAGCACTTTATTGTCAAAGTTGCTTCAAGTCCTTCATTCCCACTCAGTCAAAATTGCTCCAGTGCTAAGGCCTGATTCTTTCAATACTTTCACTGTATCAATGTAAACAAAGGTTTATATCCAAAAAGGACTTGATTACAATACCAATGTCAGAGATGGCAAACGTCTTCCATCTCTTTTGATTCTGATTGTTATTCCATTTATTGTTTTTTTCCAGGAGAAGGACGAACTCCTTGAGGCTCACACCAAGATGCAGTCCTACATTCAAGATTTGGAGAGCAAGGCGATGAGTCTTGAAAGGCATGTCAGTGAGCAGGAGGAAGCGCTAGCTGGCGTCAACATAGAGCACGAGGTGGGTGACCCTGCCCATAAAAACGGTGGCCAGGGGGGTTTAAAATGTGGTTCTTCCATTGGATACGAAAAATGTATTTGGAAAGTTAAAAAGGACAAATGATTTCGTTCCCTCTGAAAGTTCCCCAAATCAGCATTTGATTAAAAAAAATATTAGAAAGCGCCAATTGCAATATTTCAGACATTATATCCTCTCATTATATCAGACATTTATATCCAGCCTCAATCCTGCGAAATCCTCCAGCTGCCTCCAAGTAAAAATTTCATACAGCCTCAATCCACCAAAACCATCTGTTATTTCTTGAATGTGTACCTTGGAGGGTTGACCACTGCCTCAATCCTGCAAAATCCTCCAGCAATCACTGTCAATATGTTGAGGCAGAGCCAGTAACATTCTGGAGCAGTGCGGAAGATGTCAAGTATAATTTAGGCCTAAATTTATGCACAAGATCCGGCCTAAGACCTTGACACAGTGCATTCTCCAAAACCAGCCACACCTTTTTGCCATATAGAGTCAAACCTGCAAACTTCTTCTTTTTGCATAGATGATTTGGAGGATATGGGAAGGTTAGGGTTAACTTTCTCAAATTGATATTTTTGATATTTCGATATCACTGAAAGAATTATATAAGCGACATCAAAAGCACTTTGAAATAGATTAATTGAGTAAAAATGAACATTAAAAAGTTGCACAAATATCAATCTTTACATTGCAATATAGGCTCTGTCGATATTTATTGATATATCGACAGAGCCTACATTGCAGCGTAAAGATTGACATTTGTCCAAGTTTTTAATGTTCTTTTTTACTTAATTAATATATTTCAAAGTGCTTTTGATGTCGCTTATATAATTCTGTCAGTGATATCGAAAATATCAAAAATATCAATTTGAGAGAAACTTTTTAACAATTTCAAGAAAATGATTCAGAGCTCTTTTCTTTTACCTGTTGTGACTGTCCTCAGGCTCTCAAGGAGCGACACCAGAGCCTGCTCCGACAGGAGACCATCCTGGATGGCCGGCTGGAAGAGGTCCTGAATGCCCTGAGCAGCTTGGAGCAAGACAAGGCCCGCTGCGAGAAGGTCCTAGAATCCACCAAGACCAAGCTGCAAGAGGCCCAGAGCCAGACTACTAAAGCAGCAGCCGAGAAGGACCAGCTCGTCAAGGACCTGAGCCAGGTGCTGCATGAGAGGGACGAATTCAAGGTACAAAGGGAACCAGACTCTAAAATATTAACATGGTCAATTTCTAAAAGAATCTTGGCCTTCGCCTTTGGCTTCGGAATAAATAAGAAGCCTTTAATGTCCAGACCAAATAGAAAGATTTCGCCGCACATTATACAAATTTGTCAGCATATAATATTAACTGTGCAAATATAGGGTTGGTCATAATGGCCTATTATGAGGGCGTGTGGCCTAGTGTCACCACTCCAAAATTTGGCTAATTCTAAAAATTGGGAATGGTAACCCCGGATCCTATAGGACACACCAACAGACACAATAAATGACAAGAAAGAACAAACTTCTAATATCTCCAATTATATTAACAACTCTCCAAGTTCTGAGCACTATAATTATGTACAGCAAAATCTTATAATCAAATTCTTCAATTTAAATCACACTCTTGATCTTGGAAGAAGATTCCCAATTCAACTTCAGATCAGGTGAATTACTTCCAACTTATTTAATCAATCAATGACAAGATCATAAAAACACTTATGTTCAATTAATCAGTTAACTCACTTCCAAATTATTACATCAATCGATGACAAGGATCATAAAAAGTACGTTCAATCAATTAATTACAAAATCATAAAAAAAACACTGTTCAGTCAATCAGACACTCTCAATTTGTTTCCAAATGTAACTCCATTACCAGACTTCTCTTAATTATGTACAGTTCGGGCACTTCCCTTTTACCAGTTTCTACAAACTTTAAAGCGTTGGAGTTCCGGCGTGTGAGGGCTCGCAAGACCGTGTAGTGGGCACAACTCACAGGACTCGGCCGGCTACGCCTCGGTACAGACTCTACATCCGTCTACAGCACCTCAGTGGTAGACTCCTTCTCCAGTCGGTGTTAGAGTCGACAGGGGAATACTCTCAACAAAAAGGCCATGGTAATTTGCCGTGCAGCTTTCTTGGGGAGGCGAACTGTTGCCAGGAAATGTCAAAGACGACCGGGACTGGAATTTGGCCTGAATTTACCAAATTCTAGATACGGAACAGAATTTCCGTCTCTCTTCCCATAGGGATCAAACGGATCCACAACGGCTATGATCTGCTGTTCTCAGATATCTGATGCGAGGGAAGTTACAACCGGTCTCTCAAGCACACGATCGCTCTCCAAAACTCTGTCTTTTCTCGAACAAGTCAAAATGTCTTCTGCCTCTCTCTATCTCTCTCTCTCTTACAACAAAACAAACTCCAACATACCACACACAAAAGGCCCTAAACGGCGTTTCCGAAAAGTACAAAACAATCTATTCTTTACTGACTGACGTGATTTGTTCAACAATTAGGGTGGGCGTTCTCTGACAATTACCATGGCCTTATACAAATGCTGTTGCGTAAGATAGAAGGGCTTTTTTAACACTCCACGAACGCCTTAGCTTTAAGTGAATGAGTAAAGTCTACGCGGGACTGAATGACACGTTATTGGTTAAAACTTTCGGACGATTTCATTTATGGCGGGGTGCACAGGTATATACAAAATAAAACAATAATGAGCGGAACGCAGTAAACACATGATCGGCGAAAATAATTATACACTTATCGGTTGCACTGTAACAATTCACCCCCCGTTCTGTAAGAAAATGTCTTACATTTTCTCCAGGAGTTGCAGTGCACAATTTCTACAGACTGCGACTAAGGAAATCGGCCCCTACGTTGTCCGTGCCCTTGATCGCTACTATTGTCAAGCGATATGGCTGTAAAGCCAATGCCCAGCGCATAATACGGGAGTTAGCGACTTTGGCTTTTTGGATGTATGTCAGGGGTTGGTGATCTGTTTCCACCAAGAAATGGTTGCCGTACAAATAACTCTGGTATTTTTGAACACCCCATACGAGAGCTAAACACTCTTTCTCTATGGACGAGTACGCACGTTCGCGACTGAGTAACTTACGACTCGCGAATGCAATGGGTAAGGGAATACCCTCTTGCTCTTGAAGCAGGATTGCACCGATACCGGTATCCGAAGCGTCGGTTCGTAGAACGAACTGTTTCTCGAAATCAGGTAATGTGAGAATTGGAGCTTTCGATAAACACTGTTTCAGTTTGTTGAAAGCTAACTGTTGGCTTTCACCCCACGTTATTTTGTTCGGTTCCTTAGCCTTAGTTTTATCTGTGAGCGGAGCTGCTATGGCTGCATAATTTGGTATGAATTTGCGATAATAGCCAGATAATCCTAAGAATGACCGAAGTTGTTTCTTTGTGACCGGTGGCGAGGCATCGAGGATTTTCTTGACCTTGTCCGTTTGTGGTGTCAATTTGCTGGAGCCAACATTGTGACCTAGATACGCGACCGTACTCATACCTACTGAACATTTGCTTGGTCGAGCGGTTAGGCCGGATTTCTTGAGTCTCTGAAATAGGTCATTGAGTGTTCGAACATGGACTTCCCAAGACTGAGTATGAATAAGTATGTCGTCGATGTAATTACTTACATGATTCATGTCCTTGAGTAATGCGCGCATGATGCGGCTGAACGTAGCTGGTGCATTTATAAGGCCGAACGGCATTACCGTGAATTGATACAAACCATTTGGCGAGAGGAAGGCAGTTTTGGGTTTTGCTTCACTTTTCATCGGAACTTGCCAATAGCCCTTAGTCAAATCAATTTTGGTGAAGTAGTGACATTTCGATAACTTCGAGAAAATCTGTTCTTGATTTGGGATGGGTTCAGCATCGAAAACCGTTACTTTGTTCAATTTCCTAAAATCTATGCAAAACCTATTGGTACCATCAGATTTCTTCACTAGAACGATCGGAGATGCATACGGCGAGTTGGACAATTCGATTATTCCCATTCGAAGCATGCTTTCGACTTCAGTGTTGACGGTGTCGATTAAAGCGTGAGGGAGTGGGTACGGTTTGCTACGTATTGGAACATCGGATTCAACCTTAATGTCGTGATATCCTAGATTAGTTTTGCCGGGTAAATCGGTGAGGACTTCATGATAATTATTCAGGACACGTTTTATTTCTGCATTTTGCTCTGGTGACAAATCTTGGTTGATTTCGACATTATCGATGGTTTCTGTAGCTTGCATTGGTGGTAATTCAAGCGTGTCTTCGTTATCGATCTTTGCGTCGTCTACTGATTCATTTTCAAGACAATCTTCTTCGCATTCTATGACCGATACACAAACTTGTTCGAAAATGTTATCAGGTTTTCTGTTTTCAGCCAAGATGGCAGATGCGACCTTTGCTCGGGGAATATATTTCTTAAGCAGGTTCGCGTGAAATACCTTAGACTTGCCGTTGAGATCGATGCGGTAATCGACTGTGCCTACCTGTTCAATTACGCGAAACGGACCTTTCCACTGTAATAACAGTTTGTTGCGATCAGTCGGGAGGAGCAACAGAACTAGATCGTCTAGTTTGAAGCTGCGCGGTTTGGTCTTTCGATCGTAATACCGTTTACTTCTTTCCGATGATTTTCGAAGTGCTTCTTGTGCTATTCGACACGTGTCATCTAACCGTTCGCGTAAGTCTACAACGTACTGATAAGTTGTCCTAGTTTCTTCGTTCTCATCGCTACTACCTGTCCATAGCTCTTTTAATATCGACATGGGACCTCGAACGGAACGACCATACAATAACTCGAACGGGGCAAATCCGGTACTTTCTTGTGGTGTGTCACGGTATGCAAAGAGCAAGGGCGCTAGGTACCTGTCCCAATCGCGGGGTTTCTCTGCACATAAGCGTTTCAGCATTTGTTTCATGACGCCGTTGAAACGTTCGACTAGCCCGTTGCAAGACGGATGATAAGGTGTTGTGGTGAGTTGGCGAACTGAAAGCAATCGACTTATCTCGCGCATTAAGCCTGAAGTGAACTGACTACCTTGGTCTGTCAAAATCTCACTCGGGATACCTACACGTGTGAACACATTGACCAACGCTTCTGCTACTGTAACCGTCTCTATGTTACGCAAAGGAATGGCTTCAGGGTAGCGAGTAGCGTAATCGACTATCGTTAATATGTATCGATTTCCACGTTCTGAAACTGGGTGAATTGGTCCTACGATGTCTATGGCAACGCGATGGAACGGCGTATCGATAATGGGCATTTTACCTAGTGGGACTTTGGTAATTCTACCTTTCTGTACTGTTCTTTGACATATATCGCACGATCTACAGTATCGCGTTACATCGGCTTGAACCCCTGGCCAGAAAAAGTTACTTAAGACTCTATCCGTAGTTTTCTTTGCACCTTGATGTCCTCCGAGGATACTTTCATGTGCGATTTTCATGACATGATTTCTGTACTCTGTGGGAACTACTAATTGATTACACGGTTGACCGAATTTTAAAGGAGACTGAAACTCGCGATATAGTAAACCGTCTACCACAGAGAAAGTTGTTCTGGAGCCGTTTCTAGTTCGTTTCTCGTCTTTGCTCGCTGCGAGTTCTCGGATACGGTTAAGATCGATATCGTTTTCTTGTGCAATTTTCATCTGCGTGTGATCAATATCTGGTAATTGTTCCGCGACTTTTAGTGTCTTCATAGGTTTTTCTTGTCTTAGTTTTTGTGAACGGGTTTCGACCGCACAACCGAGTTCTTCACGAGTGATGTCGGGTTGCATGTTCGATGGCTTAGACCAATTTGTATTGGGTTCTTGTGGGTCTCGTGCATTTGATATGTTGCCTATGATTACATCATATACCGGATTAGGCATACAAAGCGCCTCACATGATCCTACAAAATACGGTGTATCTAGTTCGACAATCGCGATCGGTGCTTTGCGGATCGTACCGTCTACAAGTACACAGGTTCTATCTTGCCCGGTTAATTGATCAGCGGAGACTAAATCTTGCCTTATCACGACGGTGCTACAACCGGTGTCGCGTAATACGGACACGCTAGTGCCATTAATCAAACCTTCGGTAACGGGCATGTTTGTGGGGTTTTTGTCGCGACAAGCGGCACTCATGAGCGGCAATTCGTGGCCACACTGTAAATGAAGTTTCCCACTTTTAACACAGCAGGGTCTTAATGGTTGTTGAGCTACCATGCAAGCGACTGTTTCAGATTTTTCCGAATCTGAACTACATGTTTCACTGGTTTGATTTGGGTACTGCGATGGTTGAGGAGTAGTATCAGGAGCAAGAACACTGGTAAGTGCTGACGCGATGATATTGGCAACCTTAGTGATATCTTTTGGCCGACTTCTGCAATCTCTTGCAATGTGTCCCTTTTTGTGACACAAGTAACAAGTTCTGATTTCGTGATACGAACTGCCTTGACTGGGATTACGACTTTGTTGCGGCCTACTAGTTACTTGCGACTGTTTGGAGTGTTGAGTTGGTTCTGGTCTTCGCGATGTGAAATTACTTTGGTATGATTTCTTCTCGCGTGCTGCAAATGAACCGTGAGCGTCGGTATACTGTTCCGCTAGACGAGATATTTCGGCCGTGCTACGCGGTTTCCTCTCATTTAGGAACAACCTAAGCTCTTCGGTACAGCGATTTAGGAACTGTTCGCGTAAGACGAGGTCTTTAATTCCTTCATATGTTTTCTCGGTCTTGTCCATTTCAACCCAACGCGTGAATATGTTATCTAGCCGGGCCATAAATTGAGGAGCAGTTTCGCCGGAGTCTGGTTTTGTTTCTCGAAACTTTTGCCGAAAACCGACGGCTGTCAAATGAAAGCGTTTCAGTAATGCTTCTTTGAGTGCCTCGTAATTTGTGGCTTGATCTGCGGGTAGTCTGGAGTACACGTCTAAGGCCTTACCCTTAAGGAGTGCACCTAAACTGATTGCCCAATCGTTCTCATCCCATTCTTGAATTACTGCGTAACGTTCGAAACGTTGAAGATACGCGTCTAGGTCATCTTGATCTTCGTTGAATTTGGGTAACTTGGGTGTCTTAGTTCGATAACGAAACGGTTTAGCCCTAACGGATTCTGACGCGGTATCGAAGACTGGTGACAGTGGTGGAATCGGTTCGTGTTTTAGTGTTTCTAGCCGTAACTGTAACTCTAAATTTTCACGATCTGCCTTGCGAATATCATAATTGTATGCTCTAGCATCGCGCTCAGCCCTTTCGCGTTCCTTACGTTCTTCGCGGCAAAATTCGATTAGTTCGTGACCCGTTAGATCACAAGCCTCTGCTACGGTACGCAATTGTTCAAGATTCACATCCATTATCACACTGACCGGTTCTAACTTACCAAGCACCAAAATTTTGAGTCCAGACGCACAATGATCGGGGTAGTTGGGATGGCAACAGTCGACCTGCCCCTGTACAGCAAGGAATATAACAACAAATACAACAGGTGTGAACATCATACATCCATAACTGAGTTTTTACATTACTTAAAAATCTACTGTTGGTGTTCCTTCTGGTACAATTTATTTGGGAATTTCCCGGACAAGCCCCCAAAATGTCACCACTCCAAAATTTGGCTAATTCTAAAAATTGGGAATGGTAACCCCGGATCCTATAGGACACACCAACAGACACAATAAATGACAAGAAAGAACAAACTTCTAATATCTCCAATTATATTAACAACTCTCCAAGTTCTGAGCACTATAATTATGTACAGCAAAATCTTATAATCAAATTCTTCAATTTAAATCACACTCTTGATCTTGGAAGAAGATTCCCAATTCAACTTCAGATCAGGTGAATTACTTCCAACTTATTTAATCAATCAATGACAAGATCATAAAAACACTTATGTTCAATTAATCAGTTAACTCACTTCCAAATTATTACATCAATCGATGACAAGGATCATAAAAAGTACGTTCAATCAATTAATTACAAAATCATAAAAAAAACACTGTTCAGTCAATCAGACACTCTCAATTTGTTTCCAAATGTAACTCCATTACCAGACTTCTCTTAATTATGTACAGTTCGGGCACTTCCCTTTTACCAGTTTCTACAAACTTTAAAGCGTTGGAGTTCCGGCGTGTGAGGGCTCGCAAGACCGTGTAGTGGGCACAACTCACAGGACTCGGCCGGCTACGCCTCGGTACAGACTCTACATCCGTCTACAGCACCTCAGTGGTAGACTCCTTCTCCAGTCGGTGTTAGAGTCGACAGGGGAATACTCTCAACAAAAAGGCCATGGTAATTTGCCGTGCAGCTTTCTTGGGGAGGCGAACTGTTGCCAGGAAATGTCAAAGACGACCGGGACTGGAATTTGGCCTGAATTTACCAAATTCTAGATACGGAACAGAATTTCCGTCTCTCTTCCCATAGGGATCAAACGGATCCACAACGGCTATGATCTGCTGTTCTCAGATATCTGATGCGAGGGAAGTTACAACCGGTCTCTCAAGCACACGATCGCTCTCCAAAACTCTGTCTTTTCTCGAACAAGTCAAAATGTCTTCTGCCTCTCTCTATCTCTCTCTCTCTTACAACAAAACAAACTCCAACATACCACACACAAAAGGCCCTAAACGGCGTTTCCGAAAAGTACAAAACAATCTATTCTTTACTGACTGACGTGATTTGTTCAACAATTAGGGTGGGCGTTCTCTGACAATTACCATGGCCTTATACAAATGCTGTTGCGTAAGATAGAAGGGCTTTTTTAACACTCCACGAACGCCTTAGCTTTAAGTGAATGAGTAAAGTCTACGCGGGACTGAATGACACGTTATTGGTTAAAACTTTCGGACGATTTCATTTATGGCGGGGTGCACAGGTATATACAAAATAAAACAATAATGAGCGGAACGCAGTAAACACATGATCGGCGAAAATAATTATACACTTATCGGTTGCACTGTAACACCTAGTGGTTATGGTTCGGGACTCGTGATCAGAGGGTCAGGGGTTCGAATCCAGCCGCTGGCCATATGTTGTGTCCTTGGGCAAGCCACTTCATGCCCACTTGCCTTTCTCCACCCAGGAGTATAAATGGGTACCAGCATTAGCTGGGAAGTGGTCTGCGATGGACTAGCATCCCATCCAGGAGGGATGGGCATATTCTCAGTCGTGTCATGCTACTGAAACCAGAGATAAACGCCGGCCTGATGTGCCATATTGGCTTGTGACAGACTTTACTTACATAATGGCCTATCAGCTGTGATGGTTGGCTTGCACAAGGGATGTGATCCAAGGCACCCAGTTATAACTAGATCAAGAATAATAAGAACAACACATCGGTTACCATGACAAGCATTTTTTTTTTAAAATATAGCCAGATGCTCCCAGTGGCTAATATAACCATTCCATTATTAGTGTTCATCCCCTGTTGCTTGTGACTGGGCTTGTGAACTGACTATTGATTTACTTGTGACTGGACTTGTGATGGACTCGACTACAACACTAAACCAAGCGCTGGACCAGATTTGATCTGAATCTAGTCTGCATTCCTATTACTATCAATGTGGTGTTGTTCCTTGTAACTCAGAGCCAATTTGCCTCCTCGGAGAGCTCCAATAAGGACCTGCGTGATGAGATCGCCAACCTCCTCAAGAAGCTTTCAGCGACCAGCCAAGCAACCCAGGATGTCAAACAACAGGAGGTACAGATCAGGGAGGAGAAACGAAAGGTGGAACAGCAGCTTATGGTAGCCATGGCTGACCAGGTAGTGTCCTTCAATTCTTTTTCCCTTCCTTGACCCTAAACTCTTCCAGATGCAATACAGGGCAACGGGTGTCAATCTCTGTAGGTCCTTGTTTCAATCAACTGCAGTGCATAAACTGCCAATTCTGAGACTAATGAACAATGCCACTGTTTTTCATAGGATGGAAGTTGTGTCGGGGTGATGTAAATTCAATATTGGGATTTGCCCTTCATCAACGTATTTTATGAACACTGTATACTCAATGTTGCCCCCGAGTGATTGTGAGAAATAAACTCACTCAGGTGGGACTCAAATTACTGAGACACATCTTCTTTTCTATGAACTAGAGTTAATCTTTCCATACTTTTTTTGCATGTACCATTGGTAACAATGAAATTTAATGTTCCACTCTGCTTTTTCCTGCTTAAATAAATATGTTCAATTCAAACTACAAATGTGTTTTTCTCATTTTGGCACTGGTCTTGTAACAATATTTTTGTTACCTGAAATCAGTCCTTCCAGTATTTAAAAAGCTAATAAACTCTTAATATATAACATGGAGAGGATTAATACACAACTTGTAGTTGAGGTCTCGCTTCTCTGAAACTGCCTTATCGGTATAGTAGTTTGGGTTTTTATTTATTTGTTACTTATTTTGACATTAATGTTGCAGAATTACATACGTACCACAGAGCAGAAGCTACAAACTCGACAGGATCAGTTTGCAGCGTGTGAAGCTAGTCGCAGGATGCTGTGCGAGGAAGTAGATACCATGAAGGCATTCCAGCACAAACTCTCCAATGACCTTCAGGTAGGAACCAAGTTAAGGTTGCACATTCAGCCAATTTTTGGAGGCTAAAATTTCAGGTTTGACATTGTTTATATACTTTATTTCAAAGGTTTAGGTTACAGAAATACCCACATGATGTCTTACATTTATGGAGAAAATGTTGAAAAACCTTTTTTTGTTTACATTTGCGGTTTTTTGGCCCTACCCGTACATATTTCAAGGACTGAATTTTGAGCCAAACTGTCAGCAAAAAGACTGGCGCCGCATTATATGTATTTGACAATTCACTGTGAGATATCAGGTCCCACGCTAGCTTCAGAATTATACACATAGCGATCCTAGCACACACGGGATAAAAGGTTTCGAAAAGATACATGTTTGACTGGAGTGACGACTAGCGCTCCAACGGCGCGATTTTGAGTACCCAAATTTTGCACCCCTAAATTCCATAACATGGTGAATACATGTACTCACAACAAAAGCAAATTTGCAAGGTGTTTTCAAGTTTGAAAATGCTCCGATCTGCAGCCGAATTAGCTTTACACAATGGTTCGCTTGTTCTTGTCGCATGTTCACATCACAGTCACATTTGTGGCTTTATTCCACAAATTATGTCTAAAGAACTTGTTTCACTTATTTCTTTTCTATATGCATTTGAATTGGCACTCTCAGCACTTTATCTATATGACAGTTGCCATGGTACATAATTATCATGTGCGTAAATCAACAAGGGACAGGGGGAACCCCCCCCCCCTCCCCATTTTAAAGCGGGGGACATTGTTTGGTTCCCTCCCCCCCCCACTTTTTCTTCCCCGAATAAAAATTGTAGCCTACAACAATGATTCTATTGCTCAGAATACATGTAGCTGATTCAATTACTCCAAACTCAAAACTTTAAAAGATGATCTTTTGCTAAAATTGGTTTTAGTGGTCAGAAATTGCCTCAGATCACACCACAGAAATTGCTTTTCTATAACTGCATGTCTCCTTAACTATATCCCCATTTACATTTAACTCCCCAAATTTTCATCCCCAACACTACGCCCTACCCGATCTATGATCGGGTAAATCAGCTTGTTTTGATATATCACAGAGTTTAACATCCTAATGATTATGGACATTAAATTGGTGGAAAAGTTGACAGTTTCCATTGATATCCATTGATTAGTTTAACCCTAACCTCACCTAAAGCTACAAAATACTACTGAGTAGTAACCTGTAGTATGCATTTCTTTCCATACATGTGCACAACACATGTAGTGTTCTGTGGTATTTGATACTTGACTCCCAAAGAGCCCTTACGGGGTTAGGGTTAAGGGGCCTGTTATGTTTAAGGACCTGTAATTCTGGCAACTTCCAACTTTTATATATATACAATTGGGATTCATTTGTGATCTGCCCACCAAAAGGAGTCACAAGTCACCCAAGCTATAGGTGATTTATAGTCGTTTTCCTACTTTTAATTTTTTCTGGTTTTTGCTTTGCTCGTTACAGCGAGCGGAGACTGATAAGGATGCCCTGAAGGGCCGTATCGCACGCTTGGAGAACGAACACAAGGAACGGGAGAAGCAACTGAAGAACAAGCTGCATCTGCAGCAGCACCAAGGACGAGAGAGGGAAACCATGCTGAAGGAACAGGTGCAGGCACTCAAGGATAGCATCAAACAGCTGGCTGAGGTATGGCTTACAGGAGGGACAAATATTGACCGCCAATGGCAGATTTTGCTAACGGGGTGGGGGTGGGGGTGGGGGAGGGTAGCATGGGCGTCGTAAGACAAATTTGAATAGCTATAGCTATATCGGGTTTCATAACAAAGCCCATTTGGGCGATTCACAACGCAGTGCGCCACCAAGAGTTTGCCATAGAGAGTCCATTTTTTAAGTTTACATTACCCATTTGAACGAGTGTCAGTAGACAACGTTCTGCCACCTTACAAAGAACACTATAGGCCTATTGGTAAAAAGAAAAGAAAAGGGCAAATATATACTCTAAACCATATGCTTACGAAACTACTGGCCGGAAAAACTAACAATTTCAAATATCCCGCCGGCTGCGAATTATTTTGTGGACCATCTCCACAATGCACTGGGAAAAATTAACTCTCCCTGGCAAACTCTTGGTGGCACACTGCTTTGTGAATCGCCCAAATTTATCCTGCTTTGTGAAGGCAGGGAGGGGTCAGCTGTTAAAACAGTCACTTGATTTATTTTTACCCCTGGGCTGGCCTTGTTTAAATTGCCAGCCAACGAGGGAGGGTTTGATCTTTCCAACTTCTATCATTTAGAGCCCAAAAGGGCACATTTCAGTTAAAAGTGCTCCTTTAACTTTTAGTATTGTGTTATTTCTTTTCCATGACTAGGAGAAGGAGCAGGCCCTGCGCTCCAACAAGGGCCCCATGGAAGCCTCCCAGGTAGCCATGAAGGAACTGAAGGACAAACTGAAGAAGGCCAAAAGCAAGCTGGACGAGGAGACTCAGAAGAGGGTTGAACTCCAAAAGAAACTGGTGAGGAAGGCCAACCAAGGAAGGCTAACGAGGCACACTTTGGCATTTCCCTCGACTTTTCTCAAGCAGTGTTGCCAAACCTCTTTGTTGAGAAACTTCAAATTCTTTTAAGTTAAATACTGGCACTGTTACCCTAATAATGCTTGCTGTTGAACCTTTCTTTCTGGAAATTGGGCACAAATTTGGCCGAGTGTTCCCTAACGTGGCACACTTCACCAATTCTGGAAAAATCCCATGTTAACATTTTGCACTTCAAAATAAAATTGGGAAATCACACCTAAGTAGAATTTCTATGGAACTTTGTAGCAGGTACGTAAACTCAAGATTCATGCAAGGGAATGTTTAGACCTTGATGAAATTTTACTTACTGTGAAATTTGAAGTAAACATTTTGCTCTAGCAAGGCACTAGCATGAGTAGAGGCGAAAATCAAGTGCACCAACTCAGGGTACTATCAACAATATTTGAAATAAAAAAAAATTCCTTATCACCAAGTGTAAAAGGAATACCATGTGGCAACATCTACTATTTTAGTATCCATTTTCCATGATTTTCCGCAAGCAAAACGGCTATTAAACCCGAACAGCGAATTTCAACTGTGGATTGCTAGTATTAATGAGAAGCAAAGACTCCTCTAAATTGTATTTGGCCTTCCACCTCTATGATCTGGGCACAGATCCCACCTAGGCCGACAAGTGGATAGGGGTTCAATTCAAACCTGATTCCAAAGTCTTTCTCTGTAATATTGTGTTCGTGGGTCTCCATCCTATGTTCAAAACATTTGTCTTCTCTTGAATTCTTCAGGCTTCTGTACTAAAAGAACCCTTGGTTTTATTACTAGAAAAAAAATGAACCCATCAGCACTTGCATGATACTGTATTTAATCCCTGATTAACCCTCCCATGCAAACATACATTCTATGCCAAGTTGTCCTTTCAGTCAAAATCAATCAAGTGACTGTTTTCAACAGTTGAGAGCTCCCAGCCTACGACTGGCTGTGACTGTTTATGTAACTTGATGCAGCTATGCTTTGGCTGTAGGTGATTGATAAGCCTGCTGTGCCAACCACTTGTCTACTTTTGTCTGTTGATTGCATTGGAATAGTCAGAGTGCTTGCTTGAAATATGATCTGAAATGAGGATTGATTTGTTTTGGCTGTCTGTGACTGTTCAGATAGCAGGCCATAACAATCATACAGCGCTGGGGCGGCTTTGGGTGGTACCGGTATAGGCAATAACAGTCAGAATGGTTATGTTGTATAGGAACTAATGCGATAATATTAAATATAAACTATTCATAAGATGAAATTTGCGTCGGGGTGATGTAAATTCAATGTTGGTTTTTCCCCTTCACCGACGTATTTCTAATTTTTTTTTTAATTTTCTTTTTTTACAAACACTGTATACTCAGTTTTCAGAACAAAAAAATTGAAAGTGAGTCGGCGAAGGACAAAATCCAATATTGAATTGAAGAAAAAGCTTGTGGAAAAAAAAGAAAATTTAACGGCAAAGAAAACATGATTAGGCCTTATTCTAGAGTGAAGGATTCTGTAATGATGCCAGTTTTGGGAAATAAATAGATGTGTATCCAAGGTTATCAAGCTTAGATACATCAAAAATTAAATATATCGTCGCATCAATGCAACAAGGTTGTAACTCCATTCTACATCAAAGTCGTATCTCGCACGAATACGCTCCGTGCAACAAGGTCATATTGACTTTGTATGTGTATATATCCAGGTTATTTGAGGTGATATACAACCTTTTGACATCTGAAACTTGCGTTTCACGTACAGCCCATTTTAGGACACAACGATATACACAATTTTCAATTTTTTGCAGGTGAGGTTACTAAACTGCTTCAATGAACAAGATTTTTCTAGTGTTTATACCATGACAACTGTATCAAAATAGCACACCCATTTGCTATAAACTATTGCTTATTATATTGTGCCTTTCCTTTGTCAGAACACCCTTGAAGCCAATCACGTCCAGGAGCAGAATGACCTGGCTCGGGAAGTAAGCGACATGAAGGCCCGCCTCCAGATGGGGGCGGAGGAATACAAGAAGAAGTACCTGGAGTGCCAACAACTGGAGAGCAAATTGAGGAAGAAGGCGAGCCAGAGGGTGCGGGCTTCGTCCAGAGACGAGAGCCCGGCTGTCAAGAGTCAAGGTGAGTCAAGACTAGGGTTATGCTCGAGTCCAGTCACAAGTCCTTTCACGGGTCTGGTCACAAGTACACAGGGTGTGAACAACAACAAAGGAATGCCTTTGACATAGTTCATTTGAACAGCTTGTAACTTGCCTAAATAGGACAAGATGACTTGTGATAGACTGTAGGGGACTTGATGGACTTGACTTCAACACTGGTCAAAACCAGAGCATCAAGTCGACATTCAATTGGCGCAGATCTTACAGTAAATCAATTAGTTATTGATCAAATTCTGATTTTGGTAGCAGTCGTGAATCAGTTTTTAATTTAAATTGTCAAGGCACACTCGAGCTTCCCTGTCATGGTTTATCTGTCAGAAGTCAACCAAATCAACTTTTTTAGTGGTTGTCACCCATTTCAACAATATTCCTGTTTACGTCTGACGCTACGACTACCTAAGCTTGCTTAGTATAGACTCTGCGCATGAACAGTAGAAGGTGAGTCATGACCACTGATCTCTATATAAAGACTGGATAGCTAATAAAGAGCCGCACAATGTACGAATTTGACGCCATATTGGTGAGACGGGTGGTGATCTACAAAGGACAAATTGCAGTCTTTATAGACAGCTTGATTTCTTTTGTAACGTCGCGGCTCACTTGACTTACATTTTGGCCACCACCACTGACCAACTGACTAAGGTTTACTACAATTTTTCCAACGTAGTGGTTACTTTTATAATGCCGCAAATCACTTTTTCAGCGTTTTTGAAATAGTTATCACTACGGAAATGTGTTCCTTTTAGAACATCATAATATGTGTACGTGACCAAAACGCGCTTCAACTGTTGATACAACGCGCGCGTATTTACGCGTAGAACGTTCGTATTATATGCGGCCATCTTCGTGAGACCGGGGGCGAATTGGTCAATATGCAAAGTCTACTGTGTGAATAATGTATGCATATCCACTATCCAGTCTTTATATAGAGATCAGTGGTCATGACCACTCATTGGGGCTCTAGTTGAGCAGACACACCACATTGCGTGCACTGCGAAGTACACACGACTATATTTGGAATGCCCAAACCTGGTGCATCTAAACACGAGCTTTAGATGCTGTCAACAATGCTTTCAAGGATCGCTCACAAGGAAAGGGGTCTGAGTGCACAGAGTTAATAGTCTAATTTGCAACCTCAATCAGAAGTCGGTATCAAGGTGAGGCACTTAATGCTCCTTAAACCACAAGGCTCATTAAAGTGCTTTAGTGACTTGACTACAAAATGTTGTTGATGTGTCACAAAATTGACCATTTCTCAACCAGTGGTGCACGATCTAACTTTTTCAGGAATTAACCTCATCTTAAAAAGATTTAAATGACCTTTAAACCTTTGAACTCTTAATGACCTTGCACCTTTGAACTCTTAACCCCAAAGAGCAAGCCCTGCAGCAAGCCAGTCCTTCCTCCAGTCCAGGCTGCGAGACCCCTGAGAAGTCCTTTGACAATGCCGAGCTGCAGATACAGTTGAAGGATCTTGCTGAAGAGTTGGCAGAGCGCAGCACGAAGATCCAGAAGTACAAGGGGCTGTATCAGGTCAGTCAGGCTCAGAAACTTTTCAAGCTCAGCAAACATGGAAAAAAGGGGCCATTCGTGTCGGCAGTGTCTTGCCAATGATTCAAATTACATTGCAGCATTTACTTTAGCAACCAAACCCGTTAAACATGTGAATTCAGGATAAAACTGGAGAGAAATAACACAGCACTTTTTGTTTTAAAGCAATTTTTATTGTTTGCTCCTTGAAAACATTTATGAGAAAAGTTAGCACATTGGCTTACTGCCATGTACTGACACAACAACGAATCATTCAAGAAAAGAAAATTGACGACAGCGACATCTAAAATTCTGTCAACGTTTGGTGCTGAAATAGCTGTGACATTGAGGTTTCTGCCTAAAATGACATCACGCTTTTGCTCATGTATACAAAAATTTGCATAAGCATACAAAACAGAAAGGAACAAAAATGTGAAAATTAAAATTAAGGTTCAATGGGCACAAACGTTCATTTTCAAGGATTGCATTTAAAAAAATTACATTGTATGGCCCTTTATGTTGTTTTTGTTGTTATTGTAATAATATTTTAACTACCATTTTATTTATTTTTCATAATTCATAGTACTTCAACTCGTTTACTATAATTTGTTTTTTGTTTTTTAAAAAGTTTCCTAAGATTATTTACTTAATAACCCACGAGGGATACAGTAAGATATACTTTACTTGACTTGACCTGTAGGCCGAGAAACATCGACGACAGCAGCAGGAGCAGACCTTCCAGCAGGAGCGAGCTGCCTTTGAGATGCAGCTGGAGGCTGCCAACAGCTGGGCCCAAGAACTGGATGAAAAAGAGGTACACCAGAGAAAAAAATTAAGCGTAACAATTCCGCAAGAACTCCTCGATTGCCATTTTATGTATCTTTGCTGTTCATTTTACAAGTGAATGTTGAAAACTGACTGGAATGGGAATTGAACCTGCAACCTTTAGAATATCATACCGGTGCTCTACCGAGTCGGCTATTCTAGCACTGTGAAGAAACTTTCTTCCAGTTGTTTAAGTTTTCTGTGGTAACCAGTCACATTCCAGAAGATGACGGTTCCAATCTAGCTATGGGCTTCGTACGCGAACAAGAGAGGGTGCTTTTTGACCACTTTTGAGAGTTCCAGTTTGGGACACACCACTTGCGCATACTGGTTCCTTCACCTATGGTGTGAAGTACACACGAGTAATTCTATTTTGAAGTACACAAAACCATGGCAACAACAGAAAAAGCGTTCAAATGTCACTCCCAGTGGTTTCCATAACTCTCCCTTTTGTACCGTTGAGGAGGTACTTGCACACTTAGCCCATAGTCTATTTATCTTCAATTTCAAAAAGGGTCAATATTTGTTAGTTAGTAAAAGGTCAGTCCCATTTTATAAATCACTCAATTTAATTTAGCAGATTATTATGAATCTTGAACACTGATGACTGATTAGATGACAAAATCAGAGGAAACAAGATGAAAAAAAAAACACTCATACTAGCCGAAGTAGCACATTATAAATTTGGTGATTCAGATATTCACCAGTGACATATCTCTATTCCATTGTCTCACTCACAGGAAGACAACCAGCAACTCCGCGAAAAAGTAAGCAAGCTGCATGCCGACTATATGAAGATGAAGCACACCTTGGAAGTCTACAAGTTTGACGTCCAGCAAAATGCCAACCCGACTACCGGGATGCCTGCCCCGGTCTCCCCTCCTAGCACTCCCCCTCAATTGAGCCCCATCCATTCCCCGGTCCCCATGCCCCCTCCTGGTCCCCCCATGGGCCAGTACATGTTCCGGAACCCCTACACCGAGGGCGGGTCTTTCCCGTTGGGGTGCACTTACCCAAACCCCTACACTCGGCAGTCTGGTGAGGTTGCAGAGAACGAGGTTCGCAGCCCACCTGGCTACAATCCCTTCCAGGCTCGGGATGAGCAGAAGGAAGATCCATCAGTTGGGCCGACGGCACCTCCTCTTAGTTCAACTCCCCCGATCCCGTCAAGTCTGAGTAAGATGGCCGCGGTCCCTGAGTTGCCCCCTAAGAATCCCCCCGATGCAGGGACCAGGGCCGTCAAGTCCCCGCTGCCAGAGCCCCTCAAGCCGGACGTGCTGCCCGAGGGAAAGATTGCAGCCATCAAGACGGTGGCCAAGAAACAAGTCCGTCTTCTGGATTTGGCTGCCGGCGTTGGGATCTCTGAGGGACATGAAGAGGAACGGTGAGATTCATTTTGTTTAGTGAATTAACCCTCAACCTAAGGCCCTGTTTACACTGTGTCCAGTCATGGGATTCTGACCAATCAGTGCTTTGGTGGTTATGATGTGATGGAGTTTGCTATGAGATCATCCTGTAAACTTTTCATACATTTGCAAAAATTATTATAATAAAGCACAGCTTCCGCCCACATGACACTCTTACTTTCTACTCTCTGTTACCAGGCTTGCATGCCAATAGGCCCAAATCTTCCCAGATCCTCCAGAACCCACTGGTAAACTTTGGAGGATTTGGCAGGATTGAGGGGAGTGGAACCCACAACACATGGGGCTGAAGCGCCTCGAAAAGTAGAAAACAAAAACGTGTCAGTTGAGTTCCTACATGTAAACTGTGGAGGAGTCAGGAGGTGTCCAAGCCGAAATGCCTTGGGAGTTGGGGCCAATACTTTTAAGACAAAATTCAACTCGACATAACAAGTGCCTGTTTTGTGTTAATCTCAAGGTTGACATGACATACAGTCACCAAAACAAACATGCATTCACTGGCATTTTAAAAAGCTGTACTGAATGAGCATCTGTGTGCTACCCATGCTTCAACTATAGACTAATCCAAGCACGTATATCATTGTACAATCATGGACGCCCCCTTCAATGGCAAAAGCATTGTGCTAGCCAATGTTGCTCAAACTCCCCGGATTGTCTAAATAATATTTGACACAGTGCTTACCCCGTTGAAGGGGCTTCTGTGATTGGACAGTGATCGCAAGCTTGGATTGGCCTACATACCAACTTTGACATTTTTTTCAGATCTTACTTTTGTAGCGTGAATCAGTGTGTTTCTGTTATTCAGTGTTGTAACCAAGTCAATTTTTCCCGAGTCACGTCCAGTCGCATGTCAGGGTTTTTTTCACGTCAGTCACAAGTGTCAAGTCCGTCTGAACATGCCAAGTCATAATTCACATAACAGATGTACCCTTTCTCTGACGTCCTTTATTGACGATGCAAGTCTTAAGTTTGCAATACATGAATGCAAGTTAGGAATTGTGCCTAATTGACGCCTAGCTCACTTTATGTCCATCAGGTTCTTGGCTTTCTTTTACCGAAGTTTGCATATGCCCGAAAAGTTGTGTTTATTTCAACAAAAGTGTTTATGTCAACAAGTCAAATTTAGTCAAGTCGAGTCGCAAGTCATTTTATTTTTAGGTCAAGTCAGGTCACATATCATTATTTACCAAGTCAATTCAAGTCTCAAGTAAAAAAAAAAAAAAAGCCATTTGAGTCGTACTCGATTCCGAGTCAGCGACTCGAGTCAGCAAAGGTATTTTATCACAACTGTATCTGCCTATGCTGTTGTTAGCTGTCGGTGGAGTACAGCAGAGTTATAATCAAGTCAGTCACAAGTTAATCGCATGTTGATCACAAGTCAAACCATCAGTCAAATCACAAGTCAAACCACAAGCCAAAACATGAGTCAAATCACATGCTAAACCATGATTCAAATCACAAGCCAAACCATGATTCAAATCACAAGCCAAACCATGATTCAAATCACAAGCCAAAGCATGATTCAAATCACAAGCCAAAGCACGATTCAAATCACAAGCCAAAGCATGATTCAAATCACAACCCAAACCATGATTCAAATCACAAGCCAAAGCATGATTCAAATCACAAGCCAAAGCACGATTCAAATCACAAGCCAAAGCATGATTCAAATTACAAGCTGAACCATGAGTCAAATCACAAGCCAAACCTGAGTCAAATCACAAGCCAAACCATAATTCAAATCATTAGTCACATTACAAGTAACTTGTGATAACTTGTTGATGACTTAATGACAACACTTGGAGTAAAGGTTACCTCCAACAATTTACTCTCTTCAATGGTGTCTGTCATTCTCTGCAGAGAGGAGGGGCCAAATGAGTTCCACGATGCCTGCGAAGAGTTTCCGCCAGGCGAGGGCGACAACGGCGATGTGAAGACGTGCCCCGAATGCGAAATGCACTTCCCGCCCACCTTCTCCGAGGACAACTTTGCAAGGCATGTTCAGCTGCACTTTGCCCGGATCTGCCCCATGTGCAACATGATGATGCCCTGCGAGACGCCTGACGCCGAGTACGAGCGTCACGTGCAGACACATTTCGGGGAGGACTAAATTCCCCGCGTGACCTGTGACCCAAGCACAGAAACAGTAAGAAAATGAGAAGGTTTCAGATCAACCTAAATTTAAAGATGTTCTGTCTGTACTTCAGTATATATTTTCCAACATTTGAAAAAAATTTAACTTCAAAAAAAAATAAGTCTATTTTGGGCATCTGCAGCCATCTGAAAGTGATTATTTCATGAAACATGGTTATTTTTTTCATTTGATGTCAAAGTGAGTAAATTCTGTATTCAAACCAAAAAAACAATTAAAACACAAATCTATTGAGGGTTGAAACTCGAAAATAGCATTGACAGTACATCTTTAAAGGCTGAAACAGGTATTCTTTTGTCTACATTTGTGGACATTTACTGTTATAACCCCAAATTAGCTAAATTGAACACAGCCTAATTCATCCTCAAACCCTCCAATTGAAGAATAGAATGACCCCTGACCTTGCCCTGTTGAGTGGAAGGTAAGAATAGTAAACTGCATTGTGTGTCATGTTTGCTGTTGATGATTTTGCTGATAAGAATGTAGTGTCTAGATGCTTGTAGCATGACATAAACCAAATTCATTGGCAGCGGTCACAAACAAGAGACAGAGTCTAAAGTAACTGATTGATATAAATGATTTTTTTAACATTTAACGGAACAACTGTCCTTAAAAACAAATAATATGATACAAATTTATGTTTTGTTCTAGCATTTCTTGAATTGATCATCCTTTTTTCAAAACTCTTTTCTCAAGCATTTTTCAGGACATTCATTTCTATCATTTCATTTTGCACATAAATTTATCGGAGTATGAAAACTCATAATTTAATTAACTCGCATTAATATTAATCATGAAATGAATGTATCACGTAATTACATTAAAATGAAGGTATCTAGAACTATTTTTGTTTTTCACTTTTGGTCTTTGGTATAACAATTCACGTACACAGTATTCTTCACTAAAGCCGGAGTGTCCAATCAAAGTTGGCTACCCCAATGGTTGAAGTAATGTAGCCTTAATAACCTTTGCTCATACTGTACATAATGCCCTATCCCAAGAGTGCCGGTGAAGGCTAATCTCTGACACAAAATCTGGTATTAAAGGAAACATAAACTTGGCAAATCATTGTGGCGCAGTTACTACTGTGATCAGTGTGCGTTACATTCTGTGTGCAAATTGTTGGCCCCCCGGTTCACTGTTTAAACAAACCTTATCCAACGACAAGACACCAGCACCCTTGGGTAGGGCAGTGGGTCCGACAAAATATTTAGCAGAAAGTATTATATAAGTAGTTCCGTCATTAGGTTCTACACTGTATTACATTGTATTACATTGTATTTACATGTATTCTTTGATGAATCCATAAAACTGCAAAGTGTTTGGGCGATTTTTGGCAGTGCAGGGAGTAACAGGTAGGGCGGTTTAGGGCGGTACAGGGACAAATATGTCAACCTACTGAGACCAGTGAGGTGGTGAGAGGCCGATTCAATTTCTTTGCGAAGTCATCACGATTAATGCAAGTGGTATTACTAGATATCCATTATATGTAAATATCATATAGAATGAGTACTGACTTTTGGGAGCATGCTGTGTCAACCATTCCAATACAGTGTAAATTCAAATATGATACAGTGTAAAAGTACAATTGTATATTGAATTGCTTACAGTTACGTATTACAATATCAGATAATTCAGATTCCATCATGTGGTTATGTAGTAAAGATATGAAATGTACATGTACACCATTAATGTGAATGGGATTGCAAGCAGCATACATACAAATATTAATTAGATTTGTAACAGCATATAATAAAAAAGTGGCATATAAAAATATCAAATATATAGATTTCAGCATAAGCAGTATATAAACAAGAAGCAACATATACAGAAAATATGGATATTACCAACCGTGATAAGTGATAAGATTGGCTTACAAACGTTAGGCTTACAGAATAGGTCTCGAAATTAAAGCAAAAAAAAGATCATTGTGTATTAGGATATAGAAGCATCGAACTAGCAAAGTTCTGTAAACGAAGAAAATGTTGCGCTTTGCTACAATATGTACATACACAATTAGACAAGTTTGTGAAAATGCGTGCAAAATATACATGTAGCTTGCATGACAGAAATGAATGTATTGTTTGCATTGAGATGAAACTTGAAAAACTATGTAACAAATTGCAAGTTCAAATCAGATTGTTAAGCTGTTTGAACTTTTTCAGTGTAAATACCAATTCAAAAAAGTGTACACTTTTGACCATGCAATTATCCTAGGTCTGAACTCATTTAAAAAAAAAGTGAAACATGGACATGTTATTGTTAGCAGAGTAATATTTTTAAAAAACCTGAGAAATAAGCTACATAACCAGTTGAAATCAGGAAATATGGTTTGATTGAACCAGATTTTTGTCTAAATACAGATTCAGTGCTCAAGAAAATGCAAATAACTGAAGACACACAAATAGTTGAGAAAAAAATTGCTATGATTTCAACACTTTAAATGAATTTCTTAATAAAGGCAAAACTACATTTCTTTCCACAGAAGATCAGAGCACTTGTATTGTGTGTGTATATTCACTTATTTCATATAACGCTGCCACCCGAAAAAAAAAAACTACTGAGCTGTCATAAGCGTCATGTAAGTAAAGGTCATTATGTTAGTATTTGGACAATTTGAGATATCGTCAGATCAAAGTACAGACCGATTGTATGTAAAATACCACACTATCGAGTCAGTCAGTTTCAGGCAAATGCTTAAAGGGGCAGTTTGTACTCCTCTAAAGGTTATCATGTAATACCAGGTATATGACTCACATGTATATTTTATTAAGATACATTGGCATGTTTCTTTAGAATAGGCTGGGCTTATTTTTAGCTTTTCAAGGGATGGGTGCGTGGTAGGCACTGCACATGCATTAAAGATTGCATTATGGGTTTTTTTTTAGTATTGTCTGGAAATTTGAACAATTGATAAGAAAACCTTGTTACTGGGAAACAGTTGACGCTTTTCTTAAAAATTAAAGCATGTTTTTTCAGGTGTGGGTGTCGATACATATTTGAAGTGACCGTTGTGTGTAGGTGGTCGTTTGTGTAAATAGAAATAGTGTTGATTTTAAACAAGTTATTTTTAAATGGTCTCGTTGATTCGTTGAAGAATCTGTGCACGAAGAATAACTGGAGTTGGTCAAAAGTTAGAAAATTTGCATTGTGGTTGCGGTATACCTTATTAACTTGAGTCAGTAAAACATCACAATCTGATAGACTTCTAAGAATTCATAAAAGAGATCTTTTTTTTAATTCTTATTTATCCTTTGAATTTATTTTTTTTTAAATCGTGCAAAAAGATGTTACCCCTAACAAAAGCAGTATCATTAAGCGCCATGTATATAAAGCTCTGTGTAATTCAAGAAGTGTCAATAATGTATGCCTATACATGTAGTTTAGTGAGAGTTTAATGACAAGCTTTTAATTAATTAAATGGGATCAAAGATATTCACATGACATTAATCCATTGTATGGTGATGTTTGAAAGATATACTTTTGCATGATGTAGTGAACATAAATGTTATTTCTTTACATAGGGAAGTTGTGAAACCTATTATTTGTGTTACATGTTTGCATTGCTAGAATGAAGCAGGAAGTCATTTTAAGTATGCTCTTTCTCTGGGGATATTTTGGCTCATTGCAGATATCATTTCAAGAGAAGTTCGTCTCCAATTAATAACATATCTGTTCATCTTATCTTCTTCTTCTTCCTTCTTAGTGCTGCCTTCATATAGTTGAAGATAAACGCACTGCATTGGGCGCATGCATTGTCTAAAGACAACAGGAATTCGTACTCATCTAGAGTTTGTCCAAAAAGATTTAAAACACATTAATGTATGCAGTCGAAAATGAAAGTACGCAGAAATTAGAGCACTGTGTTATTTCACATTTTGCCCCGGTAAAACTTTCTTAAATCACATAAACTACTAATATAATATAATATATGTGAAATGTTAGTAATACTGTTGATAATTAAAAGGAACTAGTTCTGATTATATGACTGTACACAGAGAAACTGCACAAGAAAGGAGCTGTATGTCGGACTGGAAATGCGTGCATTGTGTTATAAAGTGACATTATTAATACACAACTGAAGTATGCTTTTAGCGCAGTTTTAAATGAATGTAAGTCGTTTGGCAAAAACATAATACGCATTACAGAAGAAATTTCTTCAAATTAATATCTGTCTTCATTTGATTTAAAATTATTTAAGTTTCTTTAGCATAAGCAGGTAAGGAAACTCGACATTTTAACTATAGAAGATTTTGGGTGATGCTCATCCATGTGCAGCTTAATTAACGAAAGTTGTGATTTGAAACGGAAAGTTTTATGGGTGGGAATTCGCGCATTATGGTCGCCATAACGTTCGATTTGTGCCTTTATTTTGCAAACGCTGCAGTGATGTTTGTCGAGAGAGAGATACAAAATAAAGATGTATGCGGAAGCTGTAAGCAGTAGACTTTGAACAGTCCCTCATTTTGTTAACTCTGTTCTGTCGTGTTTGTGACTCTCTTTTTTCCCAATTAAAGAGACTTCAGAAATTACTTGAAGCAGTAGAAGTTTGTAGTTGTAGACATGCGATGGGACAGACCGGTTCAGTGTGGTCTCAGTGCACTGCACGCACCAGTACAGTATGTGGTATAATCCGGAACATTCCATTTTCACAGAAATGTAGCATCCGTGTGGGTTGTTAACCTTATACACGTCAGCAGTACAAATACATTTCATGACACGTTGTTTTCACAAAAATTGAAACCGCACTGAACATTGAGATAAGAACCACAGTTAAATGATACGTCTTTAGACAACAGACTAGCGGACGTGACACGCGTGCACACTTATTTAATTACTGAGAGCCAAGATACAAAGGGCCCATGTTTGACTAACCATGGAGCTATAGCTCCATGGACATGCATGAAACTCAGTGACCTCACAATCATCGATAAAAGATAATTCATTTTTTTCTGTGTGGGACGTCTGCCAGCCTATACGTGATGTTTTGGAAGTTTCCTATACATGTATTATGAATAGGCAGCTCGCATTGACACCGTTTCATATCGTCATATACATTGAACCTAAACCCCCGTTTTCATATATGAATGCCCTTTGGTGTGCGTATGTAATCGTGCAATATTCAATTGATGTGGCACCATCAGAATAAATTGTGAAATTGAACTGCAAATTCTTTCGCACTAGTTAAATTATATGAAAATAATGATAAATCCTGAATTAGTTATACGAATATGGGCCAGTATCACTGATTGGTAGATTGATGCGAATGACGTATAAATACGGTTCGTTCCGTTCTATCGTTTTACCCCGCCCTCAAAATAACATCCTAAATAATACTTCATTCTGTTTCTATGATCAAAGTTAAGGTTTTCGTTCAACCTTTTACCCACTCCACCCTAGCCCTATCCCACCCACCTCGCCTCTTTTCGGGGTAATTTCTAATCAGAAAAGTTTTGAGATTTCCTGCCCTCAAGAATTATACACCACTGTCCTGACCTATGACCAAGTTGACCAATCGGAAGTGATCTCTATCATGACTAATTGTTTAACATTGATTATTATCGCGATCTCTGGGAAAAAGGGAATTCATAGACAATGATATATGCCTTACAACGTAATGCTGTCAACACATATGGCATGTGGTTTTGAGTTCATAATGTCAACACCTGGGCTACGTCTCGAACTGGCACTATACTAACAAAGTCAAGTTGACTTCTGGAATTGGACCAATCAGATAGCTCTACTTCGATGACATTTCCCGAAATGAGCCAATTGTATCCAAGTTTTCAACAACGCAGACAGTGATTAATTGGTCTATTTTGAGGAAAACTGGAAAAAACCTAACTTCCGTCGGTTGTCTGAAACAACTGCTTTCTTTGTTTAGACTCTCCAAACCGCCGCTCCTGTTTACAGTGCCATCGAAAATTGACCCATTTCTGAGGTACAAGGTTCGGCAAACGAGACCCCACAAGTTATACAAATAGCGTGAGATCACTGCTCAGACATCATAGTTGTGTCGGTAGTTTTCGGCGATCACACCGTTTATCCCACTCTAAGTTCTTCTAAATCATCAATTCATTTCGGAAAGGCTTGACAACTTCATCGATTTTAGTCGCACCAACGCACTGACGCATCTGCAGCATGCGGGTATGTGTGGTAGTTGCATTGGCGGTCGCTTGTATTGCGATCTCCGCTAGCAAAGTTGCAGCAGTCAGCATTAAAACGGATGGTAAGTTTTAAGTTTACATGTCTTTGACAAAATGGCAAAATAAATACCGAAGGTACATCTGTTTCGTGTTTTCCTTGTACCCATGTTTTGTGTGTCCCCGTACTTGTTTGTTTCCATTTCTCCTGTCATTTAGACTTTGAGGTTGATACGGCTCAAACCGTTTTTATTTATGTTTTAAAACAAATTAATGACACATTTTGTTTTTACGTCACCTTAAAAACAAAAAAAAATGTTGGTCAAAATTACTAAAGGACCCACACTTTTTTTTCTAAAAGTTGGTAAAATGTTACTCGTATTAAAAAGCAATTACTAAGGGAATAAATGTGTGCTCCGGAGGTTTTTATCACTCTGTTTAATACCACTTAGAGTCTGGGTGCTGATAATTACCCGAGCCGGAGGCGAGGGTAATTATCAGCACCCAGACTCTAAGTGGTATTAAACAGAGTGATAAATACCGACGGAGTACATATTTATTCCCATTCATAAATACCTTTTCGGTAAAAAAAAATCATATAATTCGTTCAAAACATCCCGATTTTGTTCAACAAATTCACTTTATGCTTTTTAAATCATCCCTCCTGCAAAATAATGGAGTGTTCAGCTGGCGAGTAAGATGAAAACAACCCTTTTATGGAGATTGACGCGCGCGTATCGTGTTCTATGCGATGTCGCGCAGAACGCACCTGGCGCGTTGCATTTTGAATTTAGAACTATAAAATTCTAACTCCCTGGTAGTGTTGCGCATGCCTACGTGAGGATTGTGAACGTTCAACCAATGAAACGATAAGAGGCACTGGATTTTTAGGAGTCCACATTTTATTGTGACACTGGAAAAGTGTTTAAGACCAGCTAGCCATGTCTTTATCATCCGTTTAATACCGGCCACGTGACGGGCTCTCGACCAATAGGAATGGCTAAACTGTCTGAGGTATTTATGAATATAAGTTAATCCCTACTGAATTTTTTTGGGCAGGATACCGTAACAATTCCCAATTGTTTACCGCTTTTTTTAAAGAATGCTTCTTGTGCCATTTAGTGCCAATTTTATACATCGCTATATGTTCAGAAAATTTCCTAAAATGTATGTAGAATAAATACTATAAATAATAGCAATCGCTATGCACTCAGTGCAACCTTTCTCAAAAGCTCTATAAACCGTATTATTGAATTAAACCATGATCGGCGGCCACTATGGGCATTTTTCAGTTCTGTCCGGTTCTGGCCGAAGATAGTCCGTCATAGTCACCGAATGCATAATGTAAGGTGAATCTTATTTGGAGAAAAAGCGACATATTGAAAAGAAACATTCTTGGGATGTTCAATACCTCCCACTGGATATGGCATACATCCCGTGAAATTATTTAAAATGGAAATAATGAGTGCAACGGACAAAATCGTGTTTCGTGATCAGAGTTGTTTACATGCATCGTTTTCACGGTTTTCTCGAAAAGTGTAATATTGAGCTGAAATTTCAACATGATAATTGTAGGTTTTGAACATTCTTCTTTAGATTTTAAGTGCTGTTATTATTGGAAACGAACAAAATGCATGAAAAGTAAATGATGTTATAAGTATATTCCTTTAAACTTCATTTCAAGCCGTCTTCAATTATTCATGTTTTCATAAAATCCCTTTGAACTGGAAGTTTGGCGTTGTCCTGTAAATCGTGGGTGATGAGGTGCAACACTGTTTCCTTGAACGTTGTTCCAGTTCAGTCATGAAAATCACTGTTAAAATGGCAGAAACGATGAACCTCGAATGAAGTTATCAGTTGAAGCATATTTATCATTGACCAAAGGCAATGAAAGGATTACATTTTCTTCGAATTATACACGAACGTTTATTTGTATGTAATTGATCGACATGGAACGTCCGACACAGCACTTGTGGGATGACTGACATCAACAACTGTTGATGATATCAGCATTAATTTTGTGCCACAATCAAGGGCGTAAATCCGGGGGGATGGGGAGGATGTATCCCCCACACTTTTTGACTGGGGGGGGGGAATTGGATCACCCCCCCCCCCCCATACTGGACGACAGACTTTTTTTACAACACGGAGGGAGGCATATTGGCAACGAGGGGGTGAATTGTCCACAACTCTTTGCTGAAATTGCTTTAAAGGACTCTTCGTCCTGCTTTATATTCATGAATATTAGTTTGAATAATTATTGTTCTCAAAAGCCAGCCAGACAACCAAATTATGGAAAGAAAAAAAGGGGGTTGATCGCTGTATACAAAGTTAGTTGCAGTCTCGGCGAATCATATGGTAGACATCATCTATTAAACGTTTTGAAGCGCACAGTTATTTCTGGTGCCGCACATATGGCTACCTAGAAAAATAGAAACAGTGTCAGTAATTCGGTAGACTTCAAAATGGAGTTTGGCGAGTCTCTAACGTCCTTGGAGTTTATGCAACACGATGCTAATCACCTAAAAAAATATATGCTATTTTTTTTCATTGCATGAGTATAATACAATTCTGCTTTGAGCTAACCAAAGAATGGTTCGTGATATGAATAAACCTAGTGAGGTACGATAGCAATCAGTTATGGCGAAATGAACAGGGGGCTATATTCAGTTCAAAAGTTACAGATAAAAGTATTTTGTCACCTTTTGACCGTAAATCGCTTGTAATTTAATATATGATGACGTCATGATGTTTTCCCACATATTTGACCAAATTATGAAACGAAAAGGGGGGTGATTACTCTACAGGGTGGTGCAAAAAGAAGGAAACCCACTTTTGACAGGAATTTTAACCCACTTACTTAACTTATTTGAACCGAGTTTTTTTTATAATGTAGTGAAGTATAGCTTTTCAACCATACGTGGTGAAAAAAAATCTTTAAAAAATCGCAAGAATAGTGTTATCATGCTAATTAAAAGGCAAGTCGCCAATATCACTGTTGTCCACGTGTAAGTCTAGTGTAGTGTTTTTCGTCTTCAAATCGAACTCCAGAGCCCAGTCAAGCGGATGGAATAAAGCTGTCCGTGAAAAAAAAACATGGCACATGAAATTTTGAAACTACCATATCTCAGAGACAAAATATGCGTTGGCAATCATTTTTTCGTCACTTATGTTTAAAGATCAATATTTTAATATCATTAAATTGAATTTTTGAAATATGCTCAACAAGTAAGTGAAAATTGCTGTCAAAAGTGGGTTTCCTTCTTTTTGCACCCCCCCCCCCCCCCCCCCAGTATTTGAAGTTTGTTGCTGACTCGGCAAGTAGGCCCATGCATGGAAGACATGATCTAACATTTTGAAGCGCATTAATGGTGCTGCACATTTATGGCTACTCAAAAATAGAAACCATCGGTAGACTTCATGGAGTTTGACTGAGCCTCTTACGTCCTTGGAGTTTATGCGACGTATGTTTATCATCTAAAAATAAATGTTTTTATTTCTTTTTTGTTTTTGCATGGGCATAATAAAATTCTGCTCTGATCTAATGAAAGAATTGTTCGTGGCTACACTGTACAAAATATACTCGGCCTAGATATAAACTGGTGACGATACTAGCAATCAGTTTGGCGAAATGCTGAACAAGGTATATCGAAATTCAGGTCAAACGTTAAAGATGAAAGTATTTTGTCAATATTTTGGACCGTCGCTTGTAATTTAATATATGATGACGTCATGATGAAGCACAACCCTTTTTACGGCATCTTTGACAAGGATTCATGTTTGTAGAAAGTTTCATCTTCATCCCTTGAACCCATTTTGAAGTAATTCCGTTTGTTTCAATGTTAACGTTTCATATATAGGTCATGTGACTTTTAGGCTATACCATCAAGGCATGGTCTGTCATAATCACAAAGTGTGCTTATTTCTTCATTTCGTACATGAGTTATAATTAAAACAAATCAGTCACTTTCTGAACTAAAATTGCTCGTAATTGATACCCGATGACGTCATCATGACGTCAGTAATGTGAACACCGTGGGACCGTGGTTGATATTGGTTCAAAGTTTCAATTTCATGTGTTCCCCCAATAAATTTCTCCCGAGCCGATTATTAACAAAAAAAATTAAATAATTACTTTACTTTTTTAGTAAATAACATTCTTTCCAATCTATCTGGTTGGTTCAGAACGCGCGAAAAAGTTGAATAATACAGGTTGAGTAAAAAAAACCCGAAACCCAAATGTCGGGACTATTGTTTTAGTGAAGTTCTACATGTGCTACATGTAGAACTTCACTAAAACAATAGTCCCGACATTTGGGTTCTTTTTTTTTTACTACTGCGAGAAGGGGTTGGCGCTATAAACATTTTATATTATGGATCATATCACTGTGAACCTCGTTTTCTGGAGAGGCACTCAAACAATTAGAAAAAACAAACTCTTGTCTCCCCCCCCCCCCCTCTCTTGATGTGAACTTGTGGGTTTTTTTATCGCGGGACATAACAGTCATCTCCGAAGACGTGGAACTAAGGTGACTGATGATGAAGTGTCAATTTGGAGCATTTATAATAATTACATTGTTAGGTTGCCATGCCCATAACATGACCCATTTGCCTTTTCATTCATTCTTCAGGTGACTCTGAGCCTGGTCCTCCGTTACGGACCTGCAGGTGGTATCAAGCCCTGTGCCGATTCATGAACCCGTGCTGGTACCAGAGAGAATGTCATGGATACCCTGATGCTGTCTGCAAGTAAGATTGCAAAACACCCCCAGCTGAACTGAATCACTAAGCATGTCTGAGATGTCAATTAATCGATCCATCAATCCGCCAATCAACAAATAATCAAATGATCAATTGATAAATCCATCAATTAAAATTACAATAAATGGATCGATCAATTAATCTTTCAATTAATCATTCGATAAATCCATCAATCAATCCATGATTAATGCATGTTTCGGCAGACGAAATATCAAGATCGCATTGTATGGTTAGTACATGCTATAATTCCTCGGCCTTACGGTCATGCAGTTTGCTTTGGGTTTTGATGGGGTTTGGGGGTTGTTTTTTTAGTTTCGAAAAAGGTACGAACTACAAAAATTCGGTTCAATTTTTTTTTGTTTATCAGACTAGATTTGTGTGAATGTCAAGCGGAATTCTACGTCGGTGAGGAGAAAATCGACTGCCGGGAACCTGGCCTTGGTATGTTTGTTTTTACTTTTTCCCCCGACCTTTATTTTGCTGGGTGAAGGCCTAATTGTTTGCAGGATAAGTACATTTATTCACTAAAAAGGAATGACGATATAATCGTGTGTCATTACTGGTTCCTGTGTTACCCGTCGTGAAAATGTTCTGCTTTCTCTGGCTTTTTCCATCTGAGCGGCTCATTTAGTTCTGTTTCGCTCGTCCCCCCGCCCCCCCTTCACTAGTCTGGCGCCCTCAATTGACCTCACTCAACCAGCCCCAGCAAAATAACTATTCGCTGCGTCGTAAAAATGACCTTAAAATCAATAATAAGCGTGAGGTAGGCCCGTTTTATATCCTTTTCTGATATTGATCATGAGATTATCGATTAGGGTTTTTAGAGAGCTTTTACGTGATTTTGTTTTGCAAATTATTAATTAATATTGATTAATTACTGTAGACAGCATGTTTGTTGATGATGTGTAGGCCTACTCCTAGAACTATGAGGCTCCGCGTGAGCGGAGCCTCATAGATGTAGAAGCCCGCAAAATTGTCTGCAGCACAAAACACTAATAAAGTACAAAAACGTCCATCAAAATGCAGACATTTCACACAGAACCGCTGCACAGTTTGCCCCTATACTCCGTACTTTACCTCTTGACATACTCACGTATCTTGGGCACAACTAACATAGGTGGATTCTGTCGGTTTTTAGGCCAAAATGATGAAAAATATGCCCTTTCCGCACTGAGCCAACCGAACACTTGAAACGTGCACGCATATGATCGAGCGATGATTTTCGGTTCGCTCGGAGCGCGCCGCGGGGGGTACGGTACATGCACTTGTACGCATGCTAATACTATCATTTCGCCTGTACCGTCATGACCGTACCCCCCGCGGCGCGCTCCGAGCGAACCGAAAATCATCGCTCGATCATATGCGTGCACGTTTCAAGTGTTCGGTTGGCTCAGTGCGGAAAGGGCATATTTTTCATCATTTTGGCCTAAAAACCGACAGAATCCACCTATGTTAGTTGTGCCCAAGATACGTGAGTATGTCAAGAGGTAAAGTACGGAGTATAGGGGCAAACTGTGCAGCGGTTCTGTGTGAAATGTCTGCATTTTGATGGACGTTTTTGTACTTTATTAGTGTTTTGTGCTGCAGACAATTTTGCGGGCTTCTACATCTATGAGGCTCCGCTCACGCGGAGCCTCATAGTTCTAGGAGTAGTGTAGGCCTACCCGCGCGCGGCTACAGTCAACCATGGAGAAATAAAACACAAAGTCAAGTGTCAAGATATAGGCCTACAGCGGTCCTACGAATTACGAATATTTGTGGGGAAAAGTGGATTTTGAGGAAATTGAAATTGGGACTGTTTGTTTCACTTGATATCGGATATTCACCATGGAAGATACCTGGTTAACCCGGCCTAGCTGCAGAGAAAAATCAAAAGTCAAGTGTACATGTCCTGACTCCTGTGACCCAGACCAGAGAAAATTGCTCAATGCTGCAATCTTTAAATGACAAACTCACTGCAAATTTTGCCTGAAAATTACAGGGTATAAACTAAACACCTGCAGAAACCAGGTAAGTATCTTCCATGGTGAATATTAAGTGAAAAGATAGTCCCAAGTCCCTTTTTCCCTCAAATAGTGTATGACCGATGTGCGGCTCACAGTCACAACACAAAGAAGGTAGGCCTAGAGGAGTTTCATTGAGCATGTTAAGCCACATTTATGGGGCTAGACTTCTAAGTTCTAGGCCGTAGCCCAACCATAGAGCAAGGAAACCTTGCTCTGTGGCCCAACGTAGTACCATGGAGGAATAAAAATACATTTATACAGAAAGGAATGTTGCATCTTGACGCCACTTTTTTCATAAGATATTTATCTCAGTGAAGGTCAGTCATTGCAAAAATGTTGAAAAGACATGAATCTGGGACTGAGCACTTCAGAGAAGCATTTCCAGTTGTGTTACTGTTAGGAAATTCTTTGAAATGTTCTTGACTCTCCAAAGACTTTGTACACAACGGCTGAAGTGGCGTCTGGATACCACATTCTTTTCCATAATATACAAGAACATATATTTTTATTCCTCCATGGTACTTCTAAGGTACAGCAATGCACTTTAACGTTAGTGTTACGGTTGGTGTAGTTAGAATGTATATTAAAACAGTATTGTTCCAGATGTTGCAACTTAATTTCAAAGGGCAGAGTGACAAAAAAATGATTACATTTACAACTCAAGTTATCAGTTGATAATCATGCGAACTTGAGTTGCCATTTTTTTCACAATGTTTAAGTTGTGACGTGGCTGTGCATTGTAAAATTGGGCAAGACCCCCACCCCTTGGTTTCCCCATGCATGTCCACCCCCTCCTCCACTGCCAAACCCCGCCCTACCCCTGTCCCCCCCCCCCCCCCCCCCCCCCCCATCTCCCAGCCATATTCCTGTTCTCCAGGACAATATTGATTAACTTTATGTTGACATGCATTTTTTAACGAGAGTTGAACTCAAAGGTGAAATCACATCTGTGGGGGTGGTTAGTCCGATGAACGTAAACTGAACAATGATGCCTAGCAGTGTCTGGTCAACATGCTGAAGTTTTTGAGACAAAATCACTATCTGACTTCACACAAAGCTTGTTAGAACACAAAATGCAGTCATTTACAAGTTTACAAATTTTGCATTTTATTCTCCCTGCAATATTGATGGTTGTTAAGAGTAGCCTGTCTGGTGTATCTGGCATACATGGACCAGGTTATATGTTTAGTGAGTGTAGACTAGGTTTGTATTAAAAGCTAGAAAGCTCTTAATGCCGAATTTGCCTACACATACGTGACATTTTTCTTTAATATTGTGAACAAGTTACGTGTACATTGCCTCATGTGACATATAGCTCTATAGTATTAGTCATGCTGCATTTGCAGAAATGCCTGAATTATGAAAAATCATCCATTGTTTTCTTTGAATGTCCACAAAATAAATGGTCCAATTGAAACCGACAAGAACACTGAAGTGTAACTGATTGATTTATATTTTCTTGTTTTCCAATGCAGAGGAAGCTCCATCTGAAGAACCGGAAGTACCAGATGTCATCCCAGGTGAAGGTAAGTTGAGATGATTGTAACCTTCCCCTATTAATGTGTTTGACATGAAAGTATAGTGCAGATCCCTAACTAGGTGTACACTGACTTTTCGTCATGAATGCATTGCAGTGTTGCCAAGCTTCAAATTCATTCAGTTAATAAATACTGGTACTATTTACCTCGGACAAAGGGCCCATGCAGTGTAATTGTTTTAATGCAGTGCTTGAAAATGTTCACTTTATGTCCCATTTAACCGTATTTTCAATTTTCATTTTGCCACTTTCAAGGGTATTTTGGTGCCTTCTTTGTTTTTATACTAATGAAAATTTCCATATAACGGTAGTCATTCATCATGAAATCTGATATCGCAGCTTTCTCATAATGGGATTACATCTCACATTACAACTGTAGGTATTAAACAGCGAAACTGTTTAGCTCAATGTTTTTTCGTTAAGTGGTAAATTCTTCCACCTTGGAAAAACCACTGATTGTTATATATCAGTAATGAGAATGTTTGATTTCCACGTGTCCAGGTTGCGAGCCGGTGGTTTGCCGCCTGATTTGTCTAGATGGCTACGTCAAAGACAGCAATGGCTGTGATATATGCGAATGCATTGAACATGGTGAGTGCATAACAAGATTGCAAATAAGGGTCTTCATTATTCACAGAAAACAAAATCCCAAAACACGCATCTAAATCTTATGACAGATGTCCCACTTTATGTCACTTACTGCAAAATGTCTTCTGCTGAAATGGTCTTCGGACTGATTCATGGGCCCGATAAGCAGGGGTAATAATACTGTACAGCCTTGATTCTAATGGATATGTGCTGTCTATAAATGTGCATTGTTATTGTTAAATCCTAACAGGCGACAGGCCGGGCGTTTGTCCAGCTTTCCGGCCAGGCTTTGGTGCTACCTGCGGCATTGAGTGCTCCAGTGATGCTGGTTGTGACGAGGGTAAAAAATGCTGCTCCAATGGCTGCGGTCGCGTCTGTGTCACAGGTAGGTTTATTTCCAATTATTTTCCCATCAATTAAACACCCCAAACCCCTGAAAAGCACTACTAAAGCAAAAAGTATAAAAAATAAACGAAATAAAAAGCAACAGGAAACCACCTGAAAAGCAATAGAAACTACTATAAAAAAAATTTAAAAATAAGAAACCTTTAAAAGAATTTCGCAAACCACCAAAAAACTCTCCAAGGTAAGCGGCTTGTAACACTCTCTAAACGCAGCAAAGTACCCCACAATAGTCATCAAAGTGAGAAATGAATGTCGGTTTAATTTTTCTAATGCAGCTTGTTCTGGGATTACCTGCCGAATTAACTGCGCGCCTTTTGGTGGATTCGCACTTGACGCCAACGGCTGTGAAATCTGCCGCTGCATGAATAGAGGTAAGATAAGAACCCGCCGACACTAAAGAGGTTGTGGAATGCTCGAAGACATTTCCGTCATTTTTTGGGTATACGTAGCCTAAGGTGTGATGAAATAAAAACGACTATTGTTTCTGTCATGAAATGAGTACAAAGGTTACTTTTGAGAGCTATCTTTCAGGTCCTGTTTCGACCCGAACGTGCAATTTGTGTAAAAGTCGTCGTTGCGGGCAGCAAACAAAACACAGTAAATCGCGACGTAATAAACAGGACTCGTTTATGCTACTCTGCATCGGGAGTCCTGTTTATTACGTCACGTTTTACTGTGTTTTGTTTGCTGCCCGCAACGACGACTTTTACACAAATTGCACGTTCGGGTCAAAACAGGCATGACAGGACTTGAAAAACAGCTCTCAAAAGTACCTTTTGTATTCATTTGATGACAGAAACAATAGTCATTTTTATTTCATCACACCTTAGGCTACATATACCCAAAAAATGACGGAAATGTCTTCGAGCATTCCACAACCTCTTTAAACCAATGGCCAGTCTTTGAACCAGTTCATTTGCTGTTCTTATTGGATAAAAATTGGCCAAAAAAACAAACAAATTTCTAAAAGTTGGGGAGAAAAGGAGCTTATCATTGGCATGCACACCTCCCTGCCCCGCATATTTGTTTATTTCCAATTTGACCGAGGACTGAATTGTCAAACACTAGCCAGTCCAACTAAATGCGATAGGCATTAATGCAATCTTGAAATATTGATTTTATTTTAAAAATCCACACTGATAAGTGAGAATTGGAAAAACAGCTCTTAATCTCTACATTAGATTATAAAAAAAATATATATTTAGCTGATTGAACTTGTAATTAAGTTTTTGTAACTATTTCATGAAAAATTTTCCTTTTGGGTCTAAGACTTAAAATTCCTTTTGGCATAATCACACAAAAACAATGAATCTCAACACATCTTTTGCACTTCCTCCAAGTGACTATCACAGAAATTCACAGAATTTTTGTTTTTTTTACGACAAGGATTGCAACAAGTTTGCCCCGCCATCAATGCGGATAGTGCAGGTATTTGCGTCGACAACTGCGAAACTGACAATGACTGTACTAACGAGGGAGAAAAATGCTGCAGCAACGGATGCGGCCACACATGTGTGAGAGGTACAGGATAAGTTTAAATGACTCATTTGCTCTATCTGCCCTTTCAAATAAAAATAACCGATATATTAATTACACTTCACCTTTAGATTCTGTGTCTTGATTGTAGTCAAACTAGCCTCCCCCTGTAATCCGTGGACTGTTCCATTTCAGTGTTTTGAGTTCTCATTGTCATTGTGGGGCGCTGTGGTCCAGTGGTTACGGTGTTCGACTTGTGTGCCGTGGTACACGGGTTCGAATCCTGACCGTGGGAACATGGTGCTTGTGCTCTTGAGCAAGGCACTTTACCATTATTGCTTCGTCCTTCGGATGGGACGTAAAGCCGTAGGTCCCGTGTGTTGTGTAATGCACGTTAAAGAACCCAGTAACACTTGTCGCTAAGAGAAGGGGTTTGCCCCGGTGTTTCTGGCAGTGGCAGCAATTATGCGCCGCAGCACCTAGCAAAAAGGTGCTACATAATGGGGGTCTCATATACTTCATTTACCTGTCATTGGTTGCATTCTCCCCCAGCGCTTTGTATCCTCTGGCAAAAAGCGCTATATAAATACAGTTATTATTATTATTATTATTGTGATCTGTACTGTGACATTCTTTTCAGGTTGTGAACCAGTGCGATGCAGAATGTCCTGCGAACATGGCTACGACACGGACGAGAACAACTGCGAAATATGCAAATGCAAGACACCACCAGGTAAAACAGTAAACACGAGAACAATCTGAATGGAATCAGAATCCTAGCTTGGTGCCACAGGAAACGGACAGGACATATTTTTCAAGTCTGTAATCAGAACGTTTGAATCTAAGAGAGAGACATAGAGAAAGATGCAGTATAGAAAGAAGTGCATCTTTCAGACCTTTCGTCCAATTTTCAGACCCTTGTTTTAAATTGACGACCTCATCTTTAAGTATATGAAGTTCAGAAATGCTGTCATTGTTTATAATTGCGAAACAATAAATGCGAAACTTTAAACAGCCATTACTTGTCAATGGCATGTCCCATTGAAGTGCAACAAACTGTACTGTATTAGGAAAATTTTATTCTCTTTCTTAACACTCAAAACCCTGATTTCAGCCCTCATTTTACCGGCAGGCCTAACAAATGTGCACCATCAAGATGTAGCGTGGTTTATTTGGAATATTTTTTTTGATATATTAATTTTGAAAAAAACTACCTTTTTTTTATGGGGAACGTGCAGGATGCACTGAAGTGGTTTGCCGCATAGGCTGCAAGTTCGGCTATGAGAGAGATGAAAACGGATGCGAAATCTGTGGATGCATTGAGCCCCATGGGCCAGAGACCGATGGCCAACCAGGGCCATTCTCTCGGCGGGGTGATACTGGCATGTGCCCGTCCACCGAGGACGGCTTGGGTATCTGCATCCTGGCTTGTTCATCAGACGAGGACTGCGAGGCAGGCCGGAAATGCTGCAGTAACGGTTGTGGCATGGTCTGCCGAACACGTAAGGAAACTTAACCGAATTCAGTTGTTTTCCTCCTGTTGAATTGTCAATGTTCTTATGTTTCACTATTGTTTCTTTTTCAGCAAAGTCTCTGGGTTTTAACTGGCAAATTTTAACTGGCACATTCTTCTTGCAAAGTTTTACTGGCAGAGCACGAAGTTGTAGCTGGCTGTTTCGAATATCCAAATATTTTGCCAAAAGCAGTTTCGAGTAATCGAATGCTAAAGTTTTCGAAAATGGACAGCTCTAGTAACCAGTTTCTGCAAATATTTCCTATGCTTTGTGAATTTGTACATGTAGTTGCTCCATCAAATATGCTCCTGATTTGAACAATTGACATGTTATTCATAGTGGGAATTTAGAAATGTTGCATTTCAACAAATTTATATTTTGCAGCATGTCCGGGTGTGAGGTGTAGAATGGCCTGCCCCTTTGGCTATGTGAAGGATGACAACGGTTGCGACATATGCCGCTGCAAAAGGCCCGAAAGTAAGGAAATCAAGGTGGTCTTAATCAGTGTTGTACTCATATGTACTCACACTCGAGTACGTTTTTCGGTACTCGTACTCGTACTCACACTCGTACTCGAGTACGATTTTCAGTACTCGTACTCATTCTCCCATGGGTACGATCTTGCTGCGCCATGTTGTTTGCCATCGAGCCTTGCGCGATCTTAACCCCTGGAATTGTGTAAATTAAATGTGTCAAAATATGGCACATTATAATTAGGCTACAGTTTATCCGTTTTACGTGCCGACGCCATCTTAAAATGTTAAAAGTTGTGATTTTAAAGAATCAATCCTTTCAAACATAACGTTTGGACGTTGCGTTATTTAGCAAAGATTTGTATTAAATGTACGTACCCCTTTCGTCCCTGTACAACCGAAGATACAGGGGTTTTTTTAGCGAAAAACGAGGCTACCATAATCCATATCGTACAGGCATCGCGACTTTTGAATAACAATTTTTTTTCGTACGTGACGTTTACGTGCAAAGCACGCGAGCGCATTTTGGGCGCGCCCGACGTGCAATCCTCGAAATGTGCGCGCAGTACATTGTGAATAGCCAATCAGCGTCATTTACGTCATCATCACAGCCAGGGGTTAGTGTAAGGAACGCGCACGCGCCCATGGAGTTGAGGCTGCCTCAAGCTTCACAAGCAGTACCAGTATTAATGGTCACCATTTCTATCAAACCACAGTATTCTACTGTTTGGGAGGTTTCTCCATTTATTTAATGCCAAGTTTGACCGCAAAAATCCCTTGAAAGCATGTTGAAACACATTGAAAGTTGCTCCTACTTGTGGAAAGTACTCGTACTTGTACTCGTACTTGTATTTTTGGTACTCGTACTCGTACTCATGACAAAACACTCATGGCAAAGTACTTGTACTAATGGAAATGTACTCAACTATGACACTGCCCTGAATGCAGTCCATGTGGGAATAGTGATGGTATATTTTGGCTGGTGCCGTAAGCCCAATGGAGTAAATGGGCTCACAACAGCACTCTGAATCAACTCTAGATAGTTAAACCAGTCATTTGAAATTCAGATTTTATGCATCTTGACATCTGACGCAATGTGATTTAGACGTGGATCATGATTTTACACTTTTCCTGGTCTGACTTGTCGTAATTCCTTCCCTAACTCCGAGAAAAAGGGGCCATCGTATGAATAACTCTGATTTGCAAAAGACAAGAAGATAGAGCTAAGTTTTTGTATGGAAAGTGAACCGTTAGTGACCGCACTATTCTTTTCCTCTATGAACGCACCAAGAGTAACTTAACATACCTCAATTTTAACTTTTAATCCTTAGTTAGCAATTTGTGGCCGCTTTTGGCTTCTGATGTCGCTAAAAGTTCAAAGTTCAAGTGATATCATTTCAAAGAATTCTGTCACAGCTCTCCAAACAGTTAAATCTGTTGTGTGATGATTTTTATTTTTGTGTCTTGTCTTGACATGTAGTCAAGTTTGGCAAGTGTCCTGCCATACAAGAGGGTGTCGCAGGTATCTGTAGCACTGACTGCCAGACTGACGATGACTGTAGCGGAGAAAACATGAAGTGCTGCTCCAACGGATGCGGACAGATGTGCACAAGGGGTAAACACAAAACCACTCAATTGCTATGGCTGTACTTGTAAAACTCCCTATACGGGAGTGGTAGTATGGTGGAGTGTCATGGCCAAGCGGTTAAGAGCACCGGACAGAAGCTCTGGTTTTTCTGATCAGCAGAGTGTGGGTTCGAGTCCCGGTCTTGACACTTGTGTCCTTAAGCAAGACACTTAACCATTATTGCTTCGTCCTTCTGATGGGACGTAAAGCCGTAGGTCCCGTGCGTTGTGTAATGCACGTAAAAGAACCCAGTAACACTTATCGCTATTGAGACGGGGTTTGCCCCGGTGTTTCTGGCAGAGGCTGCTTTATAATACGCTGCAGCACCTTATAAGGTGCTACATAAAATGGGTCTCATATTTCAAAATACTTCATTTAATTACCCGTCGTTAAAATTAAAAAATAGATATATTAATTAACGCCTTAAGTACCTAATTGTTGGTAGATACGTGCGCTGTATAAGACTCTGGTATTATGATTATTATTATAAATGTCTGGTTTAAAACTGGTTAGATTGTCGCTAATAATGGCATTGTGACTTTGGGCATGACCCTTGGCTACATGGCATTTCTGGGTTTAGTTATCGCATTTGTTAAAGTTATTTGTTAAAGGTGAACAAAGACACTGACAAAACGGGGAACTGCCATCATAGGGCTGGATAGCTCAGTAAGAAGGGCACCGGGATGGCAATCCGGAGGTTCAAACCTCGCTCCAATCAATTTCTTTGTTCACCTTCAACAAATTGACAATTACTGCAAATGTTTTTGTTCAAGCATTGTAACATTTGTTGCTATCCATGTTCAGGGGCCATATCTAGTATGAATGTTATCTTTGAATACTTCACATGATTTGTTCCCTTGCAGCTTGCTCCCCCGTCATGTGTCGTCTGGGTTGCCGCTGGGGTTTTGCTACCAACAGTGACGGGTGTGAGATCTGTGAATGCTTGCCAAGTCCTGGTATGTAATCCCCCTCCCCTCCATTGAATTATTGAAGATGGTTTGTGACCTATTCTCGCAAGGTTCTTAATGCTGTTAATAATCATTTTGAGGTTTATTATGTTTATGTGCCATAACAGTCATGATGTTTGGCAATTAATCGGGGTCATCTACATGAGCACTGTTGGGTTTTTTCAAATGATACCCCTATGGCAGAGTTAAATGAAACATTTATTTCTTAAATTTATTGGTAATGAAACTTAACCCTAACCCTGCCAGATGCTACACAGTGCATCAGGTGGAAAAGTCCAGTGCACTTCGATGCATTCAGCTACCAACACCAGTGCATAAACAGCCACTTCAGTGACAATGAGAGCTAATTCTGTTGAACAATGCCACAGTTGTATCCTGCTGCATTCGGTGACCACACACTCTGAGGCAGTTTGGCCTTGAGACTTTTGACCTGATGGATCTTGCTACACTGGGCCGGTTAGACAAGTGTTGCATGTTGCTGCGTTTGGAAGGGTTTCTAACCAAAATGCTGTAGAGGGTTAGGATTAATGGGCTCAAGACTTAGGCCTATTTCTTGTCTGTTACACAGCTGTCAAACCAGGCCAGTGTCCTGCCACTCCTCCGGAGACGGTAGGAGGTATATGCACCACGGAGTGTAGCAGCGACTCAGACTGTGCTGGTGAGCTCAAGTGTTGTAGTAACAACTGCGGCCAAGTGTGCGTACGAGGTATGTCCCTCTAAAATACCAACATTTCATTTTCATTGCTGGTCCCGGGGAGCCAGCCTAGAGTTCTCTTTGTGCCTGATTGATTGACTGACTCCCCGACTCCCCGTCTGACTCCATCCAAATTAAGGTTTGCGGTATTTTGACAGTAAAGGGAAGTAAAAACCCAACCACTATTGTTTTGCATGGTTTTTGAAGGTCAATGAAACTTGAAACTCAAACATTGTGCAATTTAAACCCCTAACCATCCAGGGCCCAATTTTATGGCTGTACTTACCACAGAATTCCACGCTTGCGATCACCATTTTGGGCTAACAGTGCCATCAGAAAATGTTTTCGCCTGAAGCACGGATTCCTTATTAGGCGATGTACGCTTGCGTGCACAAATTCCTCCCTAACCTATTATTTTCTGCTACAGTTAACACTGTTTTTTGGCTAACAGTAAGCAGAGCCATAAAATTGGGTGCATGTCCTTTAAAGTCCACAAGGAAGAATAGGGAGGATTTGGCAGGATTGATGAAGGAGAAGAAGCCCAGTCAGTATAACTTGAAAAGGATTTTTGAAAGTCTTATTAAAAATTGAAGTAGAAAAAAACTGTGTCACTGTCTTCCTGTAGAGTGGTGGATTTTGGAGGATTAAAATCTCCTGGCAAAGTTGCCTGGGGAGTTTGGGTTTAAAAAAGGGGCACCTTTTTTCCATTTGACAATAAATCTCTTGATTTTCCCCCTCTCTTATATGTCCACATAGCCTGCCCTTCATTCAAGTGCCGGATAAATTGTCCCTTCGGCTATTTGACGGACGAAAATGGATGCCAGAGCTGTGAGTGCAAGCCCCCTTCAGGAAGTGAGTATCCAACGCACCATTTGTTGAACTTTGCTTACAAACAGAACAAAAATTGACCTCCCATTTCCGGCTAAATTTCCTCTCGGCATTTTACATTGACTGAAACAAACAAATATGTAGGGCCAAATGGGAAGACTGTGATGGGTTGTTGTTGGTAGTGCTACATGCCTGTATGGCCTTCTAGTCACCAAAATGGTCTCAGCGAAGAGTAGTTCATGGATACAAGGGAATTACACAATCGGAGGTTTGGCTTAAAGTAAACGACGACGGTATTGTTGTAGAGTGGTCCATCACAAGTTAGGTCACAAGTAAATCACCAGACCGCTCACAAGTCCAGTCACTATTAAAGCCCTTAGCACACCTCTCCAATTTTACCAGTTCACCGGATCGATCACTCTATCACGAGTACATTTTTTCACCGTTGCGGTTAGACCGCAACATACCCGCACACCTTCCCAATTCCGTTCTATAATTAGTCAACTGATTATCAGTCACATGATTATCAGTCACATGATGACAAAATGATAGCCATCAATTTTGAATCATTTGACTTCCTTCAAGAATCTGATTGGTTTACATTAATATCACATCCGGTGAAATTGGAGTGCTGCCCGCACACCTTTCCAAGGACATCGGATCTGGTGAAATCGGATGCGAAAAAAATCAGACATCATTGATTTCATCCGGTCTCCCAGTGTACGGTCAGATCGGTCTGAATTTTCAGCGCACACCTCTATACGACAGCCGATGATACGGTGAACTGAGAAAGGTGTGCGCCGGGCTTTAAATGGATGAACAGTAGCAAAGGAATGCTCATTGCCACAGTTTATTGAATAGCTTGTGACTTGACTTGAGATTTGAAAACTTGTAAGGACTTGTGATTCACTCCACTACAACAATGAATGACGGTTCAGCCAATGCTCAGAGTGTAACAAAAATGTATTTAATTTTGAAAACTTTATCATTGCGATTTTATGAATTGCAATATGTGTGAGTGAACATAGTGGACACCTAGTACATGAAAAAAAAAACAATTGTAGCATTCACTCTCTGAACCCAAACCTTTGCCACCCAGTCCGAGATCGCCCCAGGATCCCGCGAGTATGTCCAGTCATCGAGGGAAGTGTCGGAGGAATTTGCAGCGAGGAGTGTGGTGAAGAGAACCCTTGTCCACAAGGGCGGATGTGTTGCTCCAATGGATGCGGGCACAGCTGTGTAGAAGGTAACAAGAATTTGATATGAGCCATGTCACAGTGACAAAACTAAATTTAGTAATTAGTGTATTTATTGAACTTGTTTTGATGCAATTAAAACTTGAGTGGACCATTTGCAGCTATCCAAAAAGTAACACCAAATTATTGTTAACAATCTTACTTGGTTTAAAGATAGTAATGACACTAAACTCCCTGTGAAAGGATTCCTTCTGGCATGCTTTCATTTTGAAGAAAACAATAAATGAAGGTCATTTCCAAAGATGTGGAAATTTTTGGAAATTTCCTTTTGTTGTTGATTTGTAATTGGGCAAATCCGTGAATGGCTGCAAGCGTTGACATGATGCACATTCTACCGATAAAACGTTCAACAGATTTAAAGATGCGTGCCCCATACTCTTCGAATTTAAATTTTCTTTTTTTTACGAAACACACTTTACTTTTCCTGATTTTTCGCATCTGCAACCCAATGACACAAATGAACCCACCTTGCGAGAAATTATTCAAATTTTGTAAAGAAAAAATTCAGTAACTAATCATATTCGTTTGTTGTCTCATTCATAAGTAATTAGCTTTTCTAGGAAAGTAGCAATTGAAAAACAAACCTATTTTTCGGGGGTCAGACTCAAAAAAGTGTTTTGTTTTGGTTTATATAAATCACCATCTCATTGGTCTGTTGCCCTGTTGGTCCTCAAAATGCAATTTTTTTAGACCGTTTAAACTTTCATGAAGTGTTGGTGTCTTTGTAAAAACAAACCCTGTAATTCTTTCAACTACAACATGTAATAGTAAGGATTTTTATGGGCAAATTTGAAAAAGTTGGATTCAGCAAAAAAATATTTTCATATCCAGGGCGTATGGTCAGAACTCTGGATGTGTGTATACATGTACAATAAAAGTCAGATAACAGCAGCAAACAAGGTTCACCCTGTGTGGTTTGCTTTTCATTTTGTAGGTTGCCTGCCGGTGATGTGTCGCATGCGCTGTCCCCACGGTTGGGCACGGAATGCCGAGGGTTGTGAAATCTGTCAGTGCAAGGAGGCGCCTACTGGTGAGTCAAAACAAAGTGGCCCATAGCACTTTTGAAAAGCAAGAAAGGGTCATTTTTATTACAAGGTTCAGTTTTAAGTAAAAATTCGGGAAGGGACGGGAATTCAGTTTTTATAGTTGAGACTTGAAACCCTCTTTGAGGACCTCTGTTTTGGGACATTTTTCAGCAATGAATTTTAACAGTTGCAGCACTTCAATATTAGTAATGAGAATGTAGAGAGGACATCATTGCAGCATTCCTCAATCAAAAAGTATGAAAGGCCCCAGACATTTCTCTCCCCCCCCCCTCTCAGGCCCCCCACGCCCCTCCCAAACCACTCCCCCTCCCCATCACTCCCCCAACACTCCCCCTCCCCCCTCCCATTTATTAACCAGTTTGTGCCGGATGCCGTGTATATACGCAAAGGTTTTACGGTATTTGGAACGGGTGACGGATAAACACGCAGGGAGCAAGGCCGGAAATATCTGTCAGTGACCCGCTCTCAGCGAGTGAGGCCGGAAATATGAGAGTGCTGCCCGAGGGTGATGACTTCAACTCGCCTGGCATGGAGGTCACCTAAAAAGTAATCCCGCGCCTCGTTCCGTTTTTGTCAAAATATTCCCGGCGTGAACTGGTTAAGTCTGAATGCAAAGTTCTCGTCTCTCTCCCCGCAGCTGTCGCGGTGTGCCCGCCTGTACCTGAAGGCCGCTTCGGGGCTTGCGTTGAGGATTGCACGGGGGATAATGAATGCCAGGAGGGTCACAAATGCTGCTCCGATGGCTGTGGTCATTCCTGCACGTTAGGTTTGTTTTGTTGTTGTTTTTATCTTGTGAATTTCGTTAAGTGTATGCACAGTGGGATACTTGCTTGATGTGTTGCAGATGGGCAATTACAGCGTTATGAAAGGCAGTGGAATGTCCGTAACAGAGCCAATTAACCATGATATCTAATTAATGATTCAGAGAAATGATCCAAAACTCCTAGTCTGTAATCTCCTTGACCATTACTAGATAATGGATGTAGAAGATTTGAAAAAAAACATGTTCAGGTTTATTCACTGAGCTCTTAAAAGCTCTGTTATGGACATTACCTAACACTGGAATTACTCACGTGATGTGTGAAAGTCAAAGTACAAAATTTGCTCCGTCTTTGGAAAAAAACACCTTAAATTTGGGCTTTATGCAGTCAGAGGTTTATAGTGTTTAGATTATGAAATATTTTAAAATCAATATTTTTCTTGGAGATAGCTGGAAATATTGTCTGAAGATGTACAAGTGTGCTTTTATGCTTTTACTTTTAAAAGAAATGGATTGTAAGGTTAATTAAAAGCACATTAAAAAGCTGTTGACATCTCCAAGTTCTATTTTTTAAGGTCTTCACATTACAAAACTTGTCGTTATTGCATGCAAATGAGCAAGTTTTTGAATAAGGGAATAAACATGTGCTTGGCCGGTATAAGTAAAAAAGCTGCAACAAGCCACAACAGAAGCACTGATGTTATTGATGTAATTTCTCCGGTTTTTTTTAAATTGCAGCCGTGACGCCGGAGCCTGTTTCGTGTTTGCCGCTCAGATGCAACCGTTACTGCCGCTTCGGTTTCCAGAAGGACGCAAACGATTGTCCGATCTGTGAATGCAGGGACAAAAGTAAGTATTCACGCCGTAAGAAAACAACTTTGAATAACTACTTAACCTCGTTTTGAACAAATGGTAAAGATGATAGGCGGATGGGAAAACAAAAATGCAAGAAATATCAGGTGTTGGTGTGATTTTTGTGGGTTTGGGGAGGTCATGCATGGGGAAACACAAGACTTGGAAACGTATGCGCAGAGAAAGCCAGGAACACAGAGGTGAAACCAGGTTAGGTGAAGAGGGAGTTCAGCTGTCGATTGGGGTGGGCAGTGGCTTAACTATGTTGGGGGGGGGGGACCCACGGGGTGCATGTGCCCCATAGCAGATGTCCATGCCCCACATATAAAAGCTTGAATTGAACAAACATACATATTGTTTGCCTTCAGTGTCTCCCCTTGAAAAATGTATGCACTCCCAGGTGCCTCCCCCCAGACGTTTAACCTCATTATGCACATGGAGGGGGGGGGGGGGGGTTGGCAGGCATGTTCTATTTTTTCTGCATGAATTTGCACCTTTTTGCGGTCCAAGGGGGGTGGGTTAGGCCCCTAAATACCCAGTATTTGTCTTCTTCGACACTGTGATTTTCTGAATATACAGCACTTCTTCACTTTGCCCCTTCCCCACCCCCCCCCCAAAAAAAAAACCCGATGGGAATGGTAGAATTTTGACATACCCCTAAAGTCCCAGCAGACCTGTTCCTGTTCTAAACATTACCTTTATATTGACATAAACCAAAAACATTTTCTCGTAATGTGTCGTTTAGGGGAAATCGCGAATGTTTGTCCAGTCATTGAGGGACAAGTCGGAGGCATTTGCAGCGAGGAGTGCGGTGAACAGAACCCCTGCGCCTCAGGACAGATATGCTGCTCCAACGGATGCGGACACAGCTGTGTAGAAGGTTGTTAATTTTGATATTTGCTTCTACATTTCATGGTCATTCATGTATCTAAAGCAATTATTAACCCATTAGGACTAGTACTACATTGTGTTATATTGTCTTTATTCACTGATGAATAAATAAAACAAATAACGCTCGGGCGAGTTTTGGGCGCTACAGGGAGTAATAGCTAGGGCGGTTTCACGCGCTTCAGTGACTAAAGGGTTAATAGTGTTTGCCTCAATTGTGAAAAAGTACTGTTATGAAAATTTTGTACCAGCACGTAATATGAAAAATAGTGACGCAATTTTTGAAATTACAATCAAACGTAATTTTTTTCTTCCTCCCTCACCCATAGGTTGTATATTCCCTATAACTGTGTGTTTACCCCAAATGTGTAAAAAGAACGATTATGAATTTTTTTTACCAGCACGTAGTATGAAAATTAATGAAGCAATTTTGAGATTTCAATCAAACGTTATTTTTTCTCTGTCCCCCTCTCCCTCCTCCTCCCCCCCCTCCCCCCCCCTCCCCCCCCCCCCCAGGTTGCCCGCCTGTTATGTGTCGCATGCGCTGCCCTAATGGTTGGGCAAGGAATGAAGAGGGCTGCGAAATATGTCAATGCCAAGGGGGCCTAGGTGGTAAGTCAAGAATTCCTTTAGTTTTTCTGAAACTTTTCAGCAAGATGCGAGAAAACCAGTCTTAGGAACATTGGCACTAGAACTCAAGAAAATATGAGGATACCTCATGTGTGCTGTATTCAAGCCTATGTGCATGCATGGCAGTGTTGTAGTTGAGTACATTTCCATGCGTAAGAGTACGAGTACGAGTACTTTGCCGTGAGTACCAGTATGAGTGCGAGTACTTTGTTGTGGGTGGGGGAGTTAGACTGTCAAATCCCAAGTATTGCTCTTGTTGACACTGTGCTATTTTTAATCTACAGCACTTGTTCATTTCCCCCCTCCCCAAAAAAGGGATGGAAATAGTACAATTGTGACATACCTCTAAAGTCCAAGCAGGCGGTTCCTGTTCTAACCATCACCCCAAATTGACTGAAACCTTCTTGTTGTAATGTGTCATTTAGGGGGAATCCCGAATGTTTGTCCAGTCATTGAGGGACAAGTCGGAGGCATTTGCAGCGAGGAGTGCGGTGAACAGAACCCCTGCGCCTCAGGACAGATATGCTGTTCCAACGGATGCGGACACAGCTGTGTGGAAGGTTGTTAATTTTGATATTTTGCTTCTACATTTCAAGATCATTCATGTATCTAAAGCAATTACTTAAAGGGAACATACAACATTTGCTTTTTCTGTAATTTTCAGAAATGGATGGATTTGGGGGTTAGTATGTTATAGCGAATATTGCTTCACTGAGCTGTTGGAAAGTTTTGTGTTCGTAGATGCTGAAAAACCAAGAAAACCAATCATGTTCCTGTAGTCTGGTTCCCTGACCCCTTTTAAGATGAAACAGAGCAATTTATAGACGTTGGGGAATTGTAAGGTCAGGGAACCAGTCTAGCTGGCTTGTACCCATTCATAAATGTGTAATTGATTGCAAACAAAACGTGGTGTAATTAAATACAGTAAATTGGTGGCAGTTTTTGAAGGAAAAAAAAATTTTTCCAACGCTGGTCAGCTGACCAGCGTCAGAAATTGATACCAAAATATCACTTTCCTTGAAAATAACAGCACACCAGGTGCCATGATTTTACAGGATGCTTAAAACTGTCATTCACTAACAGTACAGTATGGTATTTCATAATAATTTGGTAGTTTTGTTTTTTGATTTTTGCAAATGTTGTATATTCCCTATAACAGTGTGTTTACCCCAAATGTGTAAAAAGTACGGTTATGAAATTTTTTTACCAGCACGTAGTATGAAAATTAATGAAGCAATTTTGAGATTTCAATCAAACGTTATTTTTTCTCCGTCCCCCTCCTCCCCCCCCCCCCCCAGGTTGCCCGCCTGTTATGTGTCGCATGCGCTGCCCTAATGGTTGGGCAAGGAATGAAGAAGGCTGCGAAATATGTCAATGCCAAGGGGGCCTAGGTGGTAAGTCAAGAATTCCTTTAGTTTTTCTGAAACTTTTCAGCAAGATACAAGAAAACCAGTCTTCAGGTTTCAGGTTTCAGGTTTATTTCCATACTATAAGGTAATTCAGTTGAATAATATACATCAGGTAAACATTTTAACGAAACTTTGAAATAATAGTATGGGGAGGCCAGACAAGAAGCCGAAGCTTGTACTAGGTCTGCCCCCTTCACAAAGAATACATGTAGTTATACAATTCATGAATAATCATAGGATATATCAATAATATGTGATTACATTACATTAAATTCACGAGCTCATGCAAAACTTTACACACAAAAAAAGAATAAGTTACTTGAGGGAAATTTACCATCCTTGACTTTACATGTGTTGTTAATAATTTACTTGGCAATAAAGTAATAATTTTGCTCTTAATCACCATTGACATTAACCGTAGAGAGAAGTAGTTTTTTATAATACAATTTACATGCTCTAATTGAGGTCATTGGGCAGAGAGATCGAATTTTATTCCAAAGGAGGGGCCCCTGGTGTCGTACAGTTGAGAGGTGTAGAGATGTTCTAACTTTATTAAGATGAAGCTTATTTGACGATCTTGTGTCGTAATGATGAATATCTGTGTTCATTACAAAAAACGATTTAATATTCAAAGGCAGTATGTTTTTTTCAAAATTATACATCAGAGCACACAATTTATATTTATAAAGATCATATACAGATAAGGTGTTGAACTTAACAAATAGCGGGGCAGAGTGATCCTTAAAACTAGAACCATTAATCAGTCTTAAAGATTTCTTCTGTAAAACGAGCAATTTATCAAGGTAGGTTTTATGAGTATTTCCCCAGGCAAGTATACCATATTGAAGATGAGGCAAGGATAACGTATTATAAATTGAAAATAGAACACGGGATGGGACAAAATATCTAAGTTTTCTAAGAATACCAAGGTTGCGAGATATAAGTGTAAGGACTTTCTGACAATGATTTTTCCACGTTAACTTATCATCAATAATGACCCCCAAAAACTTACAGGAATCAACCTTTTCAATATGATGATTGTTAAAACGAATCTGAATACTTTTATCTACAATTCGATTTGTAAAAACCATCGTATGTGTTTTCTTAAAATTCAAAGATAATTTATTACATACAAACCACTCAAATACATTAGTAAGCTCATTGTTCATTATGTCAACAGCATCATTCAAATGTTTACTACTGTAAAATATATTTGTATCATCTGCAAATAAGATGAACGTCAGAAGTCGAGTAGAATTACAAATATCATTAATATAAATAAGAAATAAGATAGGTCCTAGGATTGAGCCCTGAGGTACACCACATGTGATTGGTTTGTAATTGGACTTTTTATTTTGCCAGACAACAAATTGTTTCCTATTTCTCAAGTAATCTTTAAACCACTCGAGTGCAGTACCTCTGACACCATATGTTTGTAGTTTATTAATTAGAATATCATGATTTATTGTATCAAATGCCTTGGAAAGATCCAAAAAAATACCAATTGTATGTTCACGTTTGTCCAGACTAGATGTTATTTTATCAACTAAATCAATCAAGGCAAGTTCAGTTGAATATTTGGCCCTGAAGCCATACTGAGATTGTGACAGTATGTTAAATTTAGCAATAAATTTAGAACATTGGCACTAGAACTCAAGAAAATATGAGGATACCTCATGTGTGCTGTATTCAAGCCTATGTGCATGCATGGCAGTGTTGTAGTTGAGTACATTTCCATGAGTAAGAGTACAAGTACGAGTACTTTGCCATGAGTACCAGTATGAGTGCGAGTACTTTGTTGTGGGTGGGGGAGTTAGACTGTTAAATCCCAAGTATTGCTCTTGTTGACACTGTGCTATTTTTAATCTACAGCACTTGTTCATTTCCCCCTCCAAAAAAAAGGGATGGAAAAAGTACAATTGTGACATACCCCTAAAGTCCCAGCAGGCCTGTTCCTGTTATAAACATCACCCCAAATTGACATTTACTGAAACCTTCTTGTCGTAATGTGTCGTTTAGGGGGAATCGCGAATGTTTGTCCAGTCATTGAGGGACAAGTCGGAGGCATTTGCAGCGAGGAGTGCGGTGAACAGAACCCCTGCGCCTCAGGACAGATATGCTGCTCCAACGGATGCGGACACAGCTGTGTAGAAGGTTGTTAATTTTGATATTTGCTTCTACATTTCAAGATCATTCATGTATCTAAAGCAATTACTTAAAGGGAATATACAACATTTGCTTTTTCTGTAATTTTCAGAAATGGATGGATTTGGGGGGTTAGTATGTTATAGCAAATATTGCTTCACTGACCTGTTGAAAGTTTTGTTTTCGTAGATGCTGGAAAACCAAGAAAACCAATCATGTTCCTGTAGTCTGGTTCCCTGACCCACTTAAGATGAAACAGAGCAATTTATAGACGTTGGGGAATTGTAAGGTCAGGGAACCAGTCCAGCTGGCTTGTACCCATTCATAAATGTGTAATCGATTGCAAACAAAACGTGGTGTAATTAAATACAGTAAATTGGTGGCAGTTTTTGAAAAAAGCAAGTTTTTTCCAATGCTGGTCAGCTGACCAGCGTTAGAAATTGATACCAAAATATCACTTTCCTTGAAAAATTACAGCACACCAGGCACCATGATTTTACGGAATGCTTAAAACTGTCATTCACTAACAGTACAGTATAGTATTTCATTATAATTTGGTAGTTTTGTTTTTTGATTTTTGCAAATGTTGTATATTCCCTATAACAGTGTGTTTACCCCAAATGTGTAAAAAGTACGGTTATGAAATTTTTCTACCAGCACGTAATTAATGAAGCAATTTTGAGATTTCAATCAAACGTTATTTTTTCTTTGTCCCCTCTCCCTCCTCCTCCTCCCCCCCCCCCCCCAGGTTGCCCGCCTGTTATGTGTCGCATGCGCTGCCCTAATGGTTGGGCAAGGAATGAAGAGGGCTGCGAAATCTGTCAATGTCAAGGGGGCCCAGTTGGTAGGTCAAGAATTCCTTTAGTTTTTCTAAAACCTTCAGCAAGATGCGAGAAAACCAGTCTTAGGAACGTTGGCACTAGAACTCAAGAAAATGCGAGGATACCTCATGCGCTCTGTATTCAAGCCTATGTGCATGCATGGCAGTGTTATAATCAAGTAGATTTCCGTGAGTGCAAGTATGAGTTTCCTTGCCATGAGTATGAGTATGAGTACTTTGTGATGAGTGCGAGTACTAGTACAAGACAAATGTAAGTATGAGTAGTTTCCAAAAATATGAGTAAATTTCAACATGTCACATGTTTTCAAGGGCTTTTTGCTGTCAAAGAGGGCATTAAGCCTCCCAAACAGTCAAAAACTAGTTTTTTTCAATGCAAGTAGCTCTTCAAATGTTTTGAATTCTTGCGAGAGAACTTTTGCAAGAGTACCAGTACCAGTGCTGTTTTATGAGGACGAGTACGAGTACCAAAAAGTGTATCATTAAGGAGTAGTACGAGTGCTACAACACTGATGCAAGGAGTATATGCTTGGAATGTCTTGATCTGAGTGCCAACATTCCCAGGAGTGGGTTGGAATCATCTTGTTGATCATACCATTCTACTACCACCACTGCAGCTTGCCAGGGATATGGACTGGCAGCATTAGAGGAACAAATTCCAAATCCAGCTTTTGACCAAGACAAGTAATATACATAAATCTCTCCAGGAATTCATTTAAAAAAAAAAATAGAATCCAGGGATGTAGTTGAGTCCATCACAATTTCCTCACAAGTCCCTGCAAGTCCATCACAAGCCCATCACAAGTCCATCACAAGTCCATCACAAGTCCATCATGAGTCCATCACAATTTCCTCACAAGTCCCTGCAAGTCCATCACAAGTCCCTGCAAGTCCATCACAAGTCCATCACAAGTCCATCACAAGTCCATCACAAGTCCATCACAAGTCCATCATGAGTCCATCACAATTTCCTCACAAGTCCCTGCAAGTCCATCACAAGTCCCTGCAAGTCCATCACAAGTCCATCACAAGTCCATCACAAGTCCATCACAAGTCTATCACAAGTCCATCACAAGTCCATCACAAGTCCATCACAATTCACAAGTCCATCGCAAATCTATTACAAGTCCATCACAAGCCCATCACAAGTCCATCCCAAGTCAGTCACAATTCCGTCACAAGTCCATCACAAGTCCATCACAAGTCCATCACAAGTCCATCACAAGTCCATCACAAGTCCGTCACAATTTCGTCACAAGTCCATCACAAGTCCATCACATGTCCATCACAAGTCCATCACAAGTCCCTCACAAGCCCATCACAAGTCCATGTTATTGTTCATCCACTGTTACTTGTGACTACACTTGTTAATGGACTTGTGATGTATTTGTGACTAGACTTGTGATGTATTTGTGACTAGACTTGTTAATGGACTTGTGATGTATTTGTGACTAGACTTGTGATGTATTTGTGACTAGACTTGTGATGGACTCGATAACATCCCTGCTAGAATCCAGTATTTTCACTGGCATCTGTAGGTTAAGTCTTTTTAAAAGTAACTCTACTTACTGCTTTCCGAATCCAAAGACTTATCAAGCCTATCGATCTTATCCTAGGCCTTCCAGGACCCCCAAGAGTTTGTCCAGTCATTGAGGGACAAGTCGGAGGCATTTGCAGCGAGGAGTGCGGTGAACAGAACCCCTGCGCCTCAGGACAGCTATGCTGCTCCAATGGATGCGGACACAGCTGTGTGGAAGGTAGTGTTATCATTTGAAATGTAATTTGATATTGTCCCATTTGTTCAAGATCATGCCATCAATCAATCAATCAATCTGCGTGCCATGTCGGATTCTGATGTCGGCGACAACCAGACACTCGTCTCTGTTCATACATCTCTTGATGACGTCCAGCACATTAACTCCTAAGCTTGTGTCATATCCAGGTCAGAGGTGTGCAACACTGTCGGCCCTGTGCTCACCCTCTGGCGACTTTTCCCATCAATGCGAGATGTGCCGGTTGACGTTTTCTTAGCACATGACGAAGAAAGCACACTTGCTGCATCAGAATGGCCTCCATTATTAGCTTCCTGGTTGTCTTGGCGAGTTCCAGAACTGTCTCGCTTCAGAATTTCTCCACCCTAATTGCAATATTAAATGGGAATAAAATCACAAGAAAGTGTGTTACAAAGTGTTTTCCTCCATGACTCATTTTTTTTTAACTTCCTGATTGACTTCCTACATTCACGCTTACCTGCAATTACTCATCCATTCATATTGTTCTTTTAGTATCACCACATAGTTACAAAGATGTATTTGGAGGCCTCTTATAAAAATCTTTGTAAATTATCAAAATTTAAATATTGTAAAGTCCTTGTTGCCTAGTACTAAATTAGCCCTATGCTTGTTCAATCTTCCAAAATCAACCAGGCGGTTTTGGAGGGTTTTGGATTGAGGCCGAATGGCCAAGAAGCGTCAGTTTATTTTGGCGGATGCATTGTATTGAGGTCGTAGGCTGTACCCTGCTAGTTTATGTTCAGCCATGCATAATTGAGGCCCACAATTCGGGCGATTCACAATGCAGTGCGCCACCAAGAGTTTGCCACGGAGAGTTCATTTTTCCTAGTGCATTGTGGGAGATGGTCGACAAATTTGCAGCGCTGGACATTTGAAATTGTTCGTTTTTTTTTCCGGTTAGTAGTTTCGTAAGCGTATGATTCGAGTATCTGTTTGCCCTTTTCTTTTCTTTTTATCAATATGGTGTTTTTTGTAAGGCGACAGAACGCTATGCCCCAGTCTATAACAAATAAGCTCAAGTTGTCTACTGACACTCATTCAAATGGGCCATGTTTTGTAGACCGTAAACTTGAAAACTTGACTCTCCATGGCAAACTCTTGGTGGCGCACTGCATTGTGAATCGCCCGAATTACTGAATACCATTTGTACTGCTTCTGGATATCATTGACACTGCCTCAACATATTAACAGTGATTGTTGGAGGATTTTGAAGGATTGAGGCAGTGGTCACCCCTCCTCAGAACAAATTCAGGACATAACGGATGATTTTGGAGAATTGAGGCTGAATTCAATTTTTTTTTTTTACATGGTGGCATTTGGAAGATTTTGCATGATTGAGGATGATTCCTAGCCCAAAAGGGCCTAGGCGGTTAGGGTCAATGCTGTACTGTTTACTTTGCAAATGTTGTTTATTTTATTTGATATTCCTTTGTTGACAAACTGTCCTCATGTCTACAAGATTCCACCTTCCTCACATCATGCATTGTAGGAAATCAAAGATTTGAGGTGCCAAGCAGAAAGTGTATTGAGGTCAATGGAACCTTTTTGTTTCTGAGGTCGAATTTTGGAATTTTGTTCTTCAAATCAACTGTTTTGTTTCCCCCCCCCCCCCCAGGTTGCCTTCCAGTGAGATGCCGTAAGCGTTGCCCTTTTGGTTGGGAACGGAATGAAGAGGGCTGTGAAGTCTGTGAATGCAAAGAGCCCTCCGGTAAGTCAACAAAAAAATAAAAACGCATATATATGAAACTTTTCTCCAAAATGGTAATTGTTTCTAAAGTCACAAATGATTTCTCTCCATACAGCCGGAGTTTTACCAAGGGTTTACTTTGAAAGTAAACTGATGAATGTGATGCGATCAAGCTAAATGAGTCGTTTGTCAGAATTTTTTATGTGGAGATACAGGCCAAAATAGGGCCACTTCATCACATCTCTTGGTGTTCCGACTTCCATAACTTTTGAACTACAGATGGTATCAGCATGCGGTTTTTACAGAAGTTATGCTGAGATTTCGCTCTTTTGAAATCTGTAATAAAAAAAATTGTTGAGCAGGGACGACAAACGACTCATGTAGCTCGATCGCATCACAAACAGTTTAAGAAATTGTGGATCCTATAAATCAATATGTGGATTAATATTAAGTAAACAAAAAATTGGAAATAAACTTGAGTTTTTGAAGAATCTGCTGATTGGAATTACAGTGGCCTCTACAAACCAAAGCAGTTTGAAAGGTTTCAGTGAGACTTATTTTTACAGTTCTTCCCCCCCCCCACCCTCGCCAAAACAAAATACAAAAATACCTGTTCTTTTGAGTTCTCAAAGTGCATTCCCTTTGAAGTTGAGACTAACCAAACCCTATTCTTGTCACCATAGGGGGAATCGCAAACGTTTGTCCAGTCATGGATGAGGTAGCGGTCGGGGGAATCTGCAGCGAGGAGTGCGGTGAAGAGAACCCTTGTGCCTCAGGACAGATATGCTGCTCCAATGGATGCGGGCACAGCTGTACAGAGGGTAAAAAATTACACAGCTTAGATATTATGAAAAGTTCCAAGCATAAAATGGCACTGCAGTGCTATAGTCCAGTCTATCACAAGTCCATCACGAGTCCATCACGTGTCCATCACGTGTCCATCACAAGTCCATCACAAGTACCTCACGAGTCCATCACAAGTCCCTCACGTGTCCTCACAAGTCCATCACGAGTCCTCACAAGTCCATCACGAGTCCCCACAAGTCCATCACAAGTCCATCACAGGTCCATCACGACTCCAACACAAGTCCATCACGAGTCACCACAAGTCCATCACAAGTCCTCACAAGTCCCCACAAGTCCCAATAAGTCCATCACAAGTCCTCCCGAGTCCTCACAAGTCCATCACAAGTCCCCAAAAGCCCATCACAAGTCCATCATAAATCCATCACAAGTCCATTGCAAGTCCATCACAAGTCCATCACAAGTCCATCACACGCACAGTAGAGTTTGATCTTATGTTGCCCAGAATTTATACCGTTCTTTGTCTTTTCCGTACAGGTTGCCGCCCGGTTCTGTGTCGAATGTACTGTCGCTTTGGCTGGGACAGAGATGAAAACGGTTGTGAGATTTGCAAATGCAAAGCACCCCCCTCTGGTACGTTCTGGTACATATTTCATGCTAAGCATTTTGCTTAGTACAGGAAATAGTTGCTTAACAAAAACAGGCTACCAAGCAAATTGTTGTTCAATAACTTTATTTGTGGTTGACTCTCTGGATTCATTGAGATCGTCGTTTTCTCACATTCCGTTTTCTGGACAGATTTTGTTGTCATTAGGTTTTGTTTGCCTACCGTTTGCTGCCATTTTGAATCCAGTTTTTAACTTGTGGTTCAAAAAAGTGAGAGTAAATGTGAAAAAAATGACTTGGTTTCAGGGTGCTACCCAATACTGATAATAGTCAGAATTGGCCATTCTTGACGAACTGCCCATTTTGTATCACTCTCCCAAAACACAAATGTAACACCTCATACATAGTTTTGCCAAATTGTTATCCTTGGGTAAGTGGAAAATTTTGTGAGGTTTCTGAGCTTGTTTTCATAATGTCTGGCACATTTGACAATGCCCCTATGCATTTTTTACATATTGAAAGACTTGTGTTTGTCGCTACTGCACGCCAGACTAAAAGAACATCTTTTGAAACTGCATGAGAAAGGGTCATTTTTTTCCTTTAAAAACTTGACACTAAACAGGTAATGTGATCTGACTTTTAAATTTTTGCGAGAAATCTAGTACCTTGTATTCATCGCGTCGGGTAGTTGCAGTTTGATAGAAGTTTTTGGATTCAACATTTGCATTTACTGAGCCAGTCTTAAAAGAGAAGTGGTTGAGAACAGTCTGCTCTGTCTTTCATCAGGTGAGACTTTTTGAGTCAGTCTCTTCACGTGGTTTCTCCGCAAAACTTTGCCCGAGGTTCACCCAACAGGCTGTGTTTAAAAAAAAAATCTTTGTAATGATTCTCTGTAGATTGCAAACCTCTGCTTTGTCGCCTGGGCTGCCGTAACGGCTACCAAACCGACGAAAACGGATGCGACATCTGCAAGTGTCGAGGCCATATTCCCACCACTTTCAGCATACCCCATAGATTTGTGCCCAGGAGAGACCCTCTCATGCCAGTTTGTCCCGTTCGGGATACGGAGCAGGCCGTTGGGGGGATTTGCAGCGAGGAGTGTGGTGAAGAGAACCCCTGCCCACTTGGGCGAATTTGTTGCTCCAACGGATGTGGACACAGCTGTGTAGAAGGTACTGTTATATGATGTAGCCAGATCTAAGATCCATTGTCAATTGCACATTTTCAAATTGCCTTTATGTACCCCATACCACTGGGTTTTGAGAGTTTGTTTACGGAAGACAATGTAAGATTTTTATTTAGTTGTTTGGTTTTTTTTAACAAAGAGATCTTTTTGTCTCCATGCCTAGGCTGTCGTCCAGTGTTGTGCCGCATGTATTGCCCCTATGGATGGGACACCGACGAAGAAACAGGCTGTGAAATCTGTCAATGCACAAGACCCACCACAGGTTAGTCAAGGTTCAATGTATATAGTCACCAAACATAATACTTAAAGTGATACGTTAGGGACTTCACAGGAATAATCAGTTCCTCACAGGAATAATCTACAGCAGATTTCAATAAACAGTGCGTAACTTACGCCATACATAGCACTTACTCAGCAAATTTGTTGCGCAGCTGAGCAGTAAACTTACCATCGATTTCATGAAACTTGGCGTAGCTGTGCAATGTTTAAATAATTGAAACATCTTGGACGAGGATAATAACAGCATTTACGACAGCTGTTTGTGTATGCTTTTGTTTGTTCATGAAACAGTTGTTGAATCACTACGCCAGCAAATTTCAAAATATTTTTGTTAGACTTTCTTCGGAATCATGCAGTAACTCTAAAAACAATTTCACGAGTAGAATAGCAATTATTTTACTTCAAATAAAAAGCTGTGAGTGTCTTGTATCAACCTTGATAAGTTGTGCACTAGAAGGCTCCACTACAGTCACGATTTACTGATAAAATAGGTCATTTTCAGTCGCTACGCCACAACTTACACCACCTAAAATGATTGCGCAAGTTACGCCATAATTTGTGGCGCAAGTCAGGGACTCTCACACTCTGAACCTTTAGTGAAATTGTCATAACTGAAATGTTGCACAGCGTGAAATGTTGTGCAGCTTGCGCCAATAAATTGTTCCGCAAGTGGACTTATGCCATTGCGTACAGTTTTGTGAAATCCACTGCAGTTCCTGGTAAAAGAAGCTACTACCAGCAGCCAAGTGGAACATTCCAAAGTTTCTGTGTCAATCTCTTATTTCTCTTACTCATAATAATGGACTCTGGAAATAATTTCAGTGCCCTGAGATGTTTTCAGTGCCCTGGAAATATTGAGAGAGAAAAAAACACCACTGTAAGATAAGTCAATGGGTCTAATCAGACCTACATGTAAATAAATCACTGCTTTACACTATAGTCCCCTCATCCTAAATCAAAAAAGAAAACAAAAATGGTGGTAAAACATACTGCTCATGGACACAAATGTTCCCCAGGTTAGATGCAGAACTGTACAATTATTCATAGAAGTCTCAAATTTGATATGCGATTTGTACTTTACTTGCTTGGCACCTTGAGGTGACAGTTCAGGAATCTGCATCCTTTGGACCATTAATTGCAATTTCGTCTAAAAGGGAAGTCTCTTATTTTTCTTTTTTTCAGAGCTTGTCTGCCCAGTGGTACCTGCGCAAAGACCGGTAGGTGGCATCTGTACTGAGGAATGCGGACGTGATAACCCCTGCACGGAGGAGGGTCATACATGCTGCAGTAATGGCTGCGGACACACCTGTGTGCAAGGTACACATGTTGGGCGCATTTAATTAGCTCAACCGGATCAACTCGGGTGGAAACACATCACACGCGTAATTGTTAGATCACTATAGTTCATGTCTATACCCTCTCAGGCCTGTGATTGTTGTGTGTTATAAAACTCATATTGACTGGCGTTGGTCGGTCACTAATCCATATGTCCATACCCTCTCATGCCTGTGATTGACCACAGGAAGGCCATATTTTTCTGAGGCCCAATAAAACCTTCGTACGCTATAATGTGGTATAATATCATCTAGACTTGATGTTTACACTTAACATGTCCATGCTAATTTGGAAAGGAAGTCGGGCTTGAAAGGCTCTTTTGCTTTGTAATCATTTGTAGGCTGCACGCCAGTAGCGTGTCGACGCCGTTGCGAGCACGGCTTTGCAACGGACGAACGAGGTTGCGAGATCTGCTCCTGCGCTGCCCCACCTCTCGGTGAGTATGGCAAAAATGGTTTTGGATGAAGCGGGGAGGGGCATGTTGGACGAAAAACCCTGAGAAGACCTTTGCCTTTTACATCACATGCATTTAAATCCAATCCTGGAATATTATAAACAAAGACAAAGTTTTATAGAACAGTGATCACCATGCGTGCATAAGTTGACCTCATAAATTTGCACACGCTCAGATAGAAAACACATTTAACAATTGTTGACTGCTGTGATATGATGTTTGTAACACTCGAGGGGCACATATTCGCCGAGGGTGCTAAACGCCCCAAGAGGTTAAAAACGGCATATATATCGGCATAATAAAATAAATAAAACGGCATAATAAGATAAATGGTCGCTACGTACTGTGTGAGAAATAGATTAAACCACTGCAATGTAACCTAAAGTTTTTGATGACCAGCCGGTATGCCGGACATGAGACTAAGTTGTTGACGTTGCAGTTCTCAGTGCGCGAAGCTAGCGTGCTGGTAGGTTCCATACATGCACGCAATGCACGCAGTGAATGCAGTGCGATGTCATGATCTCCACGTAAAAATGGATGTAAGTGTGTGACATGTGTTTTTATAGACCAGACACATGGCTGTTTTAGACCAATGAAATTACAGTTTCCAGCGCACGATATTAACAAAATACATTTTTTGGCTGCTAAGGTTATTTTCCATTACATACATTTTTGGCTACTAAGGTATTTTCCAATGTATTTTATTTATTTTTGAGAATTTGTTTTAAATTCGGGTGTCTGCAACCTTCTGACATAACAGCACTTATTTTGGGTAACTTATGTGGCTCTAATGTGGCTCTACCTGAATTATTGGCAGCTGTCAAATAATCGGAAATTTGTAAAGTAATTGTTCCTAAATGTGGGAGGATTTTTTGTCTGGTGTCTCATTTAAAAGTAAAAAACTTTTGAATGAAAAACAAAGAAGAATTCCGTCTAAAATTTGAAAAAGAACTAGGAAAAGCATTGCAGTACTAAGTGACTGAATTTGCTTTATAAATGAAGAATAAAGAGACGCTGTGGTCCAATGGTTACGGTGTTCGACTCGTGTGCCGTGGTGCATGGGTTCGAATCCTGACCGTGGGAACATGGTGCTGGTGCTCTTGAGCAAGGCACTTTACCATTATTGCTTCGTCCTTCGGATGGGACGTAAAGCCGTAGGTCCCGTGTGTTGTGTAATGCACGTTAAAGAACCCAGTAACACTTGTCGCTAAGAGAAGGGGTTTGCCCCGGTGTTTCTGGCAGAGGCAGCAATATGCGCCGCAGCACCTAGCAAAAAGGTGCTACATAATGGGTCTCATATGTTCATATACTTCATTACCTGTCTTTCGTCTTTCGTCTCATAATTTGCGCCAGGAGTGTCATATTGACAGATATGGCGCGGTATAAATGTTCACTATTATTATTATTAATAACTTGCATATCTTGAAGATGATTATATACCACCACTTTCTCCGTAGAACTGACATGTCCGGAAGTCCCAGAAAGCATGGGTGGTATCTGCTCAGAAGACTGTGAGTCGGATGACAGTTGCGAAGTAGGTCAGAAGTGTTGCTCCAATGGATGTGGCCATGCCTGCACACAAGGTTAGTGGTATGATCACAAGTCCATCACAGATCCATCACAAGCCAAACACATGTCAAGCGAATGACTTGTGATTGCAATGCAAGTCATTCACAGGTCAATCACAGTTCAGTCACGAGTCAGTCACAAGTCAATCACAAGTCAATCACAAGTCATTCACAAGTCAAACACAAGTCAATCACAAGTCATTCACAAGTCATTCACAAGTCAATCACAAGTCATTCACAAGTCAATCACAAGTCATTCACAAGTCAAACACAAGTCAATCACAAGTCATTCACAAGTCATTCACAAGTCAATCACAAGTCATTCACAAGTCAAACAAAAGTCAATCACAAGTCAAACACAAGTCAATCACAAGTCATTCACAAGTCAAACACAAGTCAGTCACAAGTCATTCACAAGTCAAACACAAGTCGGTCACAAGTCATTCACAAGTCATTCACAAGTCATTCACAAGTCAAACACAAGTCAATCACAAGTCAATTCACAAGTCAAACACAAGTCAATCACAAGTCATTCACAAGTCAATCACAAATCATTCACAAGTCAATCACAAGTCATTCACAAGTCAATCAGAAGTCAATCACAAGTCATTCACAAGTCAAACACAAGTCAATCACAAGTCATTCACAAGTCATTCACAAGTCAAACACAAGTCAATCACAAGTCAATCACAAGTCATTCACAAGTCAATCACAAGTTATTCACAAGTAAAACACAAGTTAATCACAAGTCATTCACAAGTCAATCACAAGTCAAACACAAGTCAATCACAAGTCAATTAATTTTGTTCCCAGGCTATTAGTAATTAGTGATCAGACTTTATTTGCATACCATTGCTATGACACTTTTATTCAACTTGTCATGAATTTTAAAAGGATGTCCTAAAATCAAAGTTTAGGTTTGAAAAGTGATGTTCAATTAAATATATTGATTAACCCTAACTCCCCAGCCTAATTTACTAGGAACCATACCCATTCTGGCAAATTCCAACACCCACATGGGAAATTGTACACACACACTGTTGGACTTAGTTTCTGGAGGTATGCCAAACCCAATGTAAAAGACCATCAGTTTAGGGGTACTGTACCTATCCCAACAGATTTAAACAAAACCTGCTGTTGAACTTTGATGGGTTGAGTTCGGTTAGGGTTAAGTTGATTAGTTTAAGATGGATTGATTGGAGGTGCTTTTCAACTCTGATTTTCCTCTTTTTGTGTGTGTCTATTTCTAGGTTGTCGCCCAGTCCTGTGCTACATGTACTGCAGACATGGCTGGGCCAGGGATGAAAGCGGCTGTGAAATCTGCCAATGCGAGGAAGGACCACAGATAGGTCAGTACATGGAATTCTTCAGCCAATATTCTGTTGGTTCCAGGAAGGATGTTTACACAGTCAAAACAAGAAAAACATTCAAAATCCATGAACAAATTATTCAAACCGAACCCAAATTTGAAAAAAGGGACTTTTTATTCTTGCAGTTACCTTCTAGTATTATTTTACAAAGAATCAAGTATATCTGCAAAACCTTTGTATTTGATAAAAGCATTAGAAGCAGTTAGTACTTTATCGCATCCAAGAGAAGTTATACTGTTTTCAATGACCAGCAACTACTGTTAACATCAGCTAGGTCCCTGCGAATGTTGTTCTTCCCAATTGGAAAAATAGTGGCATTGAAAAAAACTGTTGTCACAATGGTGGCGCCCAGTGCTGCAGGTGTCACTGTGTGGATGGCAGCTTTTCAAAGTTTCAAACATTTATTGCGACTAGAAGTAAAATGTTGCCAGTTTATTATACAAAAACTTATTAGAGAGTTTTGATGTATAAAGAAAGCAAAAATTCCATCAGCTCGGCCAGCTCACTGAGTACAGCCATCTTGGTAACCATAGCTTACAACTCCAGGGTAGACCGTTCGTCTTTGTTGCTTATGTTTGTTGATTGTTGGACGCAAACAGACGTTGCCAATGTTGGTACACATTAGCATTGTTCACAGGAGTCCAACATAGCAGTGGTCCATTATTCCAAATTGGCCATTCAAACCCTTTTGTTTATTACTTTCCTTTAATGTGTCCATCAGGCAGCTGAAACAAAGTGCAGTGTCCATGACAGAACCAATTAACTATGATATCTAATGAATGATTCATAGAAATGATCCAAAACTCCTAGTCTGTAATCTCCCTGGCCATTACTAGATGATGGATGTATAACATTCGCAAAATACATTTTCAGGTTTTTTCGCGGAGCTCTTAAATGTAGAGTAGATCATTTGCAGCTGTCCACAAAGTAACCGACCAAAAATTATTGTTGAAAAGCTAACTTGGTTTAAAGATAGCAATGGCACTAAACTATCTGTGAAGTGTGTGACATCATGTAGCTGAAATCGGCTGAATGAGAACAACTCCCGGATGCCAAATTTGGGCGCAATTCAAAACCTGACTCGGCAACTTTTGAATTAAAACTGAGATCTTAGAATATTGTTTTCTTAGAACATGCAGCATTTACTGAGCTAAAACTAAAGCTAAAGCACCCGTCTTTGGATTTTGAGCACTTTTGTTGCAAAAAAAAATGCACAAATGACAAATGTTCTACCCTGCCTTTAAAAGCTCTGTCACGGACAGTACATGACACTGGAATTGCCTACTTACTCTTTGAAATGGCCTTTTTTCACCCGATTTGTGCTGGTGGCACACAGGGGCCTGCCCAGAGTATTCTTTGTACCTGACTGACTCGCAAACTGACTCACTAACCGACTTTTTATGAATTTGCATTGTTGTTGACTGGTGATGTGACCCGGGCAGTGCTGTTGTATAGGTTGACCGCATAATGGGCTACATCCGGCCTATTGTAAACCAGAAGACTCCCAGTGAATAGCCATTGCGAATCAATTGAATTGAATGTTGTGTACCCTGGAATCAGCTTTACTAGGCTTGCATTGTTTTGTTTTTCCCCGCTGTACAGCTTGTGCTATGCCCAGGTGTGCCAATGAGTGTCCGCATGGCCGTGTCACCGATAAGAATGGTTGCATGAAGTGTGACTGCCTGCCTGGCCCAAATGGTAAGTCTTCAACTACTCTGCCAGTGTTTTTATACAAACGGGTATAAATTGATAGGTATACCTTTTTGCTATACAGAAGTTTTTCATGTTAAGCCCACACACACACAAAATCGGCCGTGAACCAGTCACAAGCATTGTGCATCACATGGCACTTTGGCTGGTAACCGGTTTTTGCTTAGCAAATGTCTTATGGGCTCAGCGAAATTCTGTGCTTAAGGCCCGTCCTAGACGCCGTGCTACTGCCGCGCCGAAATTAATTGAATAGCTCGTCTACAGCACTGCAGTTACTCTAAGCGCTGAACACAGTGGTCGAATCTTAATGCATCTGGAGTAATGGGTCAGGTTAAAGCAGTTCAGTGACCTGTCAGTGCGGTCAAACTATTCGTGCCGATTTCACTCCCTAAGATGTGTGGACAGGAGAGAGGGTATTGTGAGCATGCACATTTTGAAAATATGTTTGCCCCAACTTCGAATTGAATTGAGTTCGGCACGGCAATGGCACAGCATTTAAAAATGTGCCGTGCCACTGCCATTCAGAATGGCGATAGGGCGGCAGCCCTGTCGAGCCAAAGGATGGTGTCATGCCGAACTCAACTGGCTGGGCACAATGATTCTAAATGCTTTGCTATCGCTGTGCCGTCACTGTGCCATCGCCTTGCCGAAATCAAAGAGTCAAATTAATTGAGTTCGGCACAGCAGTAGCTCAGCATCTAAAACAGGCCTTACAGGTCAGTGAAATGTCATTACCAGTTTTCTGCACTTAAAGTCACCCTTTTTGTGCTTGAAATAAAGTCTCATTGAAGAAGATCTCAGTAAAGTAGTAAAGTCTGTTACAAACCAATATGGCCCATCAGGCTGGCATTTAACTCCAGTTTCCTTGGCATGAAACAACTGAGAATATTTCTATTCCCCCCTGGATGGGATTTCAGTCCATCGCAGGTTACTCCCCAGCTAATGCCAGTACCCATTTATACTTCTGGGTGGAGAGAGGCAAGTTAGGGTAAAGTGGCCTTCCGAAGGATACAACATATGGCCAGCAGCTGGATTCAAACTACTGACCATCTGATCAGGAGTCACGAACCCTAACCGCTAGGCAACACTTGCAAACAAACTTCTGAGATCTCCCAGTTTGCTCCCGGAAATTTTAAACACCATTCCCCCATCCCCCGCACTCTTGTTTATTTATTGATTTATTTGTTAAGGTTGTTTTCTTTTTACTTTTTTTTTCATTCCGTGCTTGTTTCAGAGCCTCGGTGCCCTGAAGTTTCGTCAGATGTTGGAGGCATTTGCGTAGATACCTGTGGCATTGACAATAAATGCCAGGGAGAAAATGAATTATGCTGCTCCAATGGATGTGGACATACGTGCATGGAAGGTATGCCTCGATCATTTGAAATAATAGTAATAATAATAATAATAATAATAATAATATTAACTCTTTTCGCCCCAATAGGGTGACTTTCCCATAGACTTGTGCACAAACCTAAACTGTCACCTAACCCAAGTTTACCTTATGTTTTTTCCACGAAATTTAGTATTTATACTAATTGGACCATGAGGAATCGATTTAGATGGTTAGCGACAGCAAAATTCCTTGTCCTCAGGGTCGTTTTCATAAAAGGACGACAGTTATTTTGTCGCCTCAATAAGGTGTATCGCCCTATTGTGGACGGAGTTCGCAAAACCTGTCGCCCTATTACAGTAATAGTAGTAATAATCATTGCCATGGTAATAGGCAAAGATCGTATGGCACCGCGAGCAGTAGGTAGTAGACAAGACTTCAAAGCTGTGATGGATAGCCAAAAAACTGTGGGAAAGAAACGGAACCAGTGCCCAGTGCTGGGTCAACACAATTATGAAAACCGTACACGGCACAGATGGTGACTATTACGCCAGTTGTTAAAGAGGTTGTGGAATGCTCGAAGACATTTCCATCATTTTTCGGGCATATATAGCTTAAGGTGTGATGAAATAAAAACGACTATTGTTTCTGTCATGAAATGAATACAAAAGGTACTTTTGAGAGCTGTTTTTCAGGTCCTGTTTCGACCCGAACGTGCAATTTGTGTAAAAGTCATCGTTGGGGGCAGCAAACAAAACACAGTAAATCGTGACGTAATAAACAGGACTCCCTATGCAGCATAGTATAAACGAGTCCTGTTTATTATGTCACGATTTTTCTGATTTTACGAAGAACCCGACGACTGTTGATTTCAATTATGCGCTCGCCGACCAACAAATTACTCAATGAATTTCAGTTTTATAAACATGTAAATGCACATTACAAAAGAATGAGAGTTTGTCATTATGATATATATGGGTCTACTCTACTATAAAAAAATATAAAGAACAAACAACTTTCAGCATTCCACAACCTCTTTAAAAAAATCATGGTTATTTAACATGCCCCGCTGTCTAGTCTACAACACACAATATGGTTTCTAACCAAAGGCTTGCCTACTGTAATGGTGGCTGATTACAGGGGAGACCGGATGGTCACATGGTACTTTGATGTCATATGATCTGACTCTGTTCTTTGGTCTATTTGTAAAACGTGAGGTCAGCAACAATGTCAGAGTTCAGAAAATATCCTTCAGTTAAGCCCCAGTCACACATTCAGTGTTTGGATCTACAGATATCCACTGTTGAAAATTTGTGATAAACCGTGGGAGTACCGTATTCATCCTTAGTACCTCCGTGGTTATCCGTCATTTATTCTTGGGTATTTGTGGAGCGGCTACAGAAATGTTTAAATGTTCCAAACTTCTGTGGTGAATCGTCATGAAAATCAATCCGTAGTGCAACCGTGGGACATCCGTAAGACAACCGTACTAATTCGTAGTGTTATTCGTGGCTATTCGTACATATTCTTGGAGATTTGTAGTTCATTCGTGGTAGAAATCTCTATGAATTTTCTACGAATGTCCTACGGATATGCCTGGATATGCTAGGATTCTGTTAAGATTGTTCTACGAATATGTATGCTTTATTCGTAGAAGAGCCTTGGTCATCAGTAGCCCAGTCGCAGACAACCGTGTCGTTAACTTCATTATTCTTAGTAACACTGTCAATATTCTTCAACGATCCGTCCATATTCTTGACAAACCGTGGTGTATTCGTAGAGAAACCTTGGGACAGTCTATCCGTTCTAATACTGTAGAAAGTCGATTTCTCCACGAATCTGGACGGTTCATCTTGATCGATTGATTCTTGGTAAACCGTGGATATTCGTAGCTCCAACTGTGAATGTGTGACTGGGCTTTACTTATCACTGGTATCAAGCAACAGCTCTAAAGGTAAAAGACAACATTTGCAAATTAACCCCCCAAATCCATCCACTTATCTTTGCAATCACTTGATCTGTATTGCAGCTTGCCCACCGGTATTGTGCAAGATGAAATGTCTGCACGGCTGGGCCCGCAACGAGAGGGGATGTGAGATCTGTGAATGCTATCAACCGGAAGGTGAGGACAAACCAACATTTGACGATTGTCACTTGGGACGAACACTGCAGATTAATGTACACATATCTATGGGATCATTGGTATTAAAAGGGACCATGCAATGTGATTTTTTAATGCAATCCTTGAAAATGCTCCTTTGTGTCCCATTTAACCTGATTTTGGATTTTCAAAGGGGGGGTGTGAGTGAGTGAATACGTGTGGAAGGCACACCCTGCTAGGGGGGTCCAGGGGCCAGTCCCCTGGAAAGTTTTGAAATGTTTTCTCCTGCTTTTTAAGGCAATTTGAGAAGGAATTTAGGAACTTTAGCTTTCACTTTATTATTTGTGGCCATATTTATTATTTACGACAATAGATCCAGGTTTTGCGACCTCTCACTCAATCTGTACTCATTTCCTTTTTTTACTTTTTAACACTAAGAGACTTGCACCAACGGCAAGGTTTACCAGGACTGCGGCAGTGCCTGCCCGGCGACCTGCGAAATCGTCCGCAGTGGTGCGTCCTTGGCGTGCACGTATCAGTGCGCCAGGGGGTGCGCTTGCCCGCACAACACCGTGCTGGACTCTGACAACACGTGCGTGGTGGAGCGCTACTGCGGGTGTCTGTACGACTCGGATGCTGACGGCGAGAATGAGTACTACCGGGTAAGTATTCCAATGCGCAATGTTAGGGGGCGCTGTTCAATGATCACCAGCCGCAAAAGAATCATAGACATCTTCAGGAAAACCTAGACCTGAAGAACCTCTACTATTATCCTGTTTGGTAATGACCACAAAATGCTGCATCCTATGACCGCCACGATCACTCATGGTAATTTTATATATCGCGCTTCATGCGACCGCCCCCTTCCATGTTTAATGTGCCAACAATTAGCGTTCAAGTTTATGGTCAGGAAACTTCAGGCTCATGTCAAGTCAAGATTTTTTTTTAAGATATCTATGAACAGAACTGGAACAATGTTAGTGCACCTTCACTCATATTTTTTAAATTGGACCTATTGACAGTGTTCTAATGCATCATTTTTTAATAATGTGTTAAAATTTTATAACGACATACCAAATATTCTGTCCCTTTGAGATGCGTTTTGATGTTCAATCCCCAAGCTTGCTTCTCAACTTTATGTTTTGTTGCTCCATCCCAGATCTGTCTTCTGTCCGTTTGAAAATTCCTTTTAGAAATATTTCTAACAATCATGTAACATGCTGTAAATACGAAGCAATCTGACCTTTTAATCCTTAAAGGGTCTGTTCCGAGGAACACATTCTGTGCATTTTCTACTCCTCTTAAATGTATGAAAACTGTTTGACATCCTTGTTTTGGTTAATGTTATTGAAAAGTGCACTTCTTTCAAGGTACTGAATATTTTAATTACTCCTACTTCTAAAGTTAGTATTTATATCTGGTATCTTAAGGTTTCTTTGGAGGTTTCAGTTAAGTTTTAGACTCTCGAAAAACACGGGCATTAGTAAACCAAAAGTGTATAAGAAGAAATTCCAATTTGTTTTCCTCTTTGAACAGCTTGGTGATTCCTTTACGATGGGCAGTGAGCAGTGCCAGTGTCGTCGCAATGGACAAGTGACATGCGATACAGGTACCAGATTAAGTGATCACGTATTGTGAATATGTACTGACTTCATGTGAATTATATCAACGGCATGCGTGAACCAGTGTGCATTTGTCTTTTAACAATAAGCCAGTTCGGTATTTCAACTGGGCATGCTCACAATGATATGGGTCATGGGTCATTCCGGATAATCAAACGCTCATCGAAAGCGTATGGACGCGCAAGGAGACAGTCGCAAGACGCTTGCGCGTTATTTACGAGTAGAAGGGGTGTTCGCATTCACATCGCGTAACATTGCATCAGCAATTTTATCCCGAATGGCCTTTGACCTGGACTTCTTCATCGAGATACCAGACTGGCTAATTGCTGACTGCTGTGATGTGTGATATGGCGTTTTCCACGGAGCTCCTAATTCTTGTGGTCATGAAGCACCATGCACGGAGTCCATATACTTGGAGACTCAGGAAAGGTCCGTGCAAGCACTCCCAAATTGATAATTTGTTTATTTGTTTGTCACTCTGTAGTCTGCCCGCCGCCCAACTGTCAACTCACTGGCTGCCGATACGGTCATGCTACCGACGAGAATGGATGCGAGACGTGTAACTGCAACCCTGGCCCTGAAGGTAAAGCATACCTCTCATTCACAGCAAAATCAAGTAACTTTGACTTTAAAAAGATACTTCAAAACAAAACAAAATCACTGTATTTTGCACTTGCCTTAAGCCCAGATAAGTGTGGTTTTGGGTGTATAAAACTGCGGAGACATTTGCTGGTTCCTCGTGTGAAAGACTCTCTCTTTAAAGAATGTGTATTTTTGAGAAGAGCCAGAGGTATTATCTCCATTAACTCTTTTAAGGAAAATGATGACAGTCGGACCATATAGAGGGAAAATCAAGTGAAGAAAACCTGTGGTTCTTCTCTTTTAGAGTTGGTCACTGGACTTAAATCATTTTTCTTTTTTTATGAATCTGCTCAAAAGATCGCCTGAGCAAAATATCCCGGGGGAAGCAAGCTTTCCAAGACCCACCTTTAAGGCTCTTTCGCACTGTCCAACATCTCAGTGATAGACCCTTGTCAAACCTCTGTAGACCTGATTTTGAGAACGCCTTTTAAAGAATCCGACAGGGCTTCGACAGGGGTCCCGCCACTCTACCCTGGTCAGGATCAGGATTGAGAGGCTCTACCCGGGTAGAAAATCCAAAATCTACTGCTAACCCCAAAATCCAAAGTCTACTTGTGTAAATGTAAATGCCCACGTTCAATTGAAACTGGCTCCGCTCACAGTGGATGACCCATGTTGATATCTACATAGGTAGAAAGGCTGATTCCAGTGCAGAAAGCCCTGTTCAGTCGAGACGTCTAGCCAATCATTGCATAAAACAGCTCCCAAAGTTTAAGTCCAACTTTTTGCCTGAATCCGTGTTCAACGGTCAATGTTTTCATTTGCAGAGCCCTGTGAGCCAGTGAAGTGCCGCCGCCTGTGTCGCAATGGATTCAAGATGGAGAACGGTTGCCCTATCTGCAAGTGTAACGACCCACCCCGAAGTAAGCTCTCTCACTCAGACTCATGCTTGCCAGAATGTCACCGCCAAATATGATTTTCTTACATTTCTTGATTTTAGAAAATAATTGTTATTTTAACTCCTTTCCAATAATAAATGTTTATAGTACAAATGTATTCCTGAAAGTTACATAGTATTTCACATATACCAGTGTTCACGAAATAAAATATTTTCTTATTTTAAGAAAACCAGTTTGGCAGTACAAGCATAAAAGCCAGTAGTGAGGAGCACCTAAGGATAGGTTATCTGAAAGCAAAATGATTTCACACTTGGAGACTTGGAGAAAGCAAGAGAGCACGTATCGTCACCGTTTGGACGACGTGACAAGTCTGCGTGCACAGCTGCAAAACCAAGTTTTGAGAAAGTCGTGTTTGAAGTTGGTCGATTTGTCAAATCACGTTATCGCATACATTTCTCTCCCAAAATTTAACAATATATATCTGATGCGATAGCCCATTAGTAAAATAGTCAAATGGACTTCCTCTGTTTTTCATAATTTTGAAGCATGTTTAATTAGGAGACGTTTATTACTAAAGATATTCGTCACTCCGTCAAAACGGAAATTCTACTTAGTCACAAAAAATGCAGCATATGTTTGCACACAGCGTGTTCGCATATTTCATCACTTCGTCAAAATGCAAAATTGTACAGGCAAATCTAAACATAGCGCATGTGTAAAATTAGTGAGACTTTGTGACGAATACAGATTCGTCACTTCCTCAAAATGACGACAGTGTAATTAGCGTAATTGATGAACAGTGGAATTCTGTGTCTCGAAATGAATTTGGTAATCGTGTAGAAGACATCACAAAATGTTAGAATATCCACACAAAATATTAAAATTGCTTGAAATTTCAGTTTTTAACAGATTCCTCACTTCCCCAGAATGGTGACAATTTGTAATCAAAGCCAAATCATTACGTTTCTGTGCTACTATGCTAAGCACTGGATAGATGCTGGTCATTTACACGCAAGCGTCGTGCGCCCGCATTCATGCGCCTTCCAAACGTTTGATTATCCCAAATGACCTTTGACCCCTTACCATTGTGCACATGCGCAGTTGAATTACCAAACTGGCTTATTCCAGCAAAACAATTATCTTCCTCTCCCATATTTTAATTAAAAACCAAAATCCATCTGGTACAATTGCCAGTGTACGAATGATAATTCAGTGCTGTACTCACTCCCACCTACAGGGCTGTGTGAACCCGCGAAGTGTAGAATGTACTGCACATACGGATTTGCTGTAGATGAAAACGGCTGCGAGATCTGCCGATGCAATCCGCCCCCTGGTAAGTTAACAGCATTACAAAACAAACACTTGAAGAATTATGAGACAACTGCACCATCGCTGTTCAAAGTCCAGGGGCTTTGTGGTATAAATTTGCGTCCTTGCATTAATTCCTTCAGATACGTTAAATAATTATTGATTCTTAGATATGACTGAGATTAAATGGATTTGATAGAATGGATTAATGGATATGGTGAAATGAATTGATTTTTGTATGCTTCTTCATCCGAACAAGTCCAACAATGATTGGTCCATGATTGAAATGTATTTTCATTAATTACTCTCACACACAAGTGAAGGCTGATCCTATTGGACAGTAGTCCATCACGTTAGTTTACATTAAAAATTTGTTTGCAACTGCGTAAGTCATTTAAAAATGTCATATACTCTTTGTGCTCTTCAATGAATAAGGGTTTTTTTTTCTAACCAATTTTCTAGGTCTCATACTAAAACTATATTGTTAGAAAATAGCCATTTAACATCAAATTCTAAGGTTAGTGAAACTCAAAAATATTACTGATGGACAGAACATCTTCAGACTTGCTCAAGCAAGGTGCATCAGCTCAAGAAATATGCTTTGGAAAAAGTGAGCAACACGCATGCGAACAGGGAAATCTTATGTTTTAAGATAATATGGGACTCCAACCTGTGACCTCCACACAACCAATACGCTTTTTTTATGTTACCTTGCTAGATCAGCATTCAGTATTGTAGTCGAGTCAATTTCAAGTCCATCACAAGTCCGGTCAAAAGAAAATCACAAGTCCTTTCACAAGTCCAGTCAAGAGTAACAGGATAAACAGTAACTATTAAGGAATGCTATTGTCAGGGTTCAATTGAATAACTTGTGACTTCAGACTGAAGGACTTGTGACGGACTTGTGACGTACTTGTGATAGACTTGTGATAAACTTGTGATAGACTTGTGATAGACTTGTGATAGACTTGTGATAGACTTGTGATAGACTTGTGATAGACTTGTGATAGACTTGTGATGACTTGTGATGGCCTTGTGATGACTGGTGATAGACTTGTGATAGACTTGTGATAGACTTGTGATGACTTGTGATGACTTGTGATGGACTTGTGATGGACTTGTGATAGACTTTTGACAGACTTGCGATGATGTGATAGACTTGTGATAGACTTGTGATAGACTTGTCATAGACATGTCATAGACTTGTGATGACTTAAGATAGATGTGTGACGACTTGTGATGGACATGTGGCTAACAAGATGTGATGGACTTGTGATGAACTTGTGATGAACTTGTGATGGACTTGTAATTTATGATTGATTTGACAATTACACTGTCCAACTCAGCAGCAGTTACCACAACCAGTGACTTACGATTGAATTCTTCTTCTTACGAACTATTACAGATGTTGTGTGTGAAAATGGCAAGATCTACCAGCAGTGCGGCAGTGCCTGCCCGGCCACCTGTCAGAGTATTCGCATCGATGAGCCTACCCCCTGCATTGCCATGTGCGTTCAGGGCTGCTTCTGCCCTCCAGGTACCGTACAGGACTCGGACGGGATGTGCGTCAAGCAGCGGCAGTGCGGTTGCCTCTATGATGCTGACGGTAACGGTGACAAGGAATACTTCAAGGTAAATGAATGGTTAATCAAAGAAAAAAAATAACCGGTGCAGGATGTCAACTTGCGACCTCTTTGATTACCTCACAAGTGTGCTACCGACTGGCTTAGCCAGAGGCCAATTTCTGCTACCGGCAGAAAAGTTCCGCTAACTAAAGCAGGAAAATGTTTAAGTAGTATTTCCAGTGTGGATGTGCGTACTGTTGCGCCTCCATTCAAGCAAATCTTTCTCCTAAGTTCAGCGTACCCTTTGCAGTGCGTACTGCTTACTGCTTGTGAATTACAAGAAGGCTCCTTGCCCAGCCCTACTGCTTACATATGCCAGCATTGCAGATGAAAAGCAGTAGTTGGTCACCGCAGAGTATCATCAAGCGTGCAAAATGTTGTTTCAAGGTTGTGCTCAAGTTTTCTGAATCTGGGCCACAATGTGCCTTTTTTTGGCACAAAACTAAAAAGTTGAAGGATAGCCCAATGAGATTGCCATCAAAATTCAGAAGGGTAGATAAGTACGATTGGATGTCTTCCAAGTTGTTAGTGGCTTAGCTCCAGTGGGGAGCCATTAAGTCCAAAGCCAGTGATCACACCCATGGTCATGATGCTCGCAACATTATCAATGCTACGAACTATGGAATTACTGTTAGCATCACTCAGAGAGGATACAACTTGTTCTAATTAAAAATCAACAAATAAACCACAATATGAAATTTGGTTAAATTTTTATTCAATTTTTTGGGTGAAACAGAAACATTTTATAGCATTAGGGTTTGAGCCTTTGACCTCTGAACACTCACTACCATTGCTCTGTCAACTTGCTAGCTGTGTGTCGTATTGCGCACTCATCTTTAAGCTGTAAGATATGTAATTACCAAGTTAGTTGTGCAGTGTCCTTGGGCAAGCCACTTCACCCTACTTGCCTCTCTCCGCCAGAAGTATAAATGGGTACGGCCATTAGCTGGGGAGTAATACTTAAGTGCAATGGATTCACATCCGCAGTCGTAATCGAGTCTTCCGAAGTCATAACAATGACTGGTGAAGCAGAAGTCTCAAGCTCTTAAATGAACTGTGATTATTGGGCATTCCTTTGTCATTGTTCATTTTGTGTAGCTTGTGACCTGACTTGTGACCTTACCTGTAACCTTTGACCTGACTTGTAACATAAAGGGTGATTTGAGACTTGTGATTGACTCGATTACAACTTTGCGGGCATGTCATTCCATTCCAAAGGATTGGAAAACCGGAGTTACACTTTGGCGTGAAAAGTCACGTTGGTTTAAGACAGACTTCTAATTTACAGTGGTACAACGTTGATTGTAGTGTAGGTTCTCAGTTCATGCGAATACAATTTCCCGTGTTCTGTTTTGCAGCTGGGAGAATCTTTCCACTGGGGAGTTCGCAGGCACACTCGGTGTCAGTGTCATCGCGACGGAGAAGTGATCTGCTCAAGCAGAAGGGAGCGATTCCATTCTTGAAAACTATCAAATGAATGCAACATCTGAAATGCTGAACAAATGTTGACAAAGAATTAGCAGAAAACGACCATAGTTTTTACAAAATAATGAAATTTTAGAGCAAAGTTTTGCAATCAACTTTTGCAGCAAGTAGGTAAAGGGTAGCTGATATTCTAACAAGACTTTTTGAAGAAGAGAATTTTGACAAGAAAAAAACAGCTTTTATAACAAAGATCGTGATTGGCTAGTTACAGCTCGTGCAACAGAGTTCGTGATTGGCAGATAGATAACTATTAATAATTACCAGAGTTTTGAGTGGCTGTGTCTGAACAACTTGGCTACTGCAGCCAGTAATACACGCATTTATGGGAAGTGGCTTCGGCTGCTTCCATAGCTGCATGTGTAATTGCGAGCCGTAGCCACGTAATTTGGACCCAGCCATACATAGGCTCTGAAATTAGATACAAATTATGAAATTATGTGAATCTCTCAACATGAAAAAATACCCTTGCATACTACACTAGAGAGTGGTAAGCTTATAATAACCGGTGTTAAGTTTAATGAAAAATTTGTTATTAATATCATGAAGTACGTTTGCTTGGCGTCTTTATAGCATGGCAGTTTGATTTTGAAATGTGGTTTCTTTAGTTTATTTTCCTTTTTAGTGTTTTCATACAGTTACCTCAAAGGTATGTTGTAGCACCTCCTGTCTTTGAAATTTAAAAGCTTGTCTCAACCGTTGTATTAATCAAAAAGTTGTGTGCTGGTAGAGAATTACTTTTTTTTTTTCAAATAAGAGTTCACTTCAAGAGTTCAATAACAATGAGTGGAAAGTGAAATATCTCGTATTTGTCTATGCTGAACGGAAAATCGGTGTACAGGAAAGGAAATTTTTGGAAAATATTAATGCTTACATTGAAAATTATGATCTACATATTGAGTAAAAACTTTGATTTCTCAAGTCAAAGAAAAAATTGTACATCACAGAGCCGAATTTGAATGGAAAACATAATTGATATTGCAAGGTTTTAGCGCTAACACCACCAATTGCAGTTGTTGAAACGGTTTTATTCTCATTTCATTTTTTTTAAATTTTCATACGTTTGTAGAATGCTTCATATTCATGTGTGCTGACTTTGGTATAAAAGGTTGTGCTGTGCAGAATAGGCATGTATTTCTTAACAACTGGTAAAAATTATATAATATGAAAAAGAATCAGCTAAGAGCCATAACAAGAGAGAATTTGTACAAAACAGAGAGATTGACGTAAAATCCAACATTTTTAAGGTACATGATGTTGAGAAATTTCTTTTCTTGTTGAAATAAGGGAGGGTAACAACATCAGTTTTCTCTGTTTTACTAGTGTTCATACTTTTTCCTGGTTTTCTTACCTTGCCCCTACTTTTCCTACTTCTTAGTCCAACAACTCCGAAAAATGAAATCTCGTTGAATATTTTTATAACAGTGTTACACACTGTCATATCACACAATGAATGGCTTAGGCGCAGTACTGCAACTGTACTTCCAAGAGCTTAGTTGAGGATGGAGCACAGGTGTTGTGAGTACAGAACATGGCTAAATGAGTCTTATGACGCTGTGGACATGGGTATCAATGAAAACTACCTCTGAAAGCAAGCAAAGGTCCTTCTTTTGTCCTCTTTTTTGTTAAATTTCGATCATATCCTACTTTTTCACCTGGGTCTGCTTTAAAAGCCTGCAACGAATTACATTTGCGAGATATGCACTTTTGATTGACTTACTTTTGCCAACCTAGTTGGAGAAATAGGTCCTAAAATGTCTGCACTCTCAAAAAGCAAAACAAAATAACATTTTATTCATAGGACAAAAGTTAATGGGGTTGTTTCATTTTTTTTATGTGACCAAGAAATGTTTGTTCATTAATCCGTAATCGTAATATTTATGATTGTTCTCATTCCATTAGGATCATAAACATAAATCTAAAGCACCTTCAGTTTTGTAGTTTTGTACTGAAATTGGAATTACTTGAAAGAGCAAGTTTTGGCACCACACATCTTCAGTAGTCCTTACCGTCAATAAATAAATCTTCAATGTGTGTTAAGCTCGGATCTTCGGTGTTCCGGTTTTATTGTATACATGTTTTTGTTGGTAATTGGGCCTTGGGATCGGTTCTGTACATCCTGTTATTACTCATCCTCTTTTATGTGACCTTTGCACGATTGGAGAATGGAGATTTACTGGCAAACCTTTCCATACCAAATTACAGCTTAGCAACCTATGGTAGGCCTACGACGCGAATGCCTCTTGTGGGTGCAGACCTGTAAATTGGCCCAAAATTGCCTACGCGATCCAAATCACAATTTGTGTACCCTAAAAATCTTTGCTAGTATCAGAGCATTTTGTGGGCCATGAACTTGAAGGTTTGTAGAAAAGAAGGGCAGAAGCCGTGCACGTGACTGCAAGCTTTTATTTCTGTGTAATTTGGATGGAATTGGGCCCTAAAAGGGCTCCATTTTGCACTTTAGTGTAGGCATCATTTTCAAGATGATCGATGGGCTTCCGACAACTACTTTTAGAGGGTGGTCATCTTCGGGTGGCAATAAGTTCTCCCAAAAGTTATCAGATTACCCCCCAAAAAATGAACAGAAACTGAAATATTATGAAATAAGCTTTAATTTGATGGGTGTCTCAAACACCTTGGAGAGTTGTTTTCTAATAATTTTGTGGAAGTACCATGGGCGTCAATCCTGGGGGGGGGGGACACAATATCGAATGGCCCCCCCCCCCAGATTTTTGAACTCGTGCCTCATTTACAGGGCCCTATTATGTACTACAATGTATCTTTTGCTAAGAAACTATTGGTTAAAGTGGTCAGAAATTGCATCAGGACGCACCACAGAGCATTTAGAATCCAAAAATTTTCGGGGCCCTCAGACCCCGAACCCCACGCCTTTAGCTTAGAATATAGTAGTTTATTCAATGATTTCAATCTCGAAAATGATTTTCAAATTATTATCTTTTGCTGGGAAGATATAGAGCATCTAGAATCAATTTTTGTCGGGGCCCTTAAGCGGGCCCCGAACCCCATGCCTTTAGCTGAGAATATAATAGCTTATTATTCAATGACTTCAACTTCGAAAATGATGTTTAAATCATTATCTTGTGCTCAAAAAATATTGGTTAAAGTGGTCAGAAATTGCCTCAGATCACACCACATGAGCATCTAGAATCCGATTTTTTTCGGACCCCGAACCCCACGCTGTAAGGGCTTCACACTTCGCGCTTGCATTATTTCTGATCAATGTGTGTTCCCCCCCCCCCCCAATTTTGAGAAGCGATTGACGCCCCTGGGAAGTACGCGTAATTACCATAGGGGTCTATGGGAGTCGAAATGCAGGTCTGCACCCTTGTTGGTGCGATTCTCTTTTGTTTTAATAATTAGGCCTGTAGTGATTGCGCTCCAAGATCGAATTGTGCACGCAAGTCATTATATGGATACTCGAACAAATATTCTAGAGATGTAGGACCTACACCTACACCTATTTTTTTGGAAAGAGTTCATTCGATCACATAGCAAGGAATCATCATTGGCAGTCCTACTGACAAAAAAAACGGTGGGATTGTTCGACCGTTTAGTCTTAGTTCAAGACGTGCTTTTTCGGACTTTCTGTCCCGTAACTTCACTATAGTGCGCCATTCGCTCGTACCCCCCGACCTGCAAACAGGACGCTGGGATACTCTGATGAATTCGCGCTCTGATTGGTTGGATATTGCGTGACCAGTGACCTGCGCGTCATCAAGGTCATGATTCTGCATGGTTTGAAACGGCAGTTAAGACTGATTCATTACTCTTTTATTCCAGTTTAGAGATGTTTTTTTCTCGTTGAAAAAGCGTACTAATGTAGGAAATTATGTAAAACTTATCTGTGTTGTAAATTTACAATTCCCGTCAGTTGCTCAGGCTCCGTTTCGAGTCACGAACGGTCGGATTGCATTATGCGACGCTCAAAATGTTGTTCCTCATGGTCCGCAATGAAACAGAAATCACATCCGGTATGGAATGTGCGTAATTCTATGGAAAGTTTCGGATAGCATTTGAGCACATTGTGTAAATGCGGTCTTGAACAGCTGCAGCCTGATGCTTTATACATAGGTCATAGGCCATTTCCTTTACAAGATTTTGTGAAGCTGATCAGAGTATCCCAGCGTCCTGTTTGCAGGGCGGGGGGTACGAGCGAATAGTGCGCCAGTGATCCATGGCCACCGGCAGAGAGCGCTTCTTCGTTCATTCATTTCACTCAAGGGTGCACCCTTGCGTTAAAATTCCAATAGACACTAGTGCTAAATGCCCATACTTCAAAATTCTTTTAAAAACACTCAGAACTCTCACAGGTATTTAAGCTGCACAGAAATTATGATCAACACGTCATCTTTCATTTTTTTATCATTTTTTGGTGGGTTGACCATTGACTTTTCGAGATATTCTCACCCACTGGAGAAGACGACCCCCATTTGCCCCTAAGCGGAAAAGTAGCTATCTTGAAAAACGATCCCTCCACAACATGGCAAAATAGCGCCACTTTCGAGCCCAATTGTATCCAAAATGCTCAGAATTTGAAGCCCCAAGTCCGGGCCAGATGTTCATTGCCATATCTCTTCAATGCCCAATTTTATGGCTCTCAGAACTCTCTAATATAGAATATTTTGAGGGTATAACTTTTATTCATGAGCTCGGCGGATGGATTTAGGCCTATTTACCGGTGTGCACCCTCGAAGGGCGCTATAACCATGGAGCTAACCGCCAACCTCTTTCACAAAAACTAGTGAAGAAATTACAGGCGTCGCAACTTTGTGGGCAAGTCGTTTGTCACTGAAACAATAATGTGCATGGTGTATCCATGCATGCCAGTGATATGCAGGGAACTCCATCGATGAGGGTGATGAATGCACTGAGCCTCGCGCTGATCACACGTCACTAAGTCTTTGTTTACACGTGTGCTTTCTTTTGGTTTCGTAGCCCATAGCAAAGCGCACAAGTAAACAAAGTGTGACGTCATCAGTAGGCCTACCGGCTTATTGTGTAACACGAGAGTATAGTACATGAACATTGTACTTACCGAAACAGTAGTTTTGCAAGGGCGGATCCAGGGGGGGGCAACCCCCCCCCCCCCAAAAAAAAAACGAAACCAATTTTTTGTTTTTGTTTTTATGTGACATCGCAATAAAGGCAGGCAATGAGTACCCCACCATCTTTTCCTCCAAAAAAACATTGGTTACAGTGGTCAGAAATTGCCTCAGATCGCACCACAGAGCATCTAGAATCAAAAAAAAAAAATTGGCCCCCCCCCCCAAATTGTGTTCTGGATCCGCCCTTGTAGTTTTGTCGTATCGGTCAGTGCTCTGTCTTAAGTTTCGTGAGCTTAGTTGGTTTTGGGGTTTTTTTTGTCTCAGAAATGTTGCCTGATACGGAGGAGACCGACTCACAAAATCATGGGTAATTCACACAACCTAAGACAAATCTGTTGGTGGCGCGTGACGTGGCGCCTTATCGAGTAGCGCGATGACTCACGTACGTCGATCGCTATATACTCATTTTCTAAAACATGATGCGTAACCTGAAATGAACTTTGGCAAGTTGAATTGTTTGGAAGCGTTGATATTCACATAAAAGAAGGCCGAGAAAATAAGTCTTAACAACACAGTAGCAGTTTTAATATCCTTTTGTTTTTCTATTCTGTTTACACATTAAACAAAATGTCGCAAGGGTGCAAAGTTTCTACCAACAGTGCATCGTGAGCATAGACTTGATGTAAGATAGGCATATAGGAAGGCAATGGTTTTGTCAATCTGAGTGAAACCTTTCGTGCATTCATTGCTACTAAAAATAACACAGTCCCTCTGAGACTTTCCAATTTTTGCCATGTCCCTTTTTAACGCGAGATGAACAAAGGGTTGAATCTCCTCTTTAGAATGACACCTTGATCATGTCCTTACATTCACGGTTGACTGAGCAGTGACCAATTTAATGAAAGGGTCTATTTAGAGACTTGTGCCGAAAGTGGCGCAATTCTCTAAAATAGACCCTTTCATAAAATTGGTCATTACTCAGTCAACCGTGAATGTATATGACATGACCAGGGTGTCATTTTAAAGAGGATAATCAACCCTAATAGAAGATATCTCCCTTTGATTACCATGTGCCCTACTTCTGTTGCAATTAGCAATAATATCTCGGTTTCGTTTTTTTATCCACCCTGTATAGACCCCATAATTAAAACGTAACACGATTTACCATTGACTCGCGCAAAATAATCATATTACAGTGCATGTCGAAACCGTCAACCTGAAATTGTGACGAACAATACAAGCCATCCGTCCGTCCTGTTTCCTAGCCTTTTGACGCATTTACGTAGGCCTACTATTGTTTGAGATTTAAAAAAAAAACCGCACCATTGCCTATGGTATCGGTATCATGTGGCCTTGGTAATGCGTTCCTTTTTATTTCCTTTTAAACCTTTCAAAATGATTTTGTCAATGATGACGCAGCGGAAATCGCCCATGCAAAGCGATGTGGACTTTTACATTTTTGTGCCGAAGTTCGTTCACAAAATAGTAACCGCGGTATACTGACAATGAGTCATGACTGTATAATATATACCGAAAATTCAGGTAGGCTACCTTGAAATACCAGTTGAAGCGCAACGTATACACTGTACAAACGTGCATGCAGAAGTATAAAAGTAATATTACAAAGTTAATTAAAGGAGTTTTGAATACAGACATAGAAAAAGAAAGCAAATTGAAAACAAAACTTGGCTTCCTGTCCGGTCCGATCCAGACGACGGCGCGGTACGGGCCGCCGCATCATGCAATAACAGCGAATTATGTCATAATGCACAATGCACATGTATGTCGTACTGCGAATCACCCACGTACAATACAGTTTGGGAGTACCATGGATGTAGAATGGAAGTACAGACACAGAAACAAAGCTTTTGCTGTCCGACATACTAGGAGGGCCAACGCTAAATTTACGCTCATCATCATTTTAATCTCATATCGAACGAAACCACCGTGATACTGATACATCTACGTGGCTAGCTACGCCTCAGTGAACCGTGTTTTCCCTGCATTTCTAGTTTTACGCCTACGTTGATGCTTGGCAAAGTCCCCACATCGGGATCATAATCACGCCATGAGGTTGCATGTAAGATAATATAAAAAAAAATGCAGAATAGTTCTTGTAGACAAAGTTCAAATGAATCCTGAAATAAAATGCTGGATGTAATATTATAGCCCAGTGCGTCAGAATCTTTTAATATGAGGCGATTTTTCCCACTGATCATTATACTGGTACTTTTAGTGGTAGCCTACGCGACAGTCCTTTAACGAATTATAAGTCTCATATTGCATTGCAGGCTGGGAAAATAAATCGATTCAGGACCCACTGTCTCTTAGATCACTCGTTACAACTGGAAAGGAAAGATAGGCGCAGTATTAGTTTGTCAAGTTTTGTTCCTTCTTAATTGCTGCGTGCAAATTAAACTTACTAGTTGCCGGATAGTTGTTCAGTGCCGCACCGTGAACCATAGAGCAAGGACATCCTGTGCGCATGACCTCCCAAGGCCCAGAATGATGCGGAGGATTCGTCACTTTCACTACCTATGTGCAAGTGATTTCGTTGAAGCGCAAACGTTTGAAAAGGCGTCAACAGCGGCTCATTGTTTTTTTCTCTGAACGAATTTTCAACTCGTATGTTTTAATTTGTCTCGGGAAAAAAAACACTTTTGCCCAATTTTGCGTATGTAGCCTACCCTTTGGGAAAAAAATCCCCCTGCGTTGACCCTGATTTTGCAGGTCCGCCTTGTATGAGCTATGGAACTGGACTGGTATATTTCCTGTCTTTTTTATCGTATATGAGAGGCGAAAATTGAATTATTGTTGGGGCCGGCAAATACTTCGAACTTTGTATTAAGTTATATCATTCCATAATTAAAGTATGCCGATTTGTATGTTCTTTTTTCTCATTCCATTTCCAAAGTTTCGAAGAACTTGCAACTGAGAAAAAAAAATCGATTCGAAACGAAATTGAGGTGAAACTCGACAAGAGCATCATCATCAGGAGTTTGGGACAATAATTTTATGCCAACAAATGAATTTTCTCAGAAATAAGCCTATTAAGCTAAATTTTTGAATATAACAAAACGGTTTGAATATAATAAACAGAAGGTTTGGGATGAAAAAAATAAATTAAATTTCCACAAGTACTGAAAGATACAGAAATAGAAAATCTGATTCCAAAACTTTTTTTCAAAAACTTTTTTAATCAATTCTTTACTTGGCCGCGCTGCCGACGCGTCCCACCCTCGATGATGCGTCGGTCCACACCTTTTTTATTTGGTATTTAATTAAGAAGTGTTCAATTTAAATGCAGTTATTAGTTACAGCATGTGTTGTAAACGTTTTTGATCATTCACAATGCCCGAACAAGCGGCGGATAATGTACATAGGTATACATGTACAATATTCTCTATTGCTAGTTGTGTGCATCCGTCCTTGTGATGGCGCAAGGGTCTATTTTTGTCAAAACGCATGGACATTCCACTTACTGTCATCATCCCTCTGCGCAATGTGTTATGAAATACATAATTGCCAACAAAACCATTTAATTGAAATTTCTTTGAGAATATTTGTAGTGAAAATGTTGTATTTGATCTCTTCTATTTCACAATACTGAAAATAATGTATTTCAAACATTAAAAATGTATTTATTTAAACACAAGTGCTCATGAGCACTCGGTAAATAAACCAGCGTCAATCGAGAAATTGACCAATGAGGAAATAGCTCGTAGAGGGGGTCTATCAATTGACGCAGCCTAACCCGCCATGCATGTAAATGAAGTCTACATTTTTTGTGTGAGTTGTTCATGGTGCACGAACGTACGATCTGCGTACGTAGTATAGTATACAGTGCGCGTATTGCCGGGCAATTTACATGTAAAAACATAGCATCACACACTTTATATACGCGACGACGACGGATCAATGAAGAAAAGAGTCGCCATTTTAGCCAAGCCTACCCCTCGATTTCGCTGCTAAGTATGGGCATAAAGGAACCCTGAATTGGAGCTTTCTCGCACAGAAGGTCAAGTGTTGTCCTCGTTCCTGTCGACTTCGTCATTTTGAGACGGGGAAATAGTGAAAAAGGAGCGCCGAAGCCGAAAAAATAAAAGGGTGTTTCCGCGATTCCGGGTCGGGCCCGACGTGTTTGCAGAAGGAACGTGGCCCGAATGGTCACGTGGTAATTGCGGCTTTTTTCTACGACGTCCATGGATCACACGAGCAACTTCTGCACGCTTTGAGAGAAGTGTTTTTAACTTCGGGCTTCAGAAGTTGGCTGTTTTTCCTAAGAGAGAGGTGTGTTTCTGTAGAATTGCGGAGTATTTTCGTCGACTTGCGTCATTTTAAGTAAAGAATTGTTCGAATTAAATGTCGGATTTTCGCGGGAAAAAAATGTCAGGAAGTTGTTGTGTCACGTGCATGTATGTTGTGGTTGTGGTGGTTGTCAGGCTGTTTAAAAAATAAGTCATGGTTGTAATTTTATGAATGAACCCCTACCGTGATTTTTGGGGGAAACAAATACAAATAATTTTCTTGAACAAATAACAGCATTCTTATCAAGTATTTTTGGTCAAGTAACATGACATTGTCACTTTCATTGTCACAACAAGGTAGGTCAGCATGGTCATGGGATATGGATGTAGATGTCTGGTTGTGATTTTAACTTGTGCTGTAATAATTAACTATGATTTAATGTCATGTATTGAAGCTTGATATTAATGACCTAGTACGTCTATCAAATTTTGTAGGCAGCATTAGCTGGTTAATTTTTCTTAGTTGCCTGTGGACACAACTTAAATTGTGTCATTTGTTCCAATGGGCATGAGCAGGGGGATCGGATCAGGTTGGCATAGCGGCACTTTCCTCGCCTTCCACCACTGTGACCCGGGTTCAAGTCCTGCTTTAGCCAACATGTGGATTGGGTTTTCAGTCCCAGCCTGATTCCGTGGGTTTTCCCTAGAATACTAGAAAACTGTATATTCCACGTCTTCTGTTGGATGTTGTCTAAATAAATAAAAATTAAAAGTGTGACAAATTTAAGCTAAAGTCGGCTAGATTCAGAACTTGCACTTGCAGTGATCTTACCCCAGGATGTTCAAACAATTTTGAGTAAAGTGAACTGAGACAAATGTTTTGGATAATTTGCTTTTCTTTCTTTTTTCTATTTTTTTGCCCTATGTTTTAAAATTGTATTTCAACTGTAAAAATGCAACCTCTATATTGAACAAATTAAGTTGAAATTGCCCTTTTTTACTTTTTCATTTCTTTAGTCTCGATGCCTTGGTGGTGTGTCGGCCATCTCCAGGCTGTGCTGCATGGCTGCAATGGCTCCAGCCTTGACTGATACTTCTGCCCATCCTTCTAGTTTCAAGCTACCAATCTCGCCCTCTGATCCAGAGAGGACCGGGTTTGAAGCGACACCCAGCGATCCAACTAGTCCTGGGTTACCCAACGGCCATACCAACTCCACTCGCACCCACATCGACACAGAACAAACCATCCAGGAATCAGGGTTAGACAAAGATTTATTGTTAGAAGAAGGGATTGAGGACCAGTTAAGAAGCAACAACCACAGGTCTAAAATCCGACTATTTCGAACAAACAATCAGAGAGGTAGAAGCCAGTCTGACACCAGAGTACCGTTTCTTGGGAAATTGGACAGGGGAAAGGTAGGCAGGACACTTACCTTTCCCTCGCCAACCAGGGTTCCTGGCCTGACGAACGGGAGTGACGTCCCTGCTCAGCACGTCACAAAGATGAGTCATTCGACTGTTTCAGGAGCATATGATAAGCAGCAGCCTTGTCCAACAAGTGCACACTTGGCTTCAACCAACGCCATGCCTCCAGAAACCTCATCACTTTCTTTGGCAAATAACACTGACGTGATTGGTAGCAGTTCCACTGCCACAGCAGATTCGTCTGATGCGGACGATGACACTAGAGGTGGGCAAGTAGACTTCCCACCTACTGATGAAATTGATTGTGGCGCCCATCGGGATCTTGATATCTGTTATGAGAAACTGGTCTCTAAAATAAATAAACAAAACATGGAGGGATGCATTGGAGATGGCAGAAGCAGTGGCAGAAACAGTGACCTGTTTACAGAGCTTCTGGAGACTGGACAAATAAACGAAGTTGCAGAAGAACGCTCTAAACTAGCACAGCGTGCAAAGCAGCTTGTCCATAAGCTCAGACATCTTCAGACGCAGCAAATCAGTTCACACACTCAACAACAAATCAGTACCTTTGTGACAGAGCAGCACAAGAGGTCTGAGGAAAAAACAGCTGAGTTGGAAGCAGAAGGTTGCTCAGATTGCAAGAGGAACTTGGCACTATCAAATGTTTCCAATACACATGGTCCGTCAACATCCCAAAAGGGCTTCAATGCAAATGGTAATACACTCGTTGAGGACCCCAAAGATCAGCAGCCACGAACTTGTATCCATAAACGGAAGCTGTTGCCTGCTAGACCAGTTGATGTTGACACCTCGGTGAGGGTTGTCGTGAAAACGGCAAGCAAACGTCTCCGTGCAAAGTTGGAGCATGTTGAAAGCTGGGTGGACTCTGATGAAACGGAAAGCAGCTCAGGAGGAGAAAGCTGTGATGAAGGAGATGACACACTCCCATCCTACACACAAACCCGGCAAAAACACAAAGTACCATTGTAAGTTTTATGAGTATAGTGGCATTGTGAGTTCTCTATGTGTCATAGGGCAACGTCAGAAATGAGTGCGGTAGAAAGAAATGCACCAATGCCTCAAATTTGGTGTACTTCAACTCTTAACTCCCTAGGCAGTTTTGCTAGGATGTAACATCAATCCTGCAAAATCCTCCAACTGCCTCCATGTAAAAATAGCCTATAGCCTCAATCTCCAAAATCCTCGGTTATTTCTTGAATGAGGTCATTGGAGGGGTGACCACTGCCTCAATCCTGCGAAATCCTCTGGTAATCCTCTCGTAGTCACTGTCTGTGTGTTGAGGCAGAGCCAGTGCCATCCTGGAGCAGTGCAGAGGATTTCAAGTACATGAAAAATATGGGCCTAAATTTATGCATAGCTGAGCATAAACAACACAAGGTCCGGCCTTAGACCTTGACACAGTGCATCATCCGAAATCAGCCACACACTTTTGCCATATAGCCTCAACCCTGCAAAATCCTCCATTTTGCAAGGAGGATTTTGGAGGATTTGGGAAGCTTGGGGTTAAATTGAAAATGCCTTCTAAACATTCCATTTGAATTAGTCTTGAAGACCTTTTTGCTTGTCCACTGCTGGGATCCACTATTCCAAAGTATATTTTTTCCCTCACTGTTGCCATACCAAAATAAGGCCATCAAGAAACTGATAAACCGGGTTAATTTTCATCAGCTTTTAAATTATGAAGCCTGCTAAACACAACAACCAATTATTTTGTAGGTGCTCAGATCAACAAAATGGAAGTGAGCGTCTTCAGCGTAAGCTGTTCTTCTTGTTTTATGCAAGAGGGTAAGCATCGACAATCTAATAATACACTAATTTTGTTGTCCCATTCGTTTATTTACAACAGGCATCGAAGAGCTGTGTGGAAGTGGGCCGTTGAGAGAGCTGCCATTGCTAGTCGATGGACGTGGCTGCAAGCACAAGTCTCTGATTTGGAGTATCGCATCAGGCAACAGAGTGACATCTACCGACAGACGCGTGCGAGTAAAGGCGTGGCAATTCTGGGGGAACCCTCATCACCGGAGGATCTTCTGAAAGTACGAGTCATGACATCAACTAAGACCAATAGGAAACTCTCTCCCATCGAAGCCAAGATCGCAAGACTTGGCAGCAACCAGGAAATGTCCCCCTCAAACTTGTCCACTTTGCTAACCAATGTCGACCAGCAGAGTGCAAGATTAAAGAGATCCCTTCAGAACTGTGTCACTCCTATGGCGGGATACCCAATGCCCCCATCAGCTACCAGTACACCAACAGGCACCAATGGGAAAACGCCACCAACCAAACCCATGAACGGCATAGTAGGCAGTACCAGCTCACATGGGAGTCCTATGTTTGGTAGCACAACATCATCACAGGGGAAAGATCATAAACAATTGCCAACAGGGATTAACTCCTTCCCTTCCTCCCCATCCCTCATGCCTGCACTGTCTGAAGAGCATTACTGTGCAAGGACACGACCAGTCTGGTACTTCCGCAAGCGCAAACTGATCCGAACGTTGAACATTCACGGCTTCGGTCGCAAGATCCAGAAGTTGTCGACAGTGAGGTGTGGCTGCCACCCACCCCTTACACCGTGTGTGATGTGTGGCGGCCGGTTCAATCATGTGGAGAAGTGTAAAGAGCCAGACACGGCCCCACTTAATGAGAGAGTGGCTCAACTAGACTATTCCTTTCATCCAGTGCTTTCTTTCCCTCAAGGTAACTGGAACTTGGGCAACTGATTTGCAGCCTTTCTGTTGTGTTACTTTAGTTCACTCTCAGTTTGAATCCTTGCCCTTGTTTTTGCTACACATAGACAATTTGATTTTCTAGTAGAAGTGCCTCTATTAAAGGGACAATGGCCTTACCCCTCAGAAGTAACATTCCAAAACTACACATGTTGTCTAGTACATGCAATACAGTAGACCACCACTAGAGAGAACACTGCTATACCGAACATTTAGCCAAAACACACTTCTTTATCTTTTTAACTTCATGCACAGATATACCAAGCATAAGCGACCAAAAAACACTTCAACAAACAACTGCTAGACCACAGTCTTTTGTGGATTGTGTTAATTATTATTCATTTACATTCCACCAGCTAGAAAATATGGAGGCTTGCAGATCAGCTCGTTTTCAGACAAACATACCATATTGGCATGGCAAAAAAAATCAGCCCGAATTGTTGCAAATACAATAGACAATAAATTTATCACATTCAAGATTTAGCAAAGATGGTTTCATCATAAGGGACTCTTTCGATCAATGAGGTTTGACTCCTATCTGTCCATACAAACAGTGGCAATTTCAAACTTGAGTTCATGCTCAGAAGATGGGAAACCTAATTGTTTCATCTTTGTTGTTGCTCCCACTAGATATTCCTCTGTCAATTCAGTTTGAAGGAATGATGAAGACTAGCGAATGGCAGCGCAAGCCAGCACCGTCAAAACAGTCGCCCATGAGGAAGTAAGATCATCATCAAACTGACTAAATTTAATTGATTATGATGTATTGTGTACTGCTAATTTAATTAATGGGTGACATCCTATTTCGGTGAATCTTACTCATTTTATTGAGGGTTAAAATGGATTGTCTTTCAATCACATTAACCCTCCTATACGTATACATTCTGAGCCAAGTGGTCCTTTCAGTCAGACTCAAACAAGTGACCGTCTTCAACAGTTAAGAGGAATGACTGGCTAGGACTGTTAAAATAACTTGATACAGCTATGCTTTGACTCCAGGTGAGTGATAAAACAGCTGTGACCGCAACTTGCCTGCTTTGTCTGTTGACCCACTTTGACTAGTAACAGTGCTTGCTTGACATGTGATCTGACTACTGGTGACTAGCCTTTGTTAAAAGTATAGCAGGGGAAGTGGAAGTGAATGTTGACTGTCTGTGACTGTTTAAATAGCAGGAGTGTTAATAAAGCGATTGATTAGATTTGGTAGATAAAGTTTTAAGTCACATTTTTGACATTGGAGAAAGAGAAATTTTGTGTTCTGCACTCCTTGCCAACATCAGAGTGGACACCACACACAATAATCAAACGGTGGAATCATTTGCACTGGTTTGAAAATAGATTTGTGTCTACTTCCAAGTCTTGAGTATTTAATGCAACTGTTTATGGCTTCATAGGAAGCGTCGACCAAGTACACCGACAGAAAACAAAGATGGACAGAGGCCAAAGAGGAAGTACGAGAGGAAGAATAAAGATAAAACAAAACTACTCCAAAGCTCCGGGGAAGACAAGTCACTCAAAATGCTCCGCAAGCTGGCTGCCCAGAGTATGTATCCAACTTCTTCTTTTTTTCTATCTTCTATTTAAGCTTACTCAGGCCAAACAAAAAAAATGGTGTGTTTACGGTAACCCGACCAACCTGGAATTTTTTCGGCCAAATTGCCGACCTCAAACTTTTTATTGCCATTTTGAAAGTTGATATTGATCATTTTTAATGAACAAAATTTCAAGTACTTTTAATTATTTGCCACGAACATAGACCATTTTCCACACTTGAAACTGACCATGATTTGACACAAACATACCTGTGTTAAACGTGCGAAAATCACGACGATCTCAAAACTTGAATTCTCAAACTAGGCCTACATGAAGTACGATTATTTTTGCACAAACGCATCGGGGTGAACTGTTGCGCCTGGCCGACGGACGGCATGGTTCTCCAAACGTGCGTACTGCGAATCGGCCCGTCAAAAATGCCGATCACATTTTTCAGCCCCCGATACGCATAATATAATTATTATTCACGCCATTAAAATGCACAATATAATCGTTACATATGCCATTATTTCATCTTGACATTCAAAACCTTGACAAAAATCCTGTTTTTCTGATGCATGTGTGATCAAAATGCACACGATGACGGGTTCTGTCGACCGCCAGCTGACAGGCATGCAGTGCATACAGCACGGGGCACTGGTTCCCTTCGCGTGCTAACGGAATCAATACTTTAACCCTTACCCTACTAGACCCTCCAACGCATGCCAATATGTGCCTCAAGAAAATCTCCTATGTTTTTTGCATGGCCCTCCAATATCTGCCATGTCATTTCAAGGGTAACTGGACAGGCACTCCAATACATGCCACAGAGAACAATGAGAGTCCTCTGATAACAAAGTGAGTGCCCCCAGCTGGTCAGTATCAGGCACCCTCCAGGGCCTCCAACTCCTGCCAATTGGAGCCTTCACAGTCAAGATAGTTTATCCTCCAATTAACTGCAGCTGGAGGGCATTGGCATAACCAACTGACATGCAGTAAACTACCCTCAGAGAGTAAGGGATAATGAAGAACCGGAACCAGTGACTACTGCCTATACAAACGTCGTACCACGATGATGTTGTGCCGTCGGCCGAAGTTGGATCGTAAAAATACCAAACAAACATCGATGGAGAAAGAGAATTTCTGCGAATTAATTCACAGAACGTGATCTTTATTTTCTGTGTATGTGTTTTCCAATAAAATGACAAGATTGCAAAGCTCGAATTTGTGGCGTAACATCGTAGCGTGTTTCTACAGTAGTGCAAGTTTTTCGGCCACGTGGGATGGGCCGTACACAGTGCAGTAATGCACACTGATACTGGACCGTGAGCACGGCGGGATGTACGGCCGGCCAGACTGAATGTCGGTGGCGCCAGCGGCCATGATGTATGTTAAGCAAAAAAAAGTGGAATCACCCACCTCAAAAATATTTTTTATTAGGTGAGGCAAGTTTTAATCACTTTTGATGGCCAGTCTTGATAATTTTCATGGCGCAAATGAAAATAATCCAGGCACAAAATCAACATGATTCCTTGCTCTATGATGCTCCAGCAATCAGCACCCCAACAAAATTGGCGAAATAATTTTTCCGACCTATTGACGCTATTTTGAAAGGCATGTAATCGGAAGCAAAATGATTTTTTCTTCACTATAATTTCTTAATTTGAAACTTACTTGTAAATGTAATTTTGATTTTTTTTCTTTAATTACAAAAATAGGGGCCTACACGATCTTCTCTCAAAAATTTTTTGGGCCCTTAAAAAGCAGGCCCCAAACCCCAAGCCATGGCTTCACAGGTTGCTGAATCACAGCAAAACTTCCCCCACAGGTTTGAAAAAATCCCGGAAAGAACCCTGGGACGGTACGAATTATTGGAATGAATTGTATCGATTGAGTATCTTGAATGCTTGAATAATGTTTTTATACAAATATTTTGCGAAAGAACACGCATGAGCCTGCAGAACTGAAATACAAAATAAAATATTTCCCTACCTACCTACCTGGATATTTTTCAGACCGTTACCGTAAACACCATTTGTTTTGTTTGGCCTCAACATTTCAACTTCTGTTCTTGTGATGTTGGTTGCATTTCCCATCAGTAGGTTGTTAGTGATACAACTTGGCTGACAATGTGGCAGAGAAAGGCCCTAATATTGAAATGATTTCTTGAAAAAAAAGTAAAACATCAGAAATGATCCTATGTCTGAGGTGTATTGACTGGGTGGATGTAAGTACAATTTCAAAAACTCTATACTTGGCCATTTTCTACCAGATGTGCAATTCATACACCGAAAGTCACTTGTGAGCCCATTTCCCATAACCTTTCCAAGATTCGTCAAAATTCATCAGGTGGTTTGGGAGCATTTTTTAGAATTTAGGGAGTGCTCAGTCACAAGCTACTTCACATGGAGCTTGATGCCAATTGTATTTCAATGACCAGGAACATGCTATAAATACTGTTGGGTACTGTAACAGTCATGAGTTTTGGATTCCCAGAAATCGGAATAGGCCAAGAGAATTTGGTACACCTACTTTATGTCAATTGTTACATATACACACTCTTAAGCAAACTGTATACAAGTATACAGTTTTCAGTCTGTTCAGTGCAAATCGGTGACTTCTCTTTTGTCTAAAATGCATCCTGCAGGCCACAGAAGATATAAAAAATCTGTCTCGAGAAAAAAGTCAACAGGTCATGGATCTATATTTCTTCTTATAACACCTCACCCACAGATTCTGTGTCTTGATTGGCCGAGAGCGAGTCACGTTACTTTCTAATTTTGCTATCTTTCTGTGCACGGCCAAAAGTACTATGCGCATAGCAACCAAAGTACTATACCATTAGCAACCAAAGTACTATTTCCACGGCATGGTATTTGTGTGCAAATGCATGCTGGTGTGTGCGTTGTGCGTAGCGCGTATTATTCCAAAGAGAGCGCGCCGCAGACTTGGGTTCAAACATTTCGTGAAGGGGTAGTTTTTAAGAGAGAAATACATTTTCCACCAATTTTGTATTGAAATTGAAGTTTTTTTCAACTGTGTTCAGATTTAAATAATTTCAAATATTAAAATCAAGCAGAATCTGTGGGTGAAGTGTTATAAAACAAATATTGAATGCTTTATCTCGTGGTGAAGTAAAACTAGCCTCCCGAGGTGATCCATGGACCATTCTATTTTCCCGAGGCGAAGCTGAGGGAAAATAGAATGCTATGCTTCATGGATCACCATAGAAGTGATCCATGGACCATTCTATTTTCCCTCGGCTTCACCTCGGGAAAATAGAATGGTCCATGGATCACCTCGGGAGGCTAGTTTTACTACACCACTCGAAGCATTCAATATTTGTATAATATTTGGTCTAAAGTTACTTACTTGGTTTTTTTATGAAAGCCTGCATCTGTACGCAGAGTAGGTCAGCTAACTGTATAATTAGATGTAGTCTGTCTCTGACAAGCGGACAATATTTCCTATATTACCTACAGCAATGAAAGACATGAGACACGGCAGAGGGGACAAGAAGATCCTGAAGCGGTCCAAAGCCAACTCGCTACCCAACACCCCCAAGAAACTGCTGTCGGAGGAGATCAATAGACGATGCCGCACAGATATCAAGAAGAGAAGAGCTGCCCAGCTGGCTATCGGTGAGTAGTTCAATTAGGATAAGGTTGCCTAACGTCAAGGCTCTACTACCTTGTTGAAAACAAGCAGGAGATCCTAACCCCCTTATAGTTCCCAGGACTACCCTGCTAAATCAGTCCGACGGTAACTAATATGAGTTCCCTGCGCAATCCAACACAATCCAACATGCCAAGATGTTGGGTACCTGAAAATATAAAATGACTGGCCTGCTCAATCCAACAGAATCCAACTTTGCCTTATTTTTCTGTTGTTTTCTGAGTCCAACCTAATGTAGCACAATCCAACTGTCCATATTATTGGTTACATGCTGAATCCAACAGAGTCCAACTTGGCATTATTTACCCAGTACCCAACAGAATCCGACTATGAATGTTTTCAGTTGCCTGCGGAATCCAACAGGAATATATACAAGGTCTTTTAATGCTCAATCCAAGAGAATCCAATGGAAATGTAAAATAGTTGGATCCTGTTGGATTGAGCAGGGTATGGGTTTTAACAATGTGTCCAAGAGACGGATGGTCTACAGACTTTGTGCATGCGATACATCACTTTGTGGTACAAACGGTGATTTATTGAGAAAATTCTTGGCCTTTTTAGTTTCTGGACCATTATACTACTCACAAATATTCCTATGAGAGTGTGGAAATTACTGATAGGTCAGGTTACTACAGCGTCATGTTTTTGCAATGTGACCATGCTTTGGTGTGTTCCTCTTTTATACACAAAAGATGCACGCTGTTTTTTTATGATTTTATGCCTACATATTTAGAAATACTTTTTACATATCAGACTCTAACTTTGATCTGCATGAGCCAGTTTTCATGGTACATAAGTGCAGGAGAAATGCCCTTGTATGACTCTTGTCGGTAAACCACAGAGTGCCTTCATTGGCTCCAGTAGTCATGGAAATGGGGAACATAAAACAAGACAAGTTAACAGTTTCATGCATTGAGAGAAGTTGACTTTACCAGGAATGAATTCTGAGATGGCTGGGCTACCTCTCTAAGCACTCTTCCCACAGCACCATTGTTTCACATTTGGTCGTTCAATTTACAGTACTCGCGGTACTTTGAGATCAGATTTCAGTTCAATATCCTGTTGTTGGATATGTACTCTCCTCCTTGAAGTTGTAAAAGTATCAGTCAGTATTTTCTTGATGGTAATTTGTAACTATAAACTCTTGTGTGCAGCTGCTCTCAAGAAGACACGAGCCCGCAGTCTCTCCCTGCCAAACATCAACGACCACTTTCATCACGGCATCATGTCTAGTGCTCCAAACACCCCGACGGGCATGGAAAACAGTTCATCGGCACACCTGTCGCACTCCATGCCCTCCAACTCCCTGCAGAACTTCCTGAAGCCGCGCCGGCCCGGCGGCAACTCTGACCAGTACGACATTGACAACATTGTGATCCCCTACTCCATGCTGGCCTCCACACGAGTGGAGAAGTTGGAGTACAAGGAGATCATGACGCCCAAATGGAGGAAGATCGCGGAGAATGAGCTGACGGCATGGAAGAATCACGTCCAGGAGGTGAACAATATTGAGGTAAGGCTGGTGGCAGAGGTTGTGAAAAAAAAAATATGGGTGAGAAGATCAAGGATCATTATCAAGGATTTTCTAAGTTGTGGACAGTTTTGGTTCCGTTAGAGAGGAACTCATATGCTCGTGTACCTGTGGGGTGTGACCTTTGGGGTGGAGGTATATGCTTCGTGGATTCTGAGATGATCCAGGGGCTGATTTCTCCAAACTCGTCTTATCTTGGACTCATCTTACGAAATAAGACAAGTTCCCGCTCTAAGATCGATCATAGCTAAGATGCGACCAAAGATCTATTTCACTAAAGGTATCTTAACCTGACCCTGCTAAATGCAACAGAATGCACCAATGTTGCAAGTTGTTGCATTTAGCAGCCTCCTGATCTGATGCATTCCACCCCTGCATTCCGTTGCAGTTGGCAGGGTAGGTACTTGGTACCAAAGCTGGCATGTTTTAGTTCACTGCATTCTGTTGCATTTGGCAGGGTGCCTAGAGAATACCCCGTGGGGATTAGGGTTATGCAAGACGTATCGGAAATACAGTTGTTGGAATGCTGTTTCGCGTTTGTTTTTACCGCTTGAGGAAACTGTATTTCCTCCTCTTGCGTTAAAATTAGCTTAGAAACTGTCGTGAAAATATACCCTTAGGCTGAAACTCGCCTTTAAAGTTCCTTAGAATATGTTGTTTTCTTCCACCTCAATTGAAAGGGTGTCCAGTAATGCTTAGTGGTTAAGGAACATTTTGCACAGATATGAAAAGGAGTTTGTGGGGAAAAAATGTGCAGCCTTGCGTAATATTGAAATTTGCAAAGAGAATTCATGTGTTATCTTAAGCACTGAGAGCTATTATAGAAATGCCTCTTTCATTGCATGAGTGACTCACAGTCAGCAAGCCCTTTGGTTTAGGAAACCATATTTTCAAACAAGTCTGTAGAAATTTCATTTGTATTGTGCACAACTAAGTGTGGAGAAAATGACTCATCACATTGAACAAAGACTTACTTTCTTGGACTGAACCGCAGAATTTTGCTTCACTGCGTATCATTGGGTGATAGTTGTATGCAAAACATGAGGATGGTAGGGCTGTTAGTTGTTTTAGTTGCTGTTCTTTTAGCTTGGGTTTGCTTGACCTTTACGTGCCGTCATTTTTTTCCTACTCACCGGTCATATTGTTGTCATGTAGTATAGTGCTCATTACACACTGCTGTAACCCAGTGGCACAATCTTTGAACTTGAAATTGAGATGTGATTTCCTGGGGAAATGATGTCACCAGGGCTCATCAGTCCAGAAATTAAAAAAAACAAAGGTTGAGACTTTGTATTTTAATTTTTTTAACGTTTAGCAAATACTTTAAGAAACTTTTAAACGTTAAGCCATTTCCAAAGGCTGATGTGTTCCCATTATGTCTGCAGACCGGCGTGATTGACATGATAAATCGATTTGATTGACATGCTTAATAGCAGGCAGTTATTAAAAGTGTAAAAACTTAACTGCGTGTACCTCAAATGTAATCAAGTATTGTAATCAAGTATACATGTATGTATATAGTATGTAATCAAGTATTGTAGCATAAAAAGGGTCTTAAAAAGTCCTAAATTTGACTTGCTGAAACGTGCAGATACACTAAAACGATTTATAATTGTTTAATTAATTGTTCACGTTTAAACATTTAAACGTGAAAATGTCACATTCAACAAAACAAGTCTCTACTCATAGAGCATTTGGGGTGTTGTGATCAGTCATGACTTTTGCATTACTTTGTAATCACCTAGATGCATCCCTAGTCAATATCAATTTCTGTTAAATTTGATTTCATAATTCAGCATTTAAAATTAAATTGTGTTTCTTTTTGTGTGTATTTGTGTAGGATTTCGAAACCTTGTCAGACAGTGAGGTCATGGAACGCCACGCCAAGTGTGAAATCAGCGAGCGCCAGAAATTCCTGACCATTCTGGCCAATCAGAACAGCCATGCCCATCAACGCCGAGGGGCACGTCGTTCTCGCAACAACAGCCAGGGCAACACCCCAGAGCCTTACTCCCCGGATGCAAACCTGTTTGATCAAAACCAACCCTCTAGTGTGAATTCCTCCAATGCCCCATCCCCGCTCACCACACAGGAGGCATTGAGCCCGTCTGGCAGTTTTTCTCTGAGCGGCAATGGAGGCGGTGGCAGCAGTGGCGGTGCCCAGCGGTCCAGAACTAGCTCATGGGAGAAGCGGCGGTCATCCAGCGCAAGTGACACCAACCTCGAGAACTCACAGCAAGGCAGCTTTGAAGAATTGGGCCACATTGACAATCCCTGGCCCATGCGCATTTTCCCCCTGGATGAGTATGAATGCAGTGAATTAGGTTGTCAATCAGAGGAAGAACAGGAAGCGGAGCTAGAGGTCAAAAAGGAAGTGGAGGCAGAGGAGAAGACGCCTTCAGAGGTGTCCTCCTCAATGAGCCTGCAGAATAACGTCAAGATGGAAGAAGGATCTTCACGTAGTAGTCCACTTGGGGAGCTGTTGGAGGACTCATCTGGCCCTGAAGACATAGATGATCCCAATGACCCTGAGTGGACAGTTGTGTCACCAGACAGACAGCGTAGCTCCATTGTTTTAAGATTGGCCAAGAGGTGAAGCTAACTGCTACAAATCTTCATCCAAGAAGGTTCTTGTAGTCTCGGCCTACCTGATGAAAGAGTCAAGGCCAAATATGGTATGTCATGTATCTGTACTACACCAAGGTTTCAGACAACAGGTCTGTGAGATATAGATAGTACAAGTAAGCCACCAAAAAAAAATACAAAATATTAAAAATTAAAAAAATAAAGCAGGCTCAAGTTGAAAATATTTGTTGCTTGTTCTATGTAATAAGTGTTCATACTCTGAAGTTGATATTTCAAATTGGAAACCCATTCACCGTCAGTGCCCTTATTTATCCCTTGTACTCTGGTCATGTAAACCACACATTGTTCTACTGCTATGCATTGGTGATGTACAATGTAAATACAATATCTCAGTTTTGTCAATACCCTAACCTAACAAGGAAAGTGTGCTGTAGAAGTACTTACACATGTACAATCGTGGGGTGGTTCTCTGTTTGTTTTGTTTCAAAGTTGATTAAGAGCTGAAGTTCAAACACACTATGTGGAGCATGCTTTCTCTTTGCACAGCACGTATTCTGTTTTCTGTCATTCTTAACTGCGGCACACCTTTCTGGTTTTGCCGGTTCAGCAGATCATTGGACATCTTATAGAGGTGTGCGCTGAAAATTCGGACCGATCATACCGTATAGCGGGCGACCGGATAAAATTAAAGATGTAGATTTTTTTCGAATCCGATTTCACCGGATCCGATTTCACCGGACGCAATATTTATGTTAACAAATCAGATTCACAAAGAAAGTCACATGGTTGTTATCATATGACTGTTCATTATGTGACCGATCATCATGTGACCGGTTAAACGACAGAATCGGGCATGTGTGCGGATAACGTTGCGGTCTAATGCAGTGGTGCGAAAAAAAAACGTACCGGTTATGGGGTGATCCGGGAAACAGGTAAAATCGGGAAGGTGTGCGCCTGGCTTTAATGCTGTGTTAAAATCAGAGCATTTGGTTGGCACAGTGTTGACTGTGAATGATGAGTAGTTAGTACTAAAGCAGGGGTATTGATGTGTTTACTATCAAAAATGCAACCCGCCAAAAAGTAAACAAAACTGGATTATGTTTGTCACCTTGGGTATAACAAAAGTTCTTTTTGTTTTGTTTATTTTAGATTTGATTTTATCAAGTTAGAGTTGACTTGTACTGTTACACCTAGTTTGCTGGAAAAACTCAACCAAAATGTGTGATTATTGATTCTGTATTTTACGCAGTTCTTGGGAGGTGTTCATTTGCATTGCTGAAACACAATTCGGTCTAACTCATGAAAAACAATATATCGCTTATATAGTGAGTGTTGTCATTTTGCAGCTGGGTTTTTTTTTATATAAATAAAATAACACAAAAAAGAAAACGATATAAATAAATGAACTAGATAGGTATTGTCCAAATTTGGTCTTTTCAAATCGACTTTCTATCATTCACCTTCACATTATATTTTGTGAACAAAATATACTACTTAGATTTTATATTCCCTAGTAATTTCAACCGTCATACTAAGATAAGATGTTAAGCTAATTAGCCTAGCCTTCGATTTGTGAAACCATTATGTACAAGAAAGATGGACGTAATGCATAGTTCAATTAGGACAGGGTTTTTTTTATATGATCACCCAGTCTGAGTACATCAATCATTTTGTACTAATGAATGTTTGTATCTAACAAGATGCATGCATGGCATGTTTGCCGTTTTGTTCTTGATTTATTTTGGGTTTTTTTTTTTTTACTTGCTTCTAGTACACAGGTGTTGTGTAAAATGTGCCTGATTTGGTTTTGTTTTCTGGGGGTTTTATTTGGGGGGGGGTGTACATTATAATTCTTATGAACTCGTTTTTTAGTCTTCAACTGTTTTAACAAGCACATCAATCCCTTGTCGCATAAAGTCAAGTAGAAACTTATCTACCAAAATTATTATTGTTTTTTTTTTTTCTTCAAAATCAGGCATTTTACATGTTGAGTTCAGTTAGCACACACCATAATTCATTTATATTATTCATTATGATTAATGACACAGAACAATCTTGTAACTTTGTGTATGTTAATAGGGTTCACAGATGAACTGCTTGATCAATATACGTGCACCATTAGCTTTGCCCAAACCATTTCATTTTAGCGAGGTATTTTCAAAATGTAGGAGTACACGGCTATCTACATTATACATTAAGCATTCTGTATAAAATTGTATATAGTGTAAATTGAATGTAAATGATGTTCACATTGAATTGGAGGTGTTGAAATCTAGTACCATACATTATATTTCCAATTTCGCCCATGAAACGCCCTCCCTATATGTGTGTGTGCGAGTTTACTGCCTCAGTGGGACTGTAAACCGATCAATTCCCCTATCCTGCACGTCATCCCAGAATTAGCTTCTTTCTTTTTGTTCTTCTCTGTTGATACACGATTTGTATTGTCATTGTGAAAATGTATATTTTTGCATACAGAATGTTCTGGGTTAAACACGTTTTTTCTTTCTTTCTCACTTTCCTCAAAGATATCTACTGTTTGTAGGCGTGTAAAAACTGGTTACTCGTTTTTGAAATTATTACAAAATGGTGACAGTCGTTAGTTCACCTTGGGGGAGGGGCATTTATTTTCAGAATGCAGCCATGTTTTGAGTATCCCGGATAAGTTGACATAATGTTACATGATAACGCTAGCATTTTTGTTTTCTAACAGTTTATTTTGTTGTACAGAGTAGAGCAACTAGGTTCGACTGTACATTTCTAGAGTTGCTGGTCGCCATTGTATATAATGTTAGTGTTACTGTTTGAGCAGACGGGGCCTGGTCACTCTTTATTCTTTACATGCAAAAAACAGCCGCTCTGGTCGGTTTGTGTTACCATCTCGCTACATGTATTTTGTATCAGTAGTTGGGAGGTAAAATAATGTAAAGGATATTACTCGTATTTCCCCATGGAGAAACAATAAAAATGTGTGTACTGCAGGCACATCTTCCTTGTAAAATAATTGATCGATTATTAAGCGTTATTTTGTACGAAAAGTCAATTTATTCCCCTGTTTTGGATTGAATCCATTGCTCTTTTTTCTTTTAATAAATATTTTCACTTTTTATTGGGAAACTGTAGTCATCCAGTAGACTAGCTCTTTCCAAAGGAAATTATAAATGTGAGGTCTTACTAATTTGAGCGATGATAAATTTTGTAATTCGGTATTCATCACTGAGGCCGTGTCCGAATTACTTGGCTACGGCTAGAAATTACACACGCGCCTATGGAAGCGGCTGCAGCCACTTCCCAAAGACCCGTGTGTTATCTCGGCCATAGCCAAGTCATTGATCTATCGCCATTTGCGAATTAGCCACGCCCTTAGACAACGCTTTGGAGTTTTTGTACGCTGACTGTTGTTTGTCTCAGATTTTGCCTGTTCTGCGTCCATTTGTATATCATGTACATATGTAATTGGACAATATTTCACCAACTGCGTTGACGCGATTTTAACACGATTCTACCACGATAGGTCAATTCGGACACAGCCCTAGTACAGACCTTTCTAGGCTTGGTTGGCGAACTGCACATTTTGCCAACCACGGGTTGCAAAACTATGGAAGGTCCAACACTGCAAAAATGAAGAAGAGTTATTACAGATAACCAAAATATTACTTGATCGTTGAAAATTCAACATTGTCAACAAAGCTACAACATAATTCCTAAACATGCCTTTTTACTATGTATTGAGGGCGTTATGGGGAGTTTTTTTTGAAAAACCACGGCTTCAATTTATGCGCTTGCGGCAGCCCATATAAAATGGCGCCAGTGTTTACAAACAAAAGAAAGGTCTATTTTTGTGCAACCTCGTCCCCAGTGCTTACTTTATTTCCAACCTTGTTTCAGGTAGTGATGGGCGCGTACTGCTCGACACCCTGGGGACGAAGTTGATCTGTGTGTGGTTTTATTTTCGCAAGGGCGCCACCAATCAGTTAAAAAAATCTTGCTTTCTGTGCCAAGTGATGGCGCTACTCAAAATTGTCTTCCAGGGGTGCAGTGTAGACCAGTAAATCGGTCCAAAATTCCCTTCGCCGGCCAAATCACGATTTGCATGACCTCAAATTCCTCGGCATAAGAGGATTTTGTGGGCTATGAACTTATTAAGTGTTTGTAAAGAGAAGGGTGAAAGCCGTGCACAGGATCACTGTGAGCTTGTATTTCTGTCAAATTTGGACGAAGGGCCCTAAAAGCGCTCCGGCAATTTTGCAATGGAGCGTAAGCATCGTTTTTCACAGTAGCGATGTGCTTCAGGACTATTTTTAGGGGTTTTCATCTTCGGATGGCAATTTCTCCCCAAAGTCATCGGATGACCCCCCGAAAATTGAACAGAAAATTAAAGATGATGCAATAAGCTTAAATTTGATGCGTGTCTTGACTGAACACCTCAGAGAGTTGTGAGTATTTCTAATAATTTTGGAAAGTGCGCGTAATTACCACCATACCAATGTCCATGGCAGCATATTTACTGATCTGGACCCCAGACTCTTTCGCTTTGGTGGGATCGGGACGAACGATTCCCATAAAATTGCTGAAACGCAAATATCCTTTTGACAGAGAAATATCGGGAGTTCCCTATAGGAGTACAAGACACATCCCTGGCAACCCTCTATCCTTGTTCTCTCCCGAGGGAGGGGGATCGATGAAGGGATCCATTAAAAAAGGTGTGGGTTCGCACCGATTTGTCCAAGATTTTGTTAAACCAGTAACCTGCCAATGTACATGTACATGTACTTGTGTCTAATAACTATACGTATGTTAAAGCTAAGATGGTTGCTATGCATGGCGTAACTGGAATTCCATTTGCGGGGGGGGGGGGTGCTCTAAGAGGGACCTTACTTTCTGGAAGGTGGCACTCGAAGGGTTTTAACTATAGGCCTACTCATTCTTGCCTTTCCACTATTCGGGGGGGGGGGGGAGGGGGGCACAGGCCAGGTGTTGTTCCCATCCCCCTGCTAACTGTTCTTGTCCACTAACTTTTCACAATATGTTGTTTCCACTTACCTATGTTCTTCCTATACTTATACATGTTGTTGATGGGAAAAGATATCTGTGAAGATTCATGTGACGTTAACCACTTGGAGGTGTGGTATGGTGACATTGTCAATCAAATGCATGGGTTCACTTGTCTTCCCTAGAGGCAATTTTGTTATTTATTTCTTTTTAAATTAATGACTGCATTATAACATGTATAGGCCTACATAATGCGTCCTCAACTAATCGGACCCAGACACCGCCCCCCCCCCCCCCATATTTTAAATGTAGCATGCTGGATGGGTGAATAAATAAAAGCGTGATAAAACGTTTATGGATCTGTGCTCTTCAACTTACACGTTTTAATTAACAGGGAAAAAGTCCTTCTATTGTGGGCCATAGGCCTTTTAAGTTGCTTTTGCGCTAATAGATCCGTCATTCGAGTGAAGTGGAATGGTTTCCAATCCAAACATTTAATGTTGGATCAGTAATATTATTGATTAATATCGATTCATTTATTAAACGGGGGCAGGAAGTTGTGTCTACCCTGCCTGCCAGAACTCAATAATTCGCAATTTGTAAAGTGACTGAATATTTGCCGATTTTTTTTTTCGTTCGATGTCCAAAAGTGACATACTAGTTGTATTGCTAGATAATTAACAAACTATTAATAATAGAGAAAGTATATCTTCAAAAAAATTGAACCAAAAAAAAAGAGGAAATACACAACAAAAATTCCAATATAAGAATGGGGTCCAATGTCTCTATGGTGAGCAACGTGACCCAGTTAGTTATCTCCGTCCATATCTACTCAAATCTCGGAGGACAGTGTCAAAAGTAACTCGAACAAGGTGTCTCATTCGAACTTTTTTTTTTAAATGTCATTGTGTTTATCTTCAATCAAGATAACCAAATCAATGATACACAAATGTTTGGACCCAATTTCGCAAGACTACACTAACGGAATTGTATACCGATAACAACAGCCCTCCCCCAAGCACTTTGACAAAAAAAGTGTTCTTTCAGCAAAACGAAAACAATTCACATAGGATCGATGTATGTGAACTGTTTTCGTTTTGCTGAAAGAACACTTACCTTTTTGTTTGTGGTTCCAAGGACAGAACTTTAAAACGGTGTTTGTGTTCAAAATTCCTTAACTTGAAAAGTACATGAGTGACTTGAATGATTCTTGTTCTAAAAGAAAGCTTATTATGGGCTTTCATATCCGAAATTTTGAAAGTGATACATGCAGAACGTCATTAAGTAATTGGTCCTGTCATTTTGGTTTCCTTATTTTTTTACTCACCCTGTAAAGAAAGAATTACGGGCAAAAAAACAGCAGCAGCAGCAAAAGCAACAACAACAGCAACAGCAGCAACAACAACAAACAACAAATCAAAAAGTTGCGGGGAAATGTACACCACGTGACATTTTACCTGGTAACCTGCCCTCCCTAGAAACGCCATGTACTTATGAGTTCCTTTGAGATAGCTGGTGGAAATTTCGTCATGGCAACGACATAAAAATACGAAGGATAATACATTCATACAGACAAATCCGAGCATGTTAACAATTATATCATAAAGGCCCCCTTTAAAGGGCGAAAGCATTGTGCTACAGCTTATATGTTCAGATAATCCGTCACATTGCAGTTGCTTTGTACAGCGTTCGCTATGGTTTCTCCATTGAAGGGGGCGTGCCAGGATTCATATAGGCTAATCAGTGAACCAACAAGAACAATCTAACACAATGTGACTCATTCTAAGGGATAAACATGTAGTCCTTCTTTTATTATTAAAAAAGAAGGAATTTTCAACAATTGACTCATGAACAAGTCACATAAAAAAAAATGATGAACATACTTTGTCGGTGCCGTCAGTGATATGAGCCCCGTTTTTTTAGAGCCCTTAAAATAAAAACAATATCACTATAGAAATTTGCCAAAAAGGAACGCAAATCTACACTGGTTGCATTTTTCAAAGCATGAGTCATTTTGCATTCCATGCATGACTCATGCAAAAAGCTTTTTAATTTTACCTGGCATATTCTTAATTTACGTTTTACTCACAATAACGCTTATCACAGACTATAGACATGTAGGTATACACAGCTGCCTTCGTTATTGTTGCTTGTGACATACACGAACGAGAATTACAGGGGAAATGGCGGGCATTTGAATGTAACGGATGACCCGTGAAAATTAAGCTTTGAAATTGGACACATTCGTTTCGTTTCACACGTTTGACAAGCACATGGGCGGATAGCTTTCGGGAAATGGGGGGGGGGGGAGGTTGATGATATAAAGGAGGGGGATTGAGTCGCCCTGCTAGGTGGTCCCCGGGAAAAGAAATCCACGATACTTTCGCCTCATGCATACTAAGGCAATTCAAGTATAAATTAGGAACTTTAGCATTCCATTTAGCCCTATTGTTGGCCCCGTTTTACTACAATCATAACAGTCAGCGGCTAAACGGGGGTTGTAAGGCCCCCCCCCCCCCCCCCGTGGATCCGCTACTAAGGCAGGTCCTACATAACAGACCTAATATGTTTGTTTGAGGTAATGTGTTATAAATAATTTGTACAACATCCAAAATCTAGTGAAGAGATGTTTATGTTGGCTTTGAATTAGCCACTCCACGTCCGATGCCACCACTATAGTGGACTTGTAGAGTGAGCAAGAATTATGAAAAGGACCAAGGAACGCCAAAAAATGAAGTCATAATTTATTTTGGTTGAAGACATTGTTCCATGGTCAAAATGATTTTTTTTTCTCTTATCCATGAAACAAAAAATCACTGTAACTCCTATAGGCTTACATAAGAAGAAAAAAGCCAGTCCGTACATTCATCGAAAACACTTGACAATAGACCAATATCATGTTGCGGCCATCTTGATTTTTCCTATTCAAATCAACGTAACCAAAGCGAGGCTGGAAGGAAAAATAGTCTGGTTCCCTTTTGCACAAAAAGCAATCATCATTCTGTATAATTA